TTATGGACTGATGAAATGAGAGTGAGTCTTGATGGGCCAGATGGATGGGCCCGTGGCTGGATTGGTAAAGGGCAGAGAGCTCCAGTCCGACTCAGACGCCAGCAAGGTGGAGGTGGAGTACTGGTTTGGGCTGGTATCATCAAAGATGAGCTTGTGGGGCCTTTTCGGGTTGAGGATGGAGTCAAGCTCAACTCCCAGTCCTACTGCCAGTTCCTGGAAGACACCTTCTTCAAGCAGTGGTACAGGAAGAAGTCTGCATCCTTCAAGAAAAACATGATTTTCATGCAGGACAATGCTCCATCACACGCGTCCAAGTACTCCACAGCGTGGCTGGCAAGAAAGGGTATAAAAGAAGAAAATCTAATGACATGGCCTCCTTGTTCACCTGATCTGAACCCCATTGAGAACCTGTGGTCCATCATCAAATGTGAGATTTACAAGGAGGGAAAACAGTACACCTCTCTGAACAGTGTCTGGGAGGCTGTGGTTGCTGCTGCACGCAATGTTGATGGTGAACAGATCAAAACACTGACAGAATCCATGGATGGCAGGCTTTTGAGTGTCCTTGCAAAGAAAGGTGGCTATATTGGTCACTGATTTGTTTTTGTTTTGTTTTTGAATGTCAGAAATGTATATTTGTGAATGTTGAGATGTTATATTGGTTTCACTGGTAATAATAAATAATTGAAATGGGTATATATTTGTTTTTTGTTAAGTTGCCTAATAATTATGCACAGTAATAGTCACCTGCACACACAGATATCCCCCTAACATAGCTATAACTAAAAACAAACTAAAAACTACTTCCAAAAATATTCAGCTTTGATATTAATGAGTTTTTTGGGTTCATTGAGAACATGGTTGTTGTTCAATAATAAAATTAATCCTCAAAAATACAACTTGCCTAATAATTCTGCACTCCCTGTACCTTCATATATTTGGTTCTCCTGTTTTCTGCCGGAGTAGCTACAGCGTATGTGCCGCAGTTGCTGTGACATTCCTGTAGTAAGCACAGTTTAGAAGCTGCTATCCGTTAAGTAGAGATGTCGCAAACCGTCCGCGAACTTCAACATGGATGCTGTCCAGGAGGTGGGAGGGTCTGGGAGGGAGGGTCTGCCGGAGATTGGCCAGGATGTGTCAGCTGACCGGAGTTCGCCGCGAACGGATCGTGGCGAACCGCGGTGAACCGTTCGCGGGAAGTTCGCAGACGGTTCGCGACATCTCTACCGTTAAGGTGAACCGGGTCCCAAGGAATGTCAAATAACATGAAGTCTATGGTGCAAAGTTAAAATCTTGTGTGAGTTAGCAGGAGCAATCACCCCACTAGAACACAGAAAAATATTATAGTAGATATTCATATCTAAAGGATTATTGAAAATATATGCATATTTTCATCTATGCTTCCCTTCTCCGTAAGACTTTCACCCAGTCTCCACTCATTCAAAAAATGGTGCTATATAAATAATAAAATAATAATAATAATCTATTGAATGAATCAGTATCAATCTCCAGGGAATAGCATAAACAGTCTCAAAGAAAAGATCCAGATAACAGATTAATACGTTTATCAATGGATCTGTAAAATTATGCAAAAATATCTTGTGGAGAGATCAGGTAAGGATTAGTTAATAGTGCTGGAATGCGGAACCTGTTTATAAAGAAAGGAGTAACACACTATCCAAATTTGTTTCCCCTCCTGCAATGCATGCTGCAGCTAGAGTCAGTGTATTGGACACAGTGTCGGTATATTGGACAGGATCTGTACACTAAATATGGTGACTGTGTTTAACACTCTCTTAATATGTGTCCAGTTATGTTTATGTCTGACCACCTAAAATGGAATGACTTGTGATACATTCCAAATAATTAAAGAGACACTCTACTGACCAAATACAAATTTAAAAAAGCACTGTTTAGTAAATATACCCCAAATGAAAACTTGCATGCATTTAATTATGCATTTATTTATTTGGGATATGGCTAAAAATAGCTTGAAAAGCCCACAGATCACTTGGCTGCAGCCTGCCGTTTTTGTATTTCATTTTATTTGCACAATTTACTTAGCAATCACAGATGGATTTGCAGTCTCTGAGATATTCCCAATGCAGCTCAATGAGAAGTCTTTGCAAACTAGGAGCTATGTGCAATTGCTGGCCCTTGAGTTTAGTTCCACTGAGCTAACCAACCAGGAAGTAACAGGACCTGTTGTCCTATTGAAAGCCAAAATGAAGAATAGAGGACATACTCTTCACACATAAAGGTTTTCAGCAAGCTAAAGTTGTTTAGGGATCTGGAGTGTCCCTTTAAGGACAATGCTGGATTAAATGCCTGCCAGTGGGTATGGTGAGAATTGGGACAAAATTGGAATGCAACATTCAATATTTTCAGCTACTTTATATACTCAGCAGTCTGCAGTCTTCTTGTCGACATCATCCTCTATTGATCTGTCTCTCATCCATCCTGCCATCTCCCACCTCTCCATCTTTCCTTAATCCTTATAAGCTTCATCCTTCTCTCAAACAATTCCTGTCCTTCTTTTTCTTTTTCTACCATTTCCATCTATAACCCACCCTGAGCTCTGTTAGTTATTTCCTTCATTATTTATGTGTAATCATGCTTTTCTACAAATTGTCTTCCAATCTCTATATTTCTTTACATGTCTTCATCCTGTATTCTACTTTCCCTTCATGTTGACTCTTCACATTACCTTGTATCTGATTCTCCTATCTTTTTCCTTCGTTCTGTCCTATTTCCTCTGAATTTATAACTTATTACACTCTTCCCAGTCTTTCTTCTTTTTTATATATATTGATGCTGTGCTTATGTGAACGATCTAGAATACAAATGTCCCTTCCTTATCCAACGGGGACAAAACTTCATTCTGGAGTGGAGAAGACAACTGGTGGGAACTGTAATGACTGGGTGGACTCTAGGGCAAAGTGGAAATATCTTACTAAGGACACTTAGATCTTGCTTAAAAGAATAATATCCGCAGAGACCCAGCACAAACGTGATTTCTGTAGGCTATAAGGTAAAGATATGACTGTTGCCAAAACCAGAAATCATATAATAAGTATTCATGATATAAATCAGCGAAGGTTTATGAGAGTACGACTCGTTGTCTCACGTCTGGCCTCTGTTGAATTATTCATAATGTGAGACAATGAGTTCCATGAGCAGTTTTATTTATGTTTCACGTTAGGAACACAGAGTAAGAGGGTCTGATGATAAGCAGATATTTAGCAAAGCTGCTTTGCTCACCGGCTGTTCATTTAACCGCTGATTAAAAAGTTGTGATTGTGGCACATTTCAATACAAAGCAACTCATTAGAAGTGTGAAATCACACAAAAGTTACATAAACACAAGTCCATCACTGCCGTCAGTGGTTTCATGGCTCATTTGGCACATTAGTTTTTTTTAATTCCATTTAATTGCCAAAACAAGCACTGAATATTAGGCTCTATAGCAATCGACATATTTTATGTTCTCTCCTTGTCAGTAACTTCAGGGAAATGGCAGTCTTAAAGCTCGAGCCAAATCTTTGTCTTAGAGTAACCATTTGTTCAGAGTCAGTTTTCTTTTTAATGGGAAACAAAGATTTTGACTAATTTATCATTCACTTTTATAAAAATATATTTTATTGATGACAGGATTGACAGCAATAAAGAAATACAGCCCTTTTCGTAAAACATACTACAGTAAAATGTCAACAAATATATGGGTTTATTATTTTATGTTCTTATAAAATGATAAAATTTAGGTTAGGGTAAAATGATTGATGGTGACGGTAGACTGTTGGGCGCTATCAAAGGATAGGAAAAGCAGTAAGGGTCCACACTTTCATTGGAATGTCTTTGTCTTCGATGAAAGTGTGGGTGCATAAACTTGGCTGGGCATATGGTGGAAAAGCCCTAAATACATTGCTCTATACACAATTAAATATACCCCAGTGTAAGGTGTTAATAATTTGATTCACTCTGCAGGTATTTTCTTTTTTTTATAAACCCCCGCTTGAACTTGTTGAATAATAATATCATACAATCCGTTTGCAGCTCGAAGGCAGATGCAGCACTTTGTTTGAACCTGTAGAAACAGGAGAATATAAAAACAAAGAGGATAATCTGTTTGTCTCTGCCAGCCATCTTGTTTCACAAACATGAGATGTAGGGAACTGAACCCAATTGCAAAAGGCTTGGAATTGGTGTTGCACCAGGTAGACTGTCTGTCTTGTGTCCTATAAATTATCATGCATTTGACCTGTGTGTTTTGTTTCCTTTGCTTCAATGCTGTCCACACAGACCTATGTTTGAAATTCTGATTATTCCAAAGAATAAAGATGTGGAACTGCAATCAATTCCCTAATTGATATGAGTCTAGGTGCAACCAGACTGGTCTCAGTACCAGGAAACCCGTTACTTAGTGAAACAAATGTAGAAAGGTCCAGGCACTCCAGAATTCAAGAAAAGGCAATTTTTTTAACCCACAGGCAAAGCCACGTTTCGACCTATATGGTCTTTATCAAGCTTGATAAGCCTGGACCTTTCTGCATGAAATTCAGATTATGACATTAAGACCTCCAAAACATACCTATGGTAGTTGTCACTCAGTATGCGTTTGTGTATTGGCACCGCCCCTTTATACTCCAAACGCTTATTATAGTGGTTATGGTACAAGGAAAGCTCTGGGTTCCCAAGCCAATCCACTGTGATGGGTACAACATAATTTGTATCCTCCTTCACTTTTTGACCCTCATGTCAATCTTCCACCCTCATCTATTCCCCAACTGTATGTTTGTCTTCGCATCTCCCCACATATGTCTACACCTATTTGTGCCCACTGTCTCTTCACTACCACATCCATTTTCTGTTGACCCCCATTCGCTATTTCTCCACCCCCATTTCCATTTTCATTCTGTTACTCTCCTAATCTGTCTGACATTTTCAGCCTGTCCTCTCCCAATTCTTTGTTCACCCCCTTCTCTGTCAGTTCACGTCCTTATCATCAGTCTGTCCACCTCCCAACACCCCTATTCTGTCTGTCCACCCAACACTCTATTTTTATATTTTCCAGCACCCAATTTGGTCCATCCACTTCCACCCTAAAATTCTTTTGTGTGTGCCTTTTTTGTCTTCCCTAGCCCTTGTTAATGTATGTTACCATGATTGTAATATCTACCCTGCTCAATTAGAGGTGAGTGGAGAGAGGCATGATATGACATTAAGTTGCTGCCCCCTCAATTCATGGCAGGCTGAGCACACTGACAAAGTGGACGAAAGAGCAAACTAGCCGAACTGGCTTGAATCTCGACTATGTTTAACTCTTTTATACCAAATACATAGATCTATAGCTCCTATATGGAGGACATGCAGTGTTTGTGCCTAGCGTAATATTTCTCTATTTTTAATATCACAAGAGGTGAATAAATGCTATTATTTACTTTATCCAAGTAGCTATTACCGCTATATTTATTACTGATATTTGCTGTTACCATTGCTGTCTGCCTTTATGTGATGTTTCTAAGACAGGATTGATGACCCCATAACTTAAAGAGAAACTCCAGTCCCCTAGAGCACTTTAGCTTGTTGAAAAGTTTAATGTGTGAATAGTGTCCTCGTTTTTTTCATTTTGCAAGTAGTGCAGAGTTCAATAGAAATTGACACTTTTATAAACTAACTTGGTCTTGGCTTTCAAGCAGACAACCGGTACTGGTGCTTCCTGGTTCTTTAGCTCAGTGATGCTAAACTCAAGAGTCAGCAAGTACTCAGGGCACCTGCATTGCAAATAGTTCTCATTAAGCTGCATTGGAAAGTCTGTGATTGGACAGCCACAGAAAGTCTGGGCGGGGTTAGAAGGGGTGGATTTGTAAAGTCTGCAGACAAGAGAACTGCAGTTTTTGCAAGCTGTTTTTAGCTATAACACAAGTAAAAAGAAATGTGAAAATAAAAGCATACACGTATCCATTCAGGGTATATCTGCTAAACTGTGATTTAAAAAAAATATATTTTGTCTTTGGGTAGTGAAGTTCCCTTTAATTACCATTTTTATTTGATTATTAATTAGTACACCTTGCCCAGCACGGCTCCATTTAGCTGATGTGTCATAACTAAGCTGAGTTTGTAACATCGTGTGAATGTCAACTTTTTTTCACTTGACTGAATAAGCCTGTTGGATAATTGTTCATTTTTTTTTTTTTTTTTTTGTGGCCTTGAATTTTAAAACTAATTTTAAATACACTTTGAATCCCAGTAATTCACACTTTAGTAAATTTCCCTGTTAGATTTCAGGGTTAAACAGTGTAGTAGTAATTAGCAACTTCACATGTTATTGAACCTTGTTAATTGCCCCTGCCAGTGACTGAGACTTGATATCCAGAATGCAGGTAAGTGTTTGATTTTTGGTTTTCTCCAATAGTTTTATATCTTGGCTTTTCCTTAAAACACTGTACCTGCATGAAGGAAGATATTATGAGAGGGGTTGACTTACCTTGCGGTCTATTTACTAAATATTGAGTTGCTGCTAAATAAAATAATAAAATCCTAAATGCAAACGTTATGCCGAATAAGCTAGTATGGAAAAAAAATTGTATACAGCTTGACTATTACAGCCTAAATTTAGCTGTTTGGTTTTATAAATCCCTGTTGCAGTTGCATCATAGATTTGGAAAATGTATTTTTTGGGGTCTGTATGTGGCCTATTTTATGTATTGCTATTACCCAATATTTCTCCAGTTTGTATATATTTGGGTTAAACTGATTACACACTTTGGCTGCAGGTGTTCATCTTGTACACTTACGGTGTAATAAATTGCATTTGATTTGAGTACACAAGTTTGTTTGTTTTTTTTCTTCTTCTTTTAGGCACTGGTTTAGTTTAACCCCTTAAGGACATGTCATGATTCCCTTTTATTCCAGAAGTTTGGTCCTTAAAAGGTTAAAGTCCATATGTAATCTGAAACGCTGATAAAGGGTTAAAGACCTATGAGCACTGCATGCTTATATCACAAAGCCATAACTTGTAGAATTGGATTACAAGCCAATATAACACAATTGGCCATCATTTTCTGAACATGCTGTATTCTCCATTTACTTCAAACATGGAGGAATATTAACCCTTTGAACTAAAAGAGCATGTATTCTATGTAGTGATTGTGTTCCTGGTGGCCATCACACTGTATCGTAAAGTACATGTATGCATCAATTTATCTCATTCACTTCCTGTACGTTTTATTCTGTGCTGTTGAGATCTTGGGTACCATATAGTATGCATCACATTAAGTTACATCATGCCTCGTATGTGTTTAACTTTAAAGGGGTTAAGGAAGAATAATTTTCCCAGGGATACACCCAATGTTATGGGTTAATTATTAAAGGGACAGTATAGGCACCATAACAACGTTGTCTAAATGAAGTTGTTATGGTGCAAGCAGGCCACAAAGTGCACTGTTGGTTTAACCCCAAAGTTGCCTCCAGCACCTGAAATTTCCCTTTGAGATCAAGAACAGGTTAACCACTGATGGAAGAGTGCACTTGGGGGGCCTCCTGGATTTCATTTAGTTGAAGTTGTTATGGCGGTCAGAGTGTTCCTTTAACTCCTTAAGGACACATGACGTGTGACATGTCATGATTCCCTTTTATTCCAGAAGTTTGGTCCTTAAGGGGTTAAACTCTGAATAGCAGTAAACTAAGACCTGAATGCCAACATTTAGACTAAAAAAAAAAATGAATTCTCCAGCTGCGTTCTAGTGACAGCTTGGCTTCTTTTAGTTTTCATTTTGGCGTTTTGGATTAAAATTTTGAGTTTTCATTTCAAACCTTGCTTCTGGCACTGAGAGCAGTGATATTTTCCTACTGAATTGATAAACTTTTTCTGGGACTGAATTAAACCTCAAAGGTTGGTAGTGAATGTGTTTGTTACCAGTGTTACACTGTAACATAATCTGCCATTTGTTTTACAACATGAGCTGTTTCTTAAATAAAGTTTGTGTCTGGCTAGCATTGCCTTGGTCCTCTGTTTTTTAACCCTTCATGACCGATGATGTGCATCAACTGCTTTGATTTGCCTATTTGCTTGTTCTGAATGGGGTTTCATGTGAAGCCCTTATTGAATGTCTAGAGCAGGGGTAGTCAACCTTTTTCTACCTACCACATATTAATGCATCTTTCTTGATGGAAAAATTTCCTTACTGCCCACCAGTTTTCGCGCAAGTGCAGAATATTTTCTTAGAAAGGAGGGTGTTTTAAAAAAATGTATGTACAAGTATCTTTTTATTTCTACTTAATGCATGTTTATAATGTTTTAACTATATAAAGTTTAATGAGAAAACAATAAAGTAAATTGAAATTACCTTTACTAGTGATTAATGAGATCCTTGAGGCTGCTGCTGCAAGACTAAATATGTGATATCTGGTTTGATTTTCGTAAGGAACAAACGAAGGTCTCCTCTTTTGGTGATATTCAGATGACTTCTCTGTTTGCTCATAATATGATTTCTCATCTGTGCTTTAGCTCCCCTCCTCTCCTTCCTCAATTCCCCTCCTCTCCTTCCTCAATTCCCCTCCTCCCCTTCCTCCTTTCCCCTTCCTCCTTTCCCCTTCCTCCTTTCCCCTCCTTTCCTTCCCCCTTCCTCCTTTCCCCTCCTTTCCTTCCCCCTTTCCCCCTATATTCCCCCTTTTTCCTTTCCCTCGTTTCCCCCCTTTCCCTCCCTTTTCCCTCGTTTCCCTCCTATTTTCCCTTTCCCCCCTTTCCCCCTTTCCCCTTGTTTCCTTCCCCTTTTCCCTCGTTTCCTTCCCCTTTTCCCTCATTTCCTTCGGTTTCCTTCCTTTCCATCTATTTTCCTTCCCCTTTCCCTCCATTTCCCTCCTCCTTTCCCTTTCCTGGTTTCCCTCCCCTTTTCCCTCTTTCCTCTTCCATTTCCCTCCTATTTTCCCTTCCCTCTTCCCTCCCTTTTCCATCCTTTCCCCTTTTCGCTTTCCATCCTTTCCACCTTTCCCTTTCCTTTTCCATCCTTCCTCTTCTTCCCTTTCCATCCTTTCCACTTCTTTTCCCTTCCCTAATTCCCCTCATATTTCCCAATTTTCCCCTTTCCCGTTCTCTCCTTTTCCCTCATTCCCCTCTATTTTCCGATTTCCCTTTCCCCTCTTCCCCTTTTCCTTTTCCCCTCCCCTCCTTTCCCTCCCTTTCCCTCCTTTTCCCTTTTCCCTCCTTTCCCCCTCTTCCTTTCCCTTTCCCCCTCTTCCTTTCCCCCTCTTCCTTTCCCTTTCCCTCACCTTTTCCCTCATTTCCCCCTCTTACTTTCCCTCCTATTTTCCCTTTCCCCCCTTTCCCCTCGTTTCCTTCCCCTTTCCCCTCGTTTCCTTCCCCTTTTCCCTCATTTCCCCCTCTTCCTTTCCCTCCTATTTTCCTTTTACCCATTTTCCCTCGTTTCCCTCTCCTTTCCCCCTTTTCCCTCGTTTCCCTCCCCTTTTCCCTTGTTTCCCCCTCTTCCTTTCCCTTCTATTTCCCCCTTTTCCCTCCTTTCCCCCTCTCCCTTTCCCTCATATTTTCCCAATTTCCCCCCCTTTTCCCCGTTTCTCTCCCCTTTTCCCTCATTTCCCCTCTTCCTTTCCCTCCTATTTTCCTTTTCCCCTTTTCCCCTTTCCCTCCCCTTTTCCCTCCCCTTTTCCCTCCCCTTTTCCCTCCTTTTCCCTTTTCCCTCCTTTCCCCCTCTTCATTTCCCCCTCTTCCCTTTTCCCTCATTTCCCCCTCTCCCTTTCCCTCCTATTTTCCCTGTTTTCCCATTTCCCCCTTTTCCCGTTTCCCTCATTTCCCCCTCTTCCTTTCCCTCCTATTTTCCCTTTTCCCCTTTCCCTCCTTTCCCTTTCCCTCCTATTTTCCCCTCTTCCTTTCCCCCCTTTCTCCCTCTCTTATAACCTTTTTTGTGAGTCATAAATGCAGGAGTGGAACAATAAAAATACGTTGAGGGGACATTGAGGAAACACAGTTGGGGGGGACCTAAAAAAAAAAAAGGGGGGGGTTGGGTCATAACAGCGCTGCTTTAAGCTGCATCACTACAATGATTTATTTTAGCGGTTGCTACAACAGGTAGCTTTCTAAATTGTAGAAATACATCTCCTATGATGCATTGTCAGTCTTCTCTAACTGCGTGTGACTCAAAGGATGAACACACACTAGTTTTTAAACAAAGTACAGGAAATAAGCCTATATAAGCTTCCCGACCTCACCTTTTTTAATAAATAATGTATACCTTCTTACAAAAAAAAACAATTATTCAAAGATAATTTTACTTATATTTTGTGTTTTTTCTTGTTTAAGTTTATTTAAAAAAATAAAATTATTTTGCCATGTCCTCATCGAAGTACTGGCTTTAGGCGTCCAGGGAGTGAGTGTCTCTAATAAATGGTAGTAGTTTAGTAATGACCTGACAGACACAAACTCCAAGTACCATAACCACTTCAATCCAGTAAAGTGATGATGGTTTTCACAGTGTTCCTTTTAAAAGCTAAATAGAGAAGGTAACTTACTTATACATCTTGCTGTTCTCATCATTCTTAATCAATAAAACCAGATTTTTAAGGTCATACTGCCAGGACCAGGGCAGGGGAGATACGCCTTTTATCACATCCACTACAATTTTATTTTTCTTTTCCATGGGGGTAAGGGGAGGGGAAGGAGTGGGGGGGCATTCAGCCTTCCTTAAATAGGCTTCAGGGATATATAGCATTTATGGCCACAGGTACGTTGAAAAGACTTTTAATTTATCTACTTTCATCAAACTACAGGATGTTAAAAATGTTATTGTTATTGTTAGTGCTTTTAAAACCTTGAATTTAATGAATTTCACTCTGTAAATACCTTCATAAGGTGCAGGGGGCTTCTAAAGCGTTTTCTTACTAAAACCCAAATTGTAGTGGATGAAATACTGCATTTAACAATTTAGACCACAACAGCTGATGGAGACAAACATTTGCAACTGATCTCTAGTCATAACTTGGCTGATTTAGCCAACATTTTGCAGTTTAGCTACAATCCACTACAATTTGGGGTTTAGTGAATAAACTAAATATTGTGCATATTTCCTTGTGGATTTATAATTTACGTTACGATTAATTATATAACGCCTACATATTCCGCAGCGCAGTACAATAGGAAACAAGACAAACCTTTGGCATATGGCATTCAGCAACACTTTTTTTCCCTTCTCTTTCTAGCACCAGAGATACCCAAAGCAGGGGTCAGTGGATAGTCACTGTGTCCATCAATCTCTGAATATACCTGCAGCATGTTGTATTACACCACATCCCAAAGATGTTCTGCAGCAGCTGTAGACTAATAATGAAACAATATTGTGTGTGTGTATATAAATCCATAGTCAACCAATTTCTATTTAGACAGAGATATGACTACATCATTATTGGGCTACATGGAGAGGTGATATATGATATAACTTTTATAATATGAAATTTATATAAACTATTCTATAGTAGGTCTATAAATTCTCCTTTTATGGGATATATAGAAGTTCCAGATTACTAATATACGTGTTACATAGTATCTGTAAATGTTTAGAATACTATAGACTGTACAATGTATACATTAGTTACAGTGTGTGAATGTATCCAGTCCTGGTGTATAGGAGATATATTGTTTATACAATACAGTTACATTGTATAAAGGATTTAGAAGAAGTGTTGGCTGCTATTTAACCCTTTCATTGCTGAGAAGGGACCCAGGCAATGAACCATTGTGCGATTTGGCCCCCCTTCTTCCCCCCTGGGATCCAGGCAGTGAATGTATGGAGTGTGTGAGTCCAGCCAGAGCCCCTCCTAGTGGCCAGCCCGGGTCCCCCTCAGATAAGGCACAGTGTGCAGGGAGGAGGCAGTGTGGGCTGCAGGGAGGAGGTACTGCTGGATCTATAAAGGGAAGGCAGAGCAGGGGGAGTTCCTATACACAGCCCCAGCCATCCAGGGATTGGGGGGACGGCAGATACATCCAGCCAAGCACATGGCACTGTAAGCAGCCCCCTGCACTGCCTGGCTGCCTAGAGGAGGGATCAGTGGGTACACAGCCAGCCAGCACCGGGAGAGCCCACCAAGAATGCCAGGTTACTAGCAGAAGCCAGTCTGACATCCCTGGACCACAAACATGCTGTCCTATGGAGTGCTGGACGTGTGTGTGCAGGATGTGGAGAAGAGGAGGAACCCATCTAAGCACTATGTGAGTGGGGTGCACTGTGTGAGTGGGGGGGTAGTCAAAGCACTATGTGAGTGGGGTGCACTGTGTGAGTGGGGGGGTAGTCAAAGCACTATGTGAGTGGGGTGCACTGTGTGAGTGGGGGGGTAGTCAAAGCACTATGTGAGTTGGGGGGCGCTGTGTAAGTAGAGGGTAGTCAAAGCACTATGTGAGTGAGGGGGACAGTTCATGCACTCTGTAAGTGGGGGGAGGGGGAGTCAAGTCCATGCACTGTGTGAGGTGTGGGGGGGAGGCAGTGCATGCATTTTGTGAGTGGGGGGCAGTCCATACACTCTGTGAGAATGGGGGCCCCTTCCATGCACACTGTGTGAGAGGGGGCAGTGCATGCATTCTGTGAGCTATGCAGTGCTGTCACCAACACACCCACCTCATGCTAGTTAGAAATGCAGGAGCACACTGCTGGTGATAATATATATATATAAATATAATGTACATACATACACATGTAGCTGGGTAGTATGTGGATGTGTGTAACAATGCAATGTGGATATATTTGTATTTCTGACTGCTGAGCAGTGTGTATACATAGTGAGTGCTTTCCATTCTCCTGTCTCAATGTATATACAATCATTAAATCCTGCATGTCTGGGTTGATATACTGACTGTGTATATATAGTGATACATGGAGCACACAGCATTGTGGGAGGAGGCTCTACAATCCCCAGGCTCTGCCTGCAGCCTGTCACATTTACAGTATTGTATGACTCTCCCATGGTAACTCAGTTATACCAGCAGCTATAACCCCAGGGCCTCCTGTTCTTTAATTGTGTTACAGTGTATAAAACGAGGGTTCCTATCAGTAAAATAATTCTATTTACCATTCCTTTAACTTTGCCATTGTTTTGGTTTTAGTTTTTTTTGTTTAAATCCGAGCCCAGCGATTGTCTTGCTGTTTGTGTCTTGGATTATTTTATTATTATTATTATTATTATTATTGTTATTATTATATGTAGTATTGTATAGGATCCAGGTCACATCCTGGCAGCTGTAACCAATCTCTGTATTTCCTATGCTGCTAACAGGCCTGCTTGTTTCACACAGTACATTATTGGCTCTGACTACAAAGTCCATTAGCTGGCTCAGTCAGACACTGATCTGTTTGTATTTTCCTCACAGTAAAATCCTCTAGAGAAATCGCTGATTTGCCACTGTTTCTATGCCTTCCAGATCTGCGCCTCCCTCCTCTATATTTCTGCTTTGCGAAAATGATTTTGTGTGCTTTTCCCCCCCTTTCTATAGTAACCCTTTTACTCTCCCCTGGAATCCTAGTACTGACTGGCACAGTTAAGAGAATGCTTTCTAAGAATAGAATACGTTTTATGTGGTTGCAACTTAACATTTATTACTAGCACAGAGCTGCAGAAAGAGACTCCTTGATTATTTGGGATTAAAGGCTAAAACTGAGAAAATTGTGTAGCCAGGGACCTCCCAGTACATATTGCCAGTTGTTTAAAGGTGTCAAGAACTATTGCATGACAGCAATGTCATCTTCCAGTATAGAGCAAAGGTAACAATCATCACTTAAAAAAATGAACGTATGATCTCTTTTGTTGATCTGAAGACCATTGTCCATCCTGTGCCCAGCCCATTGTTGACTAAGAACCATCAGAGTTTAGTTTAACACCTGGAGAACTGCCTGCGGCGCTAACAATTATCAAGAACAGGGATAGGCAACCTTTGGCACGCAAGATGTTGAGGACTACATCACCCATAATGCTCTTATCGCCATAACACTGGCAAAGCATCAAGGAAGATGGAATGCAGCATGTTGCCTATCCCTGATCTAGAACATTGGGTCTTTAGAAAGCCATGTGAAAGGTGATGCGATCTACCAACCTAGATCAAGCTGTGATTGTATGGTTGGCAGTATAAATCAAGCCCTTGTGTGACACTGAAGTTTGTGAACCCCAACATTGATCGTAATGGCTCAAGCAGCATAACTGGAGTTGTTTCACAGTCGGGAATAGTGGGAAGAACTTTTGGCAATAGTGGTTTCTTAAAACTCCTGTCTGAATGTTGAAGTATAGATTGCGCTAGTGGGGAATAAGTTTGCAGATTACTAGTTTAGGTTATCAATTATCCAAACTCCAGGGTCAAGTTTTTTAGCAAATTATTGAATGTTTCCTATTTTGGTCCATTTTGAAGTATGTATCATTTATCATGTTACAACATATTCTGCAGCGATGTACAATATGCGTCCGTGTGTCTATCAGCAGCTGAGACTCTGTTTTGCTTTTCTTCGTAACTGTGTAGCTGTTGCAGCTGTTGTAAGAATGTTATTGAATAAATTGTGAATTGCTGAGACCCCATCAGAGACTTTGAAATTTTAGGGCAAAAATGTCTCGGTTGGGAAAAATTCTCCTACTTGGCTTTGAATTCTGCTATTTTGAACTAAACTTGTGACAGGAAAAAGTATTCCAAGTGTACTTTTATCAGCAAACAATGACCTGTCTTTACGTGTTGCTGGTTCAATAAACATATGTAAATAAGGAAATTGGCCACTGCAGCTTACCTGCCCTTACTTGTGTATCTTGCACCAGACCTATGTAAACAGGGAGCAAGTAACACATACCATTACTTGCCTTTACATGAGCCTGGTGTGATTGACTCACACAAACATTGACATCAGAACTTTTTACTCCACTCTGTGTGCTAAGCAAACTGCCAAACCATTTAAATGTCAGTAAAAAGAGCAAAGAATTGTACATTAAAATAAACCAACACATGGATTCTGGGGCACAGTGCTAAACTCGTGCAATCTAGAACATGGACATTCCAATGGTTTCCATGGCAACTGCGCCACTTTTAGAATTTGCCCCAAAAGGATTCAATGTCTGCCAATAACCAATTGCACAGTTAAAACAATTGCCCACTTGAGTCCCAGGGACGGTGACAATAAACTCCATTAAAAGCTTGATGGACACATTGTTAATCTTTTCTTCACTGTTGTGCGACGGATAGCTGTATGTGAATCTTCTATGTCCAAGTGTAGAAAACCTTCGGCACTCCAGATGTTGTGGACTACATCTCCTACAATGCTTTAATGCTGGCAAAGCATCATGGTCGGTGTAGTCCAAAACATCTGGAGTGCCGAAGGTTGCCTACCCCTGTCTGGCACGTTAACGGAAGAGTTAAATTCTACAAGTTCCGCCTTCACGAACGACACAAACTACTGCAAACAAAGAGCACGCTGGCTTGAAGTGTTCGTTGTGCGCATTGACCCAAAAATAGGTCAGTTTAGATAGTGCTGTGTTATGACATTAAGGAGCTGCATTGTGTGTTCATTAGCAGAAAGCTTTGTTTTGATTATACTTTCCTGTGTCATTTGCGCTTCTTGTTATTAAGGAAGTAACCTTTTCCCTTGAATCAGGTCTGCTTTATGTTATCCTGGGTTTTCCTGTGACTGCATTATTTTACTTGTCCTTATCTTTTTATTGATCGCTGACAATACTTTTTGGGTTCTGAATGCTTGAGACGCTTTCTTTTTACTTATTATATTACAGTTACTTTACCGTCCCAAACTGATGCTTTTGTCATAATTCTGAATCCAATGGCTCTTTTATAGCTTGACCATACCCTGTTTTATAGACTGAATTGTAAATTGGCCAAGCAATGACAGAGTTTAAAGTTTTCTCAACTTCAAGTTGTTTGGCTTAAAGGGATACTATAGTGCCAGGAATACAAAGCTGTATTCCTGGCACTATAGCACCCTCTGCCTCCCTTGACCCTCTCCCCAACCCCCCTCCACTTCGCAATGAATAAAAGGTTGAAAACCTGGTGCAGGGTTGCGGCTCTGTCTTCTCCGACGCTACTTGAATGGGGGGGAGCTAACGTACATCCCGCGTGAGCATTAGACCCTCCCCACAGGAAAGCATCGATCAATGCATTCCTGTAGAAAAATAGCTTATGCTGGATGTCTTTATTCAGAGCATGAGGACGTCCAGCGTCATTTAGCAGACCAAAAGTCCGGTAACATTCTAGAAGCGCCTCTGGCAGCTGTCTTGTCTAAAACTGCATTTACCATTGCAGCACTAAGCGCAACAGGGACACGGCACCCAAACCACTTCAATGAGCTGAACTGGTGTGTGTGCCTATATTGTCCCTTTAAGATTTCTAGATCCTTGATCAAGTCCTGAGAATTCACTGTTTTATGGAATCATTCTGACCGTCCTTTTGGAATCCAAATTGTAGAAGGGATAACTGCTTTATATTGAAATTTAAAAATTATTAAAACTATTAGCTTTTACAAACCATTGCTTGGTTTAACTACAGTTATGCGTCTGCATATGTCAGTGTTTTTAAGGGAGCTTGACAAAGACCCAATTCTGGGTCGAAATGTTACAGTGTTACCTTGGTTCTAATAAATGTGCCTGAAGCTATTGGAGTGCCTGGACTTTTTCTCTATTACTTGTGTTTTTTAAGGAGGTCAGAGAATAGACCGCACTGAACACCTTAATCCAATGCCTTTCACACAATTTATCTTCTATCTGGTTGTCCCTCAACCTTGGATATATTGGAGGACAAGACCCAAGCAATGTGTTCAATCAGCTCTCTATTAAGAGAGATTGCCCTCTTGTATGCTGTTATCGGAAGGTCACTTACATTGGAGGACACACACTTTTGAGATCTTTCACAACAAGCGCATTTGGTTTTGAATTATTATTTTATCTCTCAAAATTCATCATTGCTGTTTTATCCTCTGCTACAGGATACATGGAGAGCATCAGCTGGAACACTCAACCCATCACTGGCGCCCATTGATTCTCTTCCGGCACTCTTATAAAGTTTCAGAAGTCCCATTTGATTGTTTCAGATGGTTATTTGCTTACAAACGTATTGAACTAAAGCCTGGGGCTTCCTTGTAAAACATATGAAATGATAGTCTTTTACCACCAATAAATGTTCCTACGATATTTATGGATGAAACGTTAAACTGTAGAGCTTTGTATATTTCAATGCTTTTTTCCAGATGTAGGAGTCTGTATGTCTATATAATCTATCCATAAACACACGTATAGATTAAAAGACCCACATTCACACCACTTTCTATGAGTGGACTGTAGTCTATCATGTCGTTCCAATGACTTAGTGTGGCATTCTCACTGGCCTACCTGTGTGCCCCATATAACTGGATACAACACTGCACATCTGGGACAAAAGCTGTGCTACTTGTTTGAGTCTTTCATGGAATCAGTAGCTAGTGATCGGATTTTATACTGAAAAAATTAAACCTTTAAATGCTGTCAAATTATTACTGATGTGACAGATTGATGGGCAGAACACACATTCACTAGACCAGCGAACTCCATGAGAGCCTGTGGCTGGAAATAAAAAGTGTTTCTTGATATAATATGAAAATCGTACGGTTAGTTTGAAAAGTCCCTAGTTCAGGCAATGAAGGTCAAGGAAGCTAATTGATTCTCCAGTGATGCAGATTACTGTGGTCATGGAAGCTGCTTTACTGAATAGGTCATTCTGTGTTGCCCAAGTGACTAACCGCACCGAAAATAGTCATGTCTGCTGTCTACAGATGGTACAGTATTCGTGTGATTTAATCACTCTGGAAGAATGTCTGTATATACCAGTATCCCAACTCTCTAGGATGCTCTGTTAAGGGTCCTTGCCACAAACTGTTTTATTATGTATTTATGCAACACATTTATACACGTAGAACTGTGCAAGATCAATGCAACGTTCTTTTTTCAGGATAAGGTATAGATGAGAGAGAGAGCTTACCAGGTGTCAGAGAATGTTAGGAAAACCAATCGTTATAGCAAATATTGTTCTGGAAACTCTGAACAGTGAATGGAGGCCTAAAGATAACAGCATTGCTTATATTTGCTGGTTATGAGCTCTCTGCCATTTCTCTTGTTCCCCTAGCACTTCTCCCTAACTTCATAAACTCTTCCTTGCTCTTGATGATAGTACTGGATCCTCAGTAAGCAAAGCTTATGGTCATCTAGGACTTGACATTTCTTGCCCTCTCATGTTTAGCATCTGACCAGATATGCTGCCTCCAATATAATAATACCTCCAAGATTTAACTAATTCTACTGCTAGGTGCCATAAACCTCAAATTGACACATTTATTAGTTTCCCATTGTTCCTATGGCAACGTTCTTTTATTGGATCTCAACAATGATCCACACAAGACGTGTTGTTTCTCTTCTTTAAAGCCTTCACTGGCTCCCCATCCCATCAAGAATAAAATATGATATCCCTTAATTTAGTTTACACAAAAAACTTTAATCTCTCTTGTATCTCAATCCTTATTGAGTTTCCCCAAAATTGGCCTCTCTTCTGCTCTTCAGGAAATACAGATTACAGAACCGCGCACATACAACAAATTATTATTTATAAAGCGCCAACAAGTTCCATAGCACTGTATTTGTAACCAGACAAGTTGTACACACAGGAACAGAGGGATTGAGGGCCCTGTTCATGAGCTCACATGCTAGAGGGAGTGGGGTATAGTGACACAAAAGGTAAGGTAGAAAGGTAGGTTGATAGGATAGTATTCACTCAGGGCTTAGTGTTTTGTTTTGATGACAGTTTCAGGAGCGGAATCAGGGTGCGGGGAGGGAAAGCTGTTCAGTTTTATTGATATGCTTTCCTAAAGAAGTACGTTTTCAAAGATTTTTTTTTTTGAAGGAGTAGAGATTGGATGAGAGTCTAACAGAGAGGGGAAGGGAGTTCCATAGTAATGGTGCAGCCCTAGAAAAGTCTTTAAGATGAGCATCAGAGGTTAGATGTAGGTCTCCGGCAGAGCGTAGGGGACTACATGGAACATATTTGTGTATTAGTGAGGATAAATAGGTTGGAGCAGCATGGTGTAGAGATTTGTAAGCAAGTATCAGGATCTTAAATTGAGTCCTATATCTTAAGGGAAGCCAATGTAGGGACTAACAAAAGGGGGAGGTACAGGCGGCCTGGAAGATGAACCTCGCCGCCACATTCATTATGGACCGTAACGGGGCAAGTTGGGGAAATGTAAGACCACTGAGAAGCCAATTACAGTAGTTAAGGTGAGAGAGGACAGCGGCATGGACACCTTTCATCCGTATCCGGTAGGTCGGATGCGTGCAATATTTTTGAGATGAAAGTGGTAGGGTTTGGCGATTGATTGGCCGTGAGGGGTAAAGGAGAGGTTGGAGTCAAAGAGAACACATAGGCAGTGAGCCTTAGAGGATTCTTTTTTTTTTTTTTTTAAATCTTGCAAGGCTTCTTTAAATAATTTTCCTAACACAAATATGGTGATCCGTTACACTATATGGCCATATTGTGTTAAGCCCACCACTACGCCACAGCACCCCAATATCCTACACTGATTTTAACATGGGAGATTTGCATGCTAACTGCAACACTTACTGCATAAACTGCTTTCAGAGACTCTCTTCAATGTATGCTTCCCTCTAGTCGCCTCCAAAGGGGGAACCTGGAGTGGAAGGGCTGGGTGCTCAACCTAGAAGGAATCAAAGCTCTTCATATTCTATAAAACATTAGAGTGAGAATTCAAACAGAATTTCAAGTTTAAGGCCAAAGTAACTGAACTGGTAACATTCTATCTATATATCGTGCTAGCAGTTTTAATAGCAATTGTATAGATTAGTAGAAAAAAAAAGTTAAAAATTACTTTTTTTTTCTCCCAGCTGCAAGTGCGGGCAGCATTCTCTTGGAAGCATAAACACAAGCACTGAAATTTAGTGGTTATGTTGCTTAGACTTTTCCAGACAATTCATCTCCTTCTAGAATCTCACACATCGCTCCCCTAACCCCAATTCTTAGTCCTGTAACATCTACAATGCAGACAATGGATTTGTTCTTTCTTTGCCTATATTAATCGTCTAAACACACCTAGTTCTCAATTATCCATTTCCCGGTTAGACTGTAAGCTTGTAAAATCTACCATTTGTTCTCTCCCCAATAAAATAAGTTGAATTTTAAAATTCTTTATAATTTATCTTTTTATGGCGGAATCTGTTACACCTTCAGCAAATACTATTGATAATGTTGGAAAGTCTATATAATAACCTAACGATGTATTGATCCAGATGCAATGCACACTCTTGCCCAGTGGGCACACTTGTAGATATTATCCAAGTGTGAAGATGCATTAGTACCCCAACAGTCAGCCTTTTATATCCTGCTTCATACTGTGTTATGGAGATATCACCTAGACAGTCTTTCCGGTTTATTTATTTCCCAGATTAATTTTGAGTAGGCACACCTAACCCATTCCTATGTCCAATGAATGAGTCTGGGGCAAGATTCCACAAATGGAACAATCAGCAGGAACATTCTATTGGTTTCCACGGTGACTGTACCATAATAGAACCTTGACCCAGAAATACTATTGTAAATGTTTATCCTTTTTCCTGTCGCTGGTGATGTCTGGAAGATATGAAAAAAACATTTTGTCAAGTTTTGTCAGATATATACGAAAAATGTGTGGATGTAGAAAATGCAAGACAAAGAAGTCCTATCTTTTGTCTTATGCCTTTTGACTGTGTTGGTATTTCGGTAAAATTCCAAGTCAAAGTGAGTATTTCATGAAAATTGTATCTTTACAAAATATTATTTCTTTTTAAATGCTTTTTGGGTGGGGGTGGGGGAGTGGTAGGGAGTGATCAAGCCACAGTAATAAAATCCAGGAGCCCAGAAATTCTATGAGATAAATAGACTAAATGCTGCAGATAATCATTTATATCTGCTTCCTGTCTGTCATTCGCTCTGTGTCTGTTACATTGTATAGCCGTTAGTGGGATGGGAAATGATGTGGACAGTTAGCGTGGTGAATCCAGGGATTATGGAATACTTTAGTTGATAAACCATAACTTCACTAACTGCAAACCATTTTTACAACTGTGCTAATCTTCGCTTCCATTAAACCAGTTGGCTGTTACCTCACTTGTTGAATGAACCTCTGAGAAATGCAATGGTGTAAGTTCGATAGCAGATGAAATCTAGCTCTGACATGGGGCTTTGTATTAAGGTCAATGCTCTTTTATTGAAAGTAAGGGGAGCATCAGTTCTGGCTTTTCTTCTTCCTGGTTTGGTGAGTGCTCACCGCAGAACCTGCAAATCCTGGAGATGCAGAAATGTCAAACATCTTTGCGTTTACAAAATATTTGGCAATTTAATGCATTATTTAAACCAGACCACAGTGTCTCATTAATCTTTCTGCATGTGTATTGTAGAGTAAATTAAATCCGTGCTACCAACACATTACTCATTGTTGGTTTTCTTGGGGCACAGAGTGTGTTTTGGTTCTGGACCTTTAACAGTCTTTGTGAGTGGATAGGGAATCTGTTAAAGTTGTGATCTATGACACCAATCGATGGCTGGACCCGAAGAGCTGTAATCTGCTCGAGGTTTCCTATGTCCATGAGTGGAAATGCTATCTTGGCTGTCTGAATATACTTTTATTTTTTTACTTCTTCAGGGAAACAGCTGCTGTCTTTCCCCCTTTTTTTCCTTCTCTGGCCTTTTGGATCATTTCCTGTTATTTGTAGTCCATATATGCAAAAATAAACAGTCTGTGTTAAAACAAAGACCAAACTCCCAACATTCATTCATGGAAAGCATGTTTACTAGAGAATAGGATATGGGTGTTTCTTGTGGTTTTTTTTTTCTCTGCTGTAACGCAAAACATTTTTTATTTTCTTTCTTTTCAAACTTTGCCTATTGGTTATGTGTATATATTTTCTCCTGCTGGGACATAACACATTTTTTTTTTTTGCACAGATTTCAGGATACTTTTAATGCTTCAACTTGTTTTTATGTTTATTTTTTATAGCTTGTATACAAGTATTTGGAAGGTTAGCACTTTTTTGCAGCATTACTTTTTATTTTATTTTTTTGTAGAAAACTCCAGTTTTGCAGATGGAGTTATCCATTCTTTGTACATCAGACTCTGTCTTTCAACAGTCTACAGTCCATTACATCCTCGTCAAATCATTGGCTGATGTGTAATGCAGGAAATAAACAAATCTTTCACAAGTTGTAATATCTTCTGCGCATGGCTCTCGTCATCCACTGTTCCTGTATGTCGAACATGTTTTGTTAGAATATTTTTTTTTTTGTCTTTACCTGTTTGTCTCTTCTCCCTCTTTCATCTCTGCTGTTCTTCCATATCCTGCCTCTACTCTGCCACCAGCTTTCCATGACCGAAGACTCTCCACCGCTCTCATCAAATGTTCTCACTCCACATAACATCCTCCCTCTCCTTTCAATAAGGATCTTTCTAATCACTCTGCAAATTCTATAACACGAAGCCACATTGTAACTATTCTCTAACCAACACGCTAATTATGATTTTAATGTGTTGGGAAAGAAATCTGTATTCCTAAACTATAGTGTTTATGTCCACGGGTAAAGCCCGCTACTCCTTTTCTAATGAATTTTTTTTTTTTTTAAATGGTGCTGCTCACAACTCTGTCTCCTACAATGTCATCAAGGAGATGTGGCCTCCACCAGCGGAACATTGGGACATTAAGAGCATGCAGACTTGTCCTACACTCACATCCAAGCTTCCCCTTTAAAGCCTTGTATTCAATGCTTCCATATGAGCATCTACATCCAATTATTTGGTCAGCACAACAGAAGCACCTCTAGTGGCTGTCTAACTGATTTAACCATAGTCTATTAAAGAAACTCCGTCTCCAAGCACACCAGAATAAATTTGTACATATAAAATATCTTTTGTTTGTTTATAAAGTGATAAGCATAGATAATACAAGAAAAGTGCAGATAATAGTACAGGCATGTAACTATTAAATAGAATACCACTTAATCACTCATAACATGCAATAGTAAGTGCTCAAAATAAAAACCCATGCATACTGACCAGCGAGCAGGAGACCATAATAACCTCAACGTTTTGGCGAACATTCCTTCCTCAGGCTGAATGTGTACAATGTGTGCTTGGGGTTTCTTTTATCGAATAGGTTTATGGATCTGTTGGGAGATCAGATTTTGCCTTTGAGCACCTGGTAACTCTCTATTACATTAATCCATAAGTACAGTTTGAGCGCTCACTATAATTTTCTATGCAATTACTGATCTAACCCTGCAATGTAAACATTTAAAACAGCTGGATAACGCTAATGTTTTTCATTGCATGTTTAGAAGGACAGGGCCGCTACGCTCCGGGAACTTCATTGAGATGAAGTGGTCTGGCTGACTTTTGTGTCCATTGAAACACCAGTCATTTACTTGTCTCATAGAATTTCTCCCTAAACGCACAATTTGCAGAGAGTTGCCACATTAATATTATTCCCCCTACCAACCAGTTAGCATCATGTCAATTTGAGCTGTAATCTGTTTGTGGTTTCCTTGGAACTCTGAGTGCAATTTCATTAAACACCTTGAACTATTTATCTGTCTTGATATGAAATGGGTTAGAGCTGCTGTGAGTTATCTCACCAATCATTGGTTAAAAAAATAAATTGCTAAATTCCCAGCACCTCAAAATCCACCTTTCTTTAGCTGCAGGACTAGTGCATCTCTCGTCTGTTGGGTATATGCTGTATTCATATCTTGCAGAGATTTACAGGAAACAGAGTCCCCAAAAAACAGAGTAGTTGACTACTCTTGTCTAATCTTGGTATAAAACCTGGGTTAAATATGAGATAACTGGCCTCTTCTTTCCTCAACAGGTCAATTAACATGTCTTGGTTGCAGTGGCTGTAGATAGATGACAGGCTTTTGCATGGTTTCCAATCTGGCTACTGTTTAAGTGTGCAGTTAAACCACACAATCTGGATTTTTGTAATCTTTTTAGAACGTTCCTCGTATTGAGTTTCTGGAGAATATACTTAGGATGCCGGGAAATAGCCCTGAAACTAGTCATGGTTCTAGTATGCGAAGTGCACGGTCTCTATATATAATCTTAAGTTTTGTGATCTTTGTAATTCAGGTTCCCTTTCTATTCTTGTAGCAGATAGACTGCACTGTCATAAATTAGTCACTTTTTGTATTTGCAGATACTTATTTGCCGGGTGGGTCAAAGACACGGACTTTAATCTCAAATTGTAAAAGTTTTCAGACAATGTTTTACATAGATCATGTGCTCTATAACTGGGATCCCATAATTAAAATGCTCCTGTTTGTCAGATCTTCCAACAATAGTGGAAGCTATAACTCTCTTTACCACAATATAATTCTGTATGGTGGATTGGGTGCAAATGTAATACCAGTTTTATGGCTCTTGAGTGGAGAGAATTTGCTAGTTAACGTAAAAAACAGCTGGTGCACCAGAGTTGCTGAACTACAACTCTTATCTGTGCCTTGCAATGGCCAATACAGCCATGAATTTATAATTTAATATCTTCTTTCTTGCTACTCCTCACTTTGACAGTTTTTCTGTACAAGTGTGCGTGCAGTAGTTAAGGGAAGGTTCCAAGAATAGGATAAGAAGAGACACTCTGACTGTATCCGCATTAGAGGAGAAATTAGGTTGCAGAAAGCCGTTAAGGAGCTATTTAGCTTAGTATAGAAGTTGAAGTGTGTTAAATTTCCTTGATCCACCATTGGACGTTCCATCATGTATTTGGTGGGCAAAAAAAAACTGTGTGGTCCTGCAGTGTGAGATATTGAGATACACTTCAACCAGTATTTATATCACTACTTCTAAGTCTCAAACCCTTACAGAGAGATTGTCCAAGGAATGAGGAACTAAATTATAAATTACGGCTATTCAGGACATTTGTGAAGTCTCAATAGGTGAAACTTTGTAACCCTTCAAATTTTAATTTCTTGTAAATGGTACATAATATATTTTTACAATTTTACTAGTAAAGCTACATATTTTAATTATTTATCCTTTTTCTCATTATTTTTACCTCTTTGGTTGAGGATAATATAGTCTTCTGAGAACGTCTAAGGATCACACAGGCACCATGCCCCATAGCCTACATGGGGAGGGTGTTCCTTGATCGGACCTGTGCTTTTGACTAAAGCTATGTTTACATTTCATACAATCTTTTTTGTGGGAACACCTGGGGAAGGCCTGCTGTATTAAAATGTAAGAACATGGGAAATTCTGCATTTAATTCTGAGAATGTTTTGGAAATGTAATATTTCATAAAAAACTGGGCCTTCTGTATGTGTCGCATGTTAATACAATGTAATTTAAAAAAAATCAGCCTTTCTGTTGTTTCAAAGTTCTTTTATTCCTATCGGGCACTAAAAAAGTCGCGAACCATTCGCGAACTTCCCGCGAACGGCTCGCCACGAACCGTTCATGGCGAGCTCCGGTCAGCTGACACATCCTGGCCAATCTCCAGCAGACCCTCCCTCCCAGACCCTCCCACCTCCTGGACAGCATCCATGTTGAAGGCAGCTTCAACATGGATGCTGCTTCATGAAGGCAGCTTCAACATGGATGCTGTCCAGGAGGTGGGAGGATCTGGGAGGGAGGGTTTGCTGGAGATTGGCTGGGTTGTGTCAGCTGACCGGAGCTCGCCACAAATGGTTCGTGGCGAACCGCGGCGAGCCATTCGCGGGAAGTTCGCGAACGGTTTGCAACATCTCTATCGGGCACTATATGCCACAAGACAAAACAATTTGGAAACCTTATTCTAAGTCACTCTTCAATTTTTAAAACACGCCAATACACATTGCATGTATTGTACATTTTAATTTCATTAAATTGTTGTGTGTATGTGTGTGTTTATTTGCTGATTGGACTTAATCTATATTTGTGTACCAACCAAAAATCATACATTCTAAAGGTACATTTAAAACCATCTAATCAACTAGACCGCTCTCCGACCCATATATATTGGGTTGATTTATTTGATGAATACACTAATATATCTTTCAGTGGACCTTTTGTTACATCTGTTTTTGTAAAAAAGAATAAAAGCCATCTGAAAATTCTGTGGGGAAATGAAACCGTCAGGTTTTTATAACTCTGTAATAACTACCAGACTAAAATGTTTATTTGATTTGGCCCAATCAGCTCCTGGCCCCTTCATCTGAATAATGTTTTATGCAGAAATATTGGAATTAATGCTAACTGATCGCTGTATTTCTCAGCTTATAAACGATGTGTTCCTGTAATCCATATTAAAAATAGTCAGCTTTCATAAGAGAATGTTATTCGATGGTTTAAATCTAATCGCCTCCATATATGTATTTTCAAGAAAATGTTGATAATAAAATGATACACACTTTTGACGTTTCTGCACGTCATGTAAATCTCCTAACTCTTCATCGTCCTTAGTTTCCATTCCCTGAGAGTAAAAAAAAAAAAAAAAATTAAAAACAAACAAATAAATAAATTGTGTGCATCTCCTTTGTCTGCAATGCTTTATTGACACATCATTCATTTTATAGCTTTTACCAGTTTAAAAAAAGAAAACCAAAACAACAATAAAACACACACTCCGCATAATTTAAGGTAACTGACATGTGGTTACCTGGAGTGCCCCTTTAAGGATCAAACACTGTGGCAACCTTTATATAGCAGCCCAATACCGTTTGCCAAGTTACAAGCGGTGGGGAGTTTACTTTATTAGAATGGAGTCTTTTGCCAGAGAGCACTTCAAAAGGTAATATGACACTATTAAAACAAAGCCAAACTCTGCGTTTCAAGTTCATTGCAGGACACAGCATCACTAAGTATGTGATGAAAACCATACATACATATGTAATCTAAATATTATTCCTGATGGCTTGTAAATGCAAAGGTGGAGTAGCTGATAATATTTAGCATAAACTTCAAAGATTATTAAAAGAAAACTGTAACCATAGGGGTGTAATAAGTTAACGTTATAGGAGGTCTTTATTCTAGAATTCTATGTAAAGCCACAGTGTCTCAACACCAGATCGTTGGAGATGGGACACCTTTTAATACTCCTCATGTTTTAAAGGGGTAGTAGCACGTACTTTATGGGCCAGCTGTGATTTTTATCCGGTTTATAAACTAATCTTCAAAAATGTTTATATTAAATTACAAAATTAAGCTAAAATATCCATTATTTGTGACTGTGATCAGTTGAATTTATCCAGATCGGCTACTTTCACCTTAATTCTAATACTTCAGATTACACTTTGAGGTTTAATTAGCAGTAAAATATTTATCTGCATTCTCAAGGATTCATTCTCTAAAGGTTTGCAGAGAACTCAAATGAAAAGTGCAACATTTAGGTCATAGAACCAATTTTGAAGATTTAAATTTTTTTTTTTTTTTTTTTAAAGAATTATTTATCTTATTTTATTTGCTTAAAGTGTGCAGATTCCTTGTCTGTTCTCCCCATCCTTCAATTTCCTCCTAAAATTCTCAATGTTTTAGACTCCTAAAACAATATACATACCGTGTATAAAAACAATATAAAATAAATTCTATTTCAACTAGTATACGGGTAGTTTCCACCTGTAACCTATAATATTACTGCGATACTAGCTACTTCCTTAAACACACCCATAGTATTTACCTGCTGAATGGTACATTGTAAGAAATAAAGTAGGATGTCTGTGTTCTGTGTTGGTAAGTGTGATGTTTGCATACTCCACCTTTGTTTTACATTGTTTTATGACATTGTGTTAATGAGGCCACAGATTATGCGCAATTATCGAATATAAATCTCAGCACGCTTTTTATTTCACTGACAGACAGTAGCATACAAACTGCTGAGACATCGGTGGAATCCGACAAAACGACAACAAACACATTCGCCAAAGGCTTGTGACAGGTTTATCGCACTGATTTCCCCTAGATAGAAAATAAATTAAAATGTGCAGTGAGGATGTTCAAGGATCAGAGAGAATATTAGATGCCATGAGAATCTTTTTGTTTTGTTTTTTTTCTCTATGGAAGTCTTTCCTAAAGATGCAACCAGTTCTAGCTGACACTTCTTGATTTTTGCTGTTGTAACTGACTATTAGTTTTGCTAAACCAACTTTATTGCAGACTATTGCAAAGGAATGTCTGGGGATCCTGAAGTCACCTGCTTTTATTTATATTAAAACTGGCAACCATGCTGCCAACTTCTGGTTGTAGCTCCATTTTTTTTATTTATTTTTTTTAGAGTTTTTTGTTTTTGCGTCAATGACCATAGGACTTGAGGGTGGTAGGATCTGATGAAATAGTGTTAAAATGAAAACACCCCTAAACTCTGTTACTCAACGGGGCAGTATCATAGCTGGGGCAGCAACCTTTTCTGATTGATGGGGTGCCTGCCAGTACTTGCTACAACCAACGTTAAAGGAAAGACAATTAAGACAATACCATCAGTGGGATTTTTTTTTTTAAATATACATTCACATAAATACAATGGCTTACCATCAAGACAATATCATCAGTGGGATTTAAAGGGCTCACAGGCGCTCAGTCTTCTAGGAATAGGGTAGATGAGACTCCAGGCAAATATGGATTTGCTCTGAAGACTATAGAGGATATCTCTCACTTTTTAAAGAGTCAAAGGTGCCGTGTGACCACAAAAGGGATGCAGTTCTCATGAGACCTCTGTAATAGACATTGTTCAATGGAAGGACACTGAAAGGTTTTGTAAGGAACAGTCTAAGAGCTCATGGAATTTTAGATAAGCTTACAACCAGTAGAGAACTTACATTCCACCGCAGAGCTGTTTTTCGATTTACAGATGGTTTTAGACTTCACAGTTCTTAATTGTCTTCGATAATTGGAATATAGCCTATTTAGCATATGTTCAGTCTATGGGAGAGGGCTCATTCAACTGGAGGGTCTCAAAGAGAGTCGTTCTGTTAGAGAGATCTGAGCAGGATTGACCGTAAGAGTAAGATATGGGCCTTGGAACCATCAATTTGCTTGTCCTAATTTACCACCCCATGAAAAGAATGAAGGGGGCTCTAACAAGTTGCTTTGATGCTGATGGCTAACCGGCTGGTAAAAATGCATGTTTCTGAAGATAAGCAGGCAGACCAGAATATCTGGTGTGCCAAATGTAAGCCACCAAGGTTTACCTAGAGTTTGCAGTTTAAAAAAAAAATAAAAAAAATTACACCCTTCACAAAATAAAATAAAACTCATTTCATCCCAGGACACGTAGCAAAGACACAGAACTTTGTTAGACAGAGGAAAGTGTTTAATTTTGTAACCAGGGGGAAGTAACGCATTGAATAATATTTTATATCTTTTTGATCATCTGGAACATTTTTAACAATAGATTGGAAGAACCATCACCTGAAATCTGCTTAGCTCAGTGAGTAAATGATCCGTAGATGACAGCCCCATTGTTGTAGTGCTTTGCTCTGAGAGATACTTCCTGAACAGGTTGGGAATATCTCCCTGGCCTGTCTAGAAGTAAGCCAAAAATGGATTTTCCCCATTTCTCATGCATTATGTATTTAAAGATGATGTCATCCTAAAATGCAGAAATTACAAGATCCTCTACTTGAGGTGATTGATATAGTTTAATCCACACGCTACAGTATAGAAATTGAATTGTCAAAACCTCACCTCCCCATGAATTTCTTTTTTTAAATAACAACTAAAATCACCAAGACCATATCATCTCAATGAAGTGGCCTGGGCGCAGTGGTCCTTTCAACTCTACCCTTTCAAGGTAAAACAAATTGCCTTTATGCACAAACGACTGTGTTTACCTTGATACGTTAAACCCACCTCTACTGGCTGCTACGCTGACAACCACCATTGGTCCTTCTGCAGCACTGACCGTGTAAAACATGGTCATGTTACATTGAAACCACTGTCGGAAAGCATTGACTAAATGCTTCCCCATGGGAAAGATTGAATTCAGAGCATTCTGAGGAGCATTGGGTTGGGCCATGCCTCCTACATGATGTCATGGGAGGAGGAGAGGTAAGCAGTGGTGAGGGAGTCTCTGTGCTTTTTTTTATTTGACACATGGGGGAGCTATCTAACCTTGTATTCCTAACACTTTAGTGTTTCTTTAGGGCTACAGCTAGATTAATCAGTCCGCTTATCCAAAGATTGATTTGCTTGCACAACTCTCTGCACATTGCTTGGGGTTCCATCATGGAATGTTGAGATAAAAGTTGAGCAGTGTCATACAACCTTTAAAGACGTCACATTTATAGATCCTTCATCCCACTGCCTGGCTGGCATAACTGTAGTTTATACCACTCTATGCCAATGTTATAAGTATGTGAGCTAGAATCTTCATTTCCAAATTACATTCCATGTGGTCATTGGCAAAGCGTTCAGCTAGTATAAAATGTAGATGCTGTTTTATTGTCTAATAATGTGCCACCAAGTCAGGGAGGTGCACATCACGAAAAATGTTCTATATAAATCTTTATTATTATTATTATTATTATTATTATTATTATGTAATACATGAGCCACTTTAGTGCCACACCTTCATGTTTAATGACATTGTGATTTTGTAAAGCACATCTAAAAGTGAGAGGTGAAAAAAATATTAGGCACTGAAAATGTATGTTACTGCAAAATTATGTTCAAAAAGGTGTTTATTGGCTTTTAAAAGCAAAGCTGAAAGCCAAAAACAGCAGAAAAGTAAACATGACGTTTTGGGCTGCGTGCCCTGCACACCTAAAGAACGGAACATACCCCCAAAAATCATGGATTTATTAAATTTTTGTGTTTGGTTTGGCTTTTCTGACATTTAAAAGCCAATAAACACATTTTTAAGCCAGATTTTCTTCTTTAATTAACTTATTTTACTTGTACTTTTCTAGGTAATTTGCATTTAACGTTTGTTTTCCTATGGGGTTTTTTTGGGGCTTGTCATCTGCTGAGACTCGTGTCTTGGCACATGTCAAATGACCGATTAGGAGCACAGCAAGGAAGGAATATTTAATGTTGGGCATAATTGTAACTCTTATGGAACTTGTATACCTTAGTGCAAAAAATAGTGGCCCACTTCATTGCAGTAGACCCTTTTGAAAATACTAATATATACCTGGGGTCTCTCTTTATAATATATTCTAGACATAAAATTTGAATAAAACAGGCTCTTTTTAGGTTCTACTATCAAATCTTCATTTTAATAGATTTTCATGCACAGGTAGTGATGGCAATGAGTCACTTGACTAGGAAGGAGTCCTTTCGGCTTTTCGGCTTTTAGATATCAGAGTTGGGCAAAAATTCGTTTGACCTGGTTTGTCCTAATTGACATGCTGTAACATGTTCATCCTCCCCTTGCGGCATCTGCAGTGGTTGCCTTCCTAATGGACGCGGTGGTGCAGTTCGGCGGCCATGCGTCAATGTGTCTGACTCCTGCAGCATGTTGGTGGACGCCGGCTGCTGCGGATCCACACCAATTTGTAACCCCATGTCCGCCCACAGCATTGACAATGTCGGCGTGCGTGTGACATCACGTAAAAGACGCGCACGCACATTCTGGGGTCAATGGTCGGGTACGGCCAATCGAATCTGAGAAAAGCTTATTTAAACTCCTTTTGCCTTTTCCTCATTGCCCTGTCGTAGTTTCCCTTAGTGGTTGTCCGACAGGGTGTTCCTGAGCATTTCTTTCTGGTTATTGACTTTGGCTTCGTTTTGACTTCCCTGTATTCTGGTATCCTTGACTTTTGGCTTTCCCTTATCGTTGTCTCTTTCTGTGTCCCGACCTCAGCAAGTATCCTGACTATTCTCTGGTACGTTAAGTCCAGCCATTCTAAGGCCTGGGAAGACGTAACCTTTAGTCCTAGGTGTGATACAGTTCTGCATGCTGGATCAACTAGTAATCCTGACACATGCTTTTGATCCATGCTGGACCATATTGATTGGTCTTGGATTTACCTGTGGAGACTCCTTTGATGAATAGGACTGTACATATCAAAGGTGGAAAAATCATTTTAATTCAGGTTTGGTTTAAAAATTCTTTGATTCTATTCAAATAAAATTTTGCACAATTATACTGGATACCAGCTCTAAAAATGTATTTTTCCCAATCACAATATAACACGGACCATACTAGGTCTCCTCTTATGGTGATGCAGTTTCTAGGCCTAACAAGAGGGCCCACCAATTTAAATGGCTCGATAAAGGGTGGGCTGAACCAGACAGTCTCCGCCTAGATGAAAGGACGGCTGGGTATTTATAAGCCGGGATCTCCCCTCCTCCAACTACAGACTCTGCACACAGGCTCCGCCTTTCCATTTATGGAATAAATTTGATGATGCTCTACAGGTGTAAGTGAGCATTACAAATTCCGATTTGTTAAAGGACCACTACAGTGCCAGGAAAACATACTCGTTTTCCTGGCACTATAGTGCACTCAGGGTGCCCCCACCCTCAGGGACCCCCTCCCTGAGGGCTCTGGAAGGGGGAAAGGGGTATAAACTTAACTTTTTCCAGCGCTGGGCGGAGAGCTCTCCTCCTTCGATCCTCCTCTTCTCCTCCCCGTCGGCTGAATGCGCACGCGCGGCAAGAGCTGCGCGCGCATTCAGCCGGTCACATAGGAAAGCATTCATAATGCTTTCCTATGGACGCTGGCGTGCTCTCACTGTGAAAAATCACAGTGAGAAGCACGCAAGCGCCTCTAGCGGCTGTCAATGAGACAGCCGCTAGAGGAAATAGGGGAAGGCTTAACCCATTCATAAACATAGCAGTTTCTCTGAAACTGCTATGTTTATGAAAAAATGGGTTAACCCTAGCTGGACCTGGCACCCAGACCACTTCATTAAGCTGAAGTGGTCTCGGTGCCTAGAGTGGTCCTTTAAGAACTCACAGCAAAAGCTGCAAAGCCTGCAGATTTGCAGCAAATGCGGCCTGCCAGCTAGAACTTAATTCAGGTTCGTTTGTAGTTGTTCCAGGCCATGTTTATCTTTAATATTTGTATCTGTATAAATCACTCTGTATTTGGATTCCATTTATTGTATGGTTGGTGCAGTGGCGTACTTGGGGGGAGGAGGGGGCGGTCTGCTCTGGGTGCCACTCACTAGTGGGGTGCCCGGGGCGAACTTTCACAGGGGTGGCGACCCCATCTAGCAGCAGCAGCAGCAGGTCCTCTGTTCTTGCGATCCGCGAGAGCGTTGCCACGGGTTGCCATAGCATGCAGAGTTCTGGGCCCCTCTTCACTGCCCATCTATAGCTGTGCCATCGGACCACCAGTTGAGGAGGATGGGACGGGCAGGTAAGTGGTAGCACTTATTCCACACAATATACACACTGCATCTGCATAGACTATACACACACTCCATACACTATACACACACTGCACATACTCCATACACAATACACACTCCATACACTATACACACACTGCATACACTACACACACACTATACACACACTGCATCTGCACACACTATATGCACACACACTCCATACACTATACACACACTCCATACCAGGGCCAGACTGGGAAAAAAATTCATCCTGGGCATTTTTCAATCACAGCGGCCCCTGAGAAGGGGGCGGGGCCAGAGAGGGTGTGTTTTGTCATCACTAAGGACAAGCACACCCCCTCTCAAAGTGAGCATGTTGGTTCAATGCGCAGAGCCCCGCTGAAGAGCTCTAGCATGAGAAAACGGCCCTGTATTTGGTCTGCGCAGCGCGAGCAAATTTAATAACATGCTTGCACTGTGTTTGCTTTTCACTTGTCTCTGGTGTCTCAGTGAGTGGGAACCAGAGGACAAAAGTGTCAGGAAAGCGTACCGTGCTAGGGGCTGTAGAGAGTGTGTGTAGAGGGGGCATAGTATGTATTGGGGATGTAGAGCGTGTGTGCATACCGGCTGTAGTGTGTGTTGTATAGAGTGTGTGTTTAGAGAATGTAGCATGTGTTTGTTAACAAGGAATGTAGTGTGTGCATAGGGGATCCAGAGTTTGTATGTCAGGAATGTAGAGTGTGTAGGTGGTGCAGTGTGTGTGTGTGTGTGTGTGTGTGTCTGAGGGTGCTGTGTGTGTGGGGGGGCAAGGTGTAAATTTATGATTCTTTTTTTAAATTATTATAATTAAAAATAATGTGGGATAAAATAAGATTTAAGAAATAGGGGATAAATAAAAAATATTAAAAATAATAAACTTCATACCCCCCTTCCCTTCTTACCTTTAGCTTGGGAGGGGGGGGGAGCCGTGTGTTCATGGACGAATCCCTGGTGGTTCTGTCCCATGCTGCAGTCCCTGGTGGTCCTAGTGGTGAGTGAACTCTACCCAGCAGTTCCTGGAGTAGAGTTCACTCTCGCGAGAGCTGAACATTGCCGCGGTAATCGCGGCAACGCTCAGACCTCGTGAGAGGACCCGGCGGAGCTGCTGGTTAGAGCACCGCCGGTCCTCTCCTCCCTCCCCAGCCGGGGGCCGCATGTCCGTGCCTCTGGGCCGGTGAGGGAGATCTTTGATCTCCCCACCGGCCCATGGAGGCACACAGCAGGGCCGGCACTCAGGTAGCGAGGGCCCTGCATGAGCCGGCCGTGGAGATCCTGTGATCTCCCCTGCCGACCTCGGCCCCTGGCCATCGCGGCCCACCGGGCATTTGCCCGGTATACCCGATGGCCAGTCCGGGCCTGCTCCATACACTATACACACTGCACACTTTATGCACTATACACACACTGCATACACTATACATACACTATACATGCACTATACGCTCACTGCACACTTTATGCACTATACACACACTGCATACACTATGCACACTACACACACTACACACACTGCACACACTGCACACTTTATGCACTATACACACTGTACACACACTGTATACACACACTGCATCTGCAGACACTATGCACACACTGCACACACTATACACACTGCATCTGCACACACTATACACATTGCATACACTATACAAGCGCACACACTGCATCCACTACGCAAACACACACTTATACATGTGTATCTGTATGTCTGTGTATCTGTTTGTGTGTCTGTGTTTGTTAAGGTGTGTCTGTGTATCTGTATGTGTATCTGTATGTGTGCCTGTGTCTCTCTCTGTATGTGTGATTGTATCTGTTTGTGTGTCTGTATCTGTGTATGACTGTGTTTCTATATAACTGCATGTGTGTACCTTTGTGTCTGTGTATCTGTATGTGTCCCAGTGTGTGTATATGTGAGTATAATGTGTATATGTACATACATCTCAGCATTTTGTCTACACTACACACAAATGCAACCCTGAATCCAAATGTCAACACTACATAAAGACACCACCATATTCAAAAACCACACTACAGAAAAATGCACGCCTGCATTCAAATGCCAATATGTGTAAACACACCCGTACATTCACTCACACAAACACCATACAAAAACATGCTTACATTGAAAATATACAAACACTGCTCAGTGCCAAATACATAAAAAAAAAATGTGCAGTTGTTTTTTACATTTCAAAGTTGTGAGGGGGTGGAGGGAGTGTGCCAAATAAAGCATCTGCCCCGGGTGCCAAATGCTCCAGGTACGCCCCTGGGTTGGTGACTATTTGTTATACATGACTTTTGTTTTTTTATTTTTTGTAATTGATGTTTTCAATTCCTGTTAGTTATATGCATGTCGTAGCTTTCTTCTATTTTTTTTCTTGGTAATATTTTGCAAACCGATAGCATTTATAATCGTGGCAACATTTCTATCAAATCCGTATCTAGAAGTACCTGACCTGGTTTGGAAAACACATGAAATTGCAATATTTTAGTTAATTATTTATAAGGTGTTCTTACTAGTAATTGGCTCATTCATATACCAGGCACATTGGATTATCAACATTAACAGAGGGTTATTACATTAATTAGCAGCACCTGCTTCGTTAGGGGATTTCCCAGAGGGAAAGGGAGCCAGGTGTTTACATTTGTTAAAACGCCAACATGAGTGAAACGGCACTTTTTATTTTTTTCTGGGGAAAAAAAATTATATAAATTTTTGTCCCTGTCAGAGTGGCAGGTAAGCAGCTTTCAATGTCTGTTTAATGTGTAAAACTGCCATCAATTTGTGAATGCGCCTTTTATTTCTTAGTTATAATTTGTCTTATTTTGTGAAAGTAATCAATGGTAAAATCATCAGCGGGAAAAAAAAGGAGCAAAACAAGAGAGCGTTAAAATGTGGTTTGAAAAATAGTTTATTTTGTCTCACAACAGAAAGGCAGGAAACACACCAATATATGAATGTTTTATATCTAACAATATGTCGAATGTACACAAAACGGGTGCAAACTTAAAAGCAAATGCAACACTCACTCAGTTTTGTCAGAACAACATAGATTTTCAAGCATTAAAGCCTAGTGTGTGTGTGTGTGTGTGTGTGTGTGTGTATGTATGTATGTATATATATATATATATATATATATATATATATATATATATATATATATATATATATATATATATATATATATATATATATATATATATATTTTGCAGGCTGTCCTGAAGAAAGTCCCAACCAGGGACTGAAACACTGACGCATTCATGCATCAATGCCACGTGAGTGCATAAACTGGTGAATAAACTTTTTTTTACATTTTTGTTACATTGGGAAATGCAGTGTATATAAACATATTGTGCTTGAAATAAAAGTACAGCATATTCAGTAAATTATAAACTAAATTTGCTTTTTAAAACTTTTTTTTTTTTTTTTTAATGGAACAAGGTCTATATTTTGTTAAGAACAGTTCAACTATTGTACAGCACTACGGAAACTGATGGCGCTATATAAATAATAAAATAATAATAATAATAATAATAATAACTAAACATGAAAACCGGTAACCAACCCCATTTCCTCAAAAGCAACAAAAAAACCCCATCAACCTAAAAAACCCAGAAAGATCTCCTTTAATCCTCCTGCAGGAATTTGACTGGGAGAACGATCCCAATTGCCCAGTCAGATTTGTCCAGGCCTTCCCATCTCTAATCAGCATGTTTGGGGCCCTAGAAGAAATGAGATACACTTGGCATAATATTGCCAATATCATCATTTGAAGGGTTATTGGGTTTTTGGCTCTGTTTATTTTATTTTCCTTTTTCATTCTCCTTTATTTTGGTGCTTTGCCAAAATCTGGACTATTTCAGAGCATTGGAGAGAATCGAGGGACTCTTGGAATATGTCATCTCACTTCCTGTATTGATTGGACCAACACATACTGAAATGACTGGTTCTTACAAATAAATATAATTATTCCTTCTAAAATTTCAACATTAGATGTTTGTGCAGTTTCATTTTTAACTTTGTATGTTTTTATATATAAAAAAATAAATAATAAAGCATAGATTTAAAAATAAAAAAAACCTGACAGTAAACATTCTTTTTAAGTTTTTTTATTTTTATTTTTTTTAAAGATCCGGGTTATAGGCATAGCTTGCTCATCTGTATTTTAAATAAACTCTTATTACCGGAAAGAGAATAGTAGCGCTTGGTTTTTTATATTCTCTTGAGTATTCTCTTTCTCTCTTTATCTGTCTATAAATGTTTTTATTTTTATTTTTTTTCTGAGGTATCATATTTCAAATTGCAGGATTCGGCTAAAATACAAAACACACACACAAAAAAAGCAGAATACAGCCACCAGTTCCAAATGTTTCAGACCTGCTTATTCTGTCCACAGTAATAAGGCTTGGTTCCCAGTTCTTGGCTTATTGTCATATGTGATGACATTTGTTCTCGTGCCTGTATCAGCTGATGTATTCACAGCTAATTGTTAGAAATTGAATGTTTACCTGTATATTGTGCAGGACAATTCCACAGATGAGATGGCCTTCCTGTTTGTATGGATCTTAAAGGAAGCACATTTTTTTTTGCCTGGGCTATCTTCAGGTCACAACCTCCGAGGTCACAGCCTTACTGATAGGAATAGTTTCTGTGTTTCACAATGTATCCAAATGATAATGTAGCAGGAATGCTGGGGAGAAGTATCATGTTCCTGTCTAATTGTATTGTTCCACCTGCAAAAAAAAAACAAATTAGGGAAACAAAATGCTTACAACAGCCAGCCAGAGCATCATGGGAAATGTTCCATTGTTACATGTTAATAGAAGTTAATGAAACTATCTTATTAAAATGGAACTGTCGCTTCCCTGGAAGTGATTTATTGTTCCGTCACCTACAGTAGACCTTATTTCAACAGTTACTATGGTGACCAAAGCAGTGAAGTAAGTTTACAAAAATCTGTACTTACATCCAGTTGAGCTAAAACAATTACAAAAAGTGTGGGTACACAAACCCCCACTTAGATATTGGCAATTTTACCCTCCTTGGGATATAATTACAGACCATTAAATAAACAAAATTGCATGCATATAGTGTAGTATGTAACCGCTCGGGATAAAACTCTGAAAAACTGTAAGAATCTCACTCACATACTTCTGAGTCAACCAACATTGACTCAGACTTTTAGGCTTGATTCATATCCAATATTGCACTGACGCGTTTTTAGAAAGACCATACCAGGTCAAAACACGTCGGTGCAATATTGGATTTATCATGTATTTTATATTTTGTGGATTTTAACCCTTTTGTGTTTCATTATTTTTGCCAAGGTGGCTAAATAAAGATTAAAAATTTTTATGGAAAGTTGCTCCTGGTATACATTTTGGATCTAGTTGTGCTCGATCAGTTTTGTTTATTTTAGATTCTGTTATTATATCCCGAGGAGGGTAATATTGCCAATATCTTATGGATATTGATTAATTGTTGTTTTGTAGGACCACCATATATAAGCCCCCAAAATGTCATTGGTTTCCTCTCAATGTATAATTCTAGTGAGATACTGTCCCGCTCATACATAGAAGGCAGTGGGGTTCGATTTGTTCCAGCATTCTATTTAATAACTTTAAAAAGTCAGTTATCCTTATGTAATAGCGTTGGAAGCCTCTGGGGTTGGTTGTGCCAGTGACTCAAATACAGCATTTCAATAGCCTCTGAATTCTCACGGGCATTATCATACAAGCGGGCCAATAAAGCAGTAGTTCTGGGAGCCAGAATAAATGGGTAATGTGGAACAGTTTGAACAAGCGCAATACGCAGCACTTCCAGCATAGACTTCTCTTCCAGGTTTTCTAATAACTTGGCTCAAAGGCTGCATGAAATAGCCTGGCTGCTCTTTCGACATTCTAGCAAGTCTGTAAAACTGACTAAAAAATTTTGGCCTCATTGTATGTTGTTGCCATGACAACACCCAATATAAACTGAAAAGCAACACTTTGCTTAAACAGGTGCATCAACTTATTTTTATTTTTATGGTTTATATACACTGTCTGCGTGTGTGTGTGTGTGTGTGTGTGTGTATATATATATATTATTTATTTATTTTCATTACTTTGTTTTGGAGCCTCCATATACTGCATTTCAGGCCACTGTTCTGGCATAGGATTAAGGATGTGGTGGCACTTTACAGGTTTGTGCACATCTCCCAAAATGCTCGTCTTCCCTAAATGCTGTCGGGGTCACGTAGGACAATAGGTGGCCAGTGTTGTTTGTTTTTGTTTCTTGGCATTACTTGCACCAATAGCATTTAGAACTCTATGGACAGACCATCCATTGCCACATTTTACCTTGTCTGATATATGCCCTGGCCATAGGTTAGAGTTGCCGAAAATGTAATGTAATGGTATTAATATAATGATTTATGTCATAAAATAAAACATAATGAGTTTAATGCGTTAGAAGCAGCCTATGGATATAACATTCCTTTTTTTATTCTTTTTTTATTTTATTTATTTCTCAAATTTATTCTATTGACCTAAATAAGAATTGTGCCAGCAAAGTGTAGCTAAAATAAATGAGTAAAATAATCCACCTCTCTTGATCTTCTAGTTAGGATTACCATATTGGCATCATAATCCTTGATGCCTTTAAAAAGAACTTTGTGGTTACACTGGTGAATTATTATTACTTTATTATTTATATAGCGCCGGCAAATTTCGTAGTGCTGTACAATGGGATGTAAATTGAAGGTTGTTGGTGGCCATGTGCGTTTTTTTTGATCAATGTGTGATAGAATAATAGCACCTATTATTATTTACTCTGTCAGCCTGTGTCTAGGTGCCCACTGGCAGGTCAAACCACGGTATGAAGAAGTATGATAATTTGTGAGAAATGAAATGGATATGTGGAGAATGCCAAAAGAAGTGAACTAATTGTTTGATACCCCTGGAAATGGTCGGCACATCTGGAATAATTTTGTGAAAAAGTAATAGCCTCGTTCCTCGAATGGATATAGACCAGAATCATTCTCAAGATTTATAAAGAAAATGTCATCGGCAGCTGATGTCTGCTCATTGTTCCCTGTGCTTTTTGATATATTCTACGGCCAAATTCAGAGAAGGACACGCTCATGTTTAATAAATTAAATGAGAACCATTGCCACATTTGTTGCTTAAATGAAATGAAGCCTATAACGTCTCAGAATATTGTATCTTAAATATTTAGTGTAGCCATGGTCACCTTATTATTCTGGAGCTTTTCCAAGTTCAGCACCTTTTATTTTTTCATGTTTAAATTCAAAATTCCTGATGGCAATAACAGCTTCAAAAGGCAAATGAAAATTAATGTTATTTAAATGTATTATTTAGTAAGTGTGATCTATAAGTATATAGAATATACATTTAAAAGAGCACAATTTAACTTTTGGGTTCTAGAGAGGAAAGTCCTGCTTTTTACAGGGTCATTCATTAAATAAACATTCCAAGCACCATAACCACTACAATAGGGTGTAGTGGCATTGGTCACCGCAGTGCCCTGGCACCATCCCACAGTAAGTAATCAAACTATTTTACAACAGTATGATAACTTAAATGGGTTTTTAATACCCTTTGATATAAGACACATTGCATCGAGTTAACACCTAAAACTAGCATTTAGTCATCATGGCCAACCTTTTGGCACTGATCTGGTATGGACTACGTTTCCATTCCGGAGCATCTATTATCCTGATTTTCTTATAGTTCCTTGGTCACTCTGCCCATACTGTGTATGAAACTAGATCTCACTTTCATAAACACGTAGACAGTGGAACTTCTAAATTCTCACATTATGCTGATACAAGTCTTTGTTTTTATAAGAAACAATTTTCATTCATCCTTTCGGTCCAACTGTGCAACCGATCTGCCATAAAGCGTTGGAGAAAAGTATTTCTAAAATCCAGCTTGCTAAGCGTGGGAAATACCAATCATAGGACTGTCCCATACCACCCCCATCCATGTTTTGCCTTATCAATGTATTGAGGAATTTTCCAGCCCTGGATAGTTTAGAGTCCCAGTGCGAAAGAAAGAATCTTGTCTACAGTGTCGCTCAACACTTTGAGAGCAGGTTATTCTAGAAGTGTTAAAATCAGGCTTTACACGTAAACAGGATATCTGGAAATATATCCTATATCTCCCAGCAACTAAACACTCTGCCACGTTTATTTATCCTTGAGGTTGGTGGCAGATACCTTAGTTTGTGCTTTGAGAAACCAGACGCACGTAATTATTTCCTACACGCTGAATTGCAGTGAATTGAAAACCGAATTAGAAAAATGGTCAAACTGAGTTGAATGGGGAAAAAAACCAACAATACATTTTACTACAATTCAGAGTTAAATGAATTAGCCCATAAAGTAGGAATTTTGAGCATTTAAAGTGAATTAAAAGGATTGCGTGAATATGCCTATAAATAGCAAATATAAAGGAGGATTTTTAAACCTCACCCCTGCCACCCCTCACCCCCTAAAAAAAAACATGATACATGGATCAATGGTTTATTTGACTGTGTAGGAGGTTATACTTTACATCTGGACTAATTAATGGGCATAGTTCACAAGTTGTTGTGGATAAAGTGTCCTCCTTGATCTGCAATCCTTGTTACATTGGCTGATAGTATGAGCAGATGTTGGGGCACTGTATCCAGAAGGCGAGAGCTGGACTTCAGGGCCATTTTCAAGCAAATCAAAGATTGTTTTATTGAATCTTGTGTTTGACATGATAGATGCACAGCGCTGTGTACATGGTCAACAGTAATGGTTGGAGGTTTATCTGGCTAACTCCAGAAACAGGGCAGGTATAGCACTCAGACTGCTTTTGGTGTCCTTGTGACAAGCGGGTAGAAGGGGCGAAGTGTACGTGCTCCTCTGATTCAAAACCAGAGTGTGAACTTTTTACCTTGGTTTTTAAACGGATCAACAGCTTCTTTAACAATGAAATCCGCAGTAGCACCTTTCTATCAGCTGAGATTTTCAGGGTCTAATTTTAGCAATGCAAAGGGAGGTCTGTAGAAACCATTCCAAAACAAAAGCCTTGTGATTACTCTGATGGCGATGCAGAAACATGCCATGCGAGTTCAGCTATCTTTTTATAACTCAGGGATTCGAGTGTCATGTGCAGGCTGTTTACTGTTAACTCTTTAACTCCTGGTAACCCCAATTTATCTCACCTTGGTAGATAGAGTCCAGTGTGTTGCCTCTAACTGGGTCATCCAGGCCTCCCAACAATCCCAAATTTAGCGGGACAGTTTGGATTTTCGGTCCTGTCCTCTGCTCTTCTGCTTTTGGGGACACAAGAGAACTGTCTCCAACATTTTTAGCATAAACGCATCAATAGACGCACTTGCACACTGATTACAGCACTAGATCCATGCAGGTAGCACTGAAACTGCTCTCCCTGCAGGGTCTGCCCTCAGTGGGTTGGCTGAGTGATGGACAGACAGCTTGCCCCAATGGGAGCAGAGCTTGTGACGCAATTGCATCATTGGCTAGCCCCCTTTACCTTCCTCCAGGGCCAGACTGGCCCACTGGGATACCGGGAAATTTCCCAGTAGGCTGTCGGCACCTGGGGCCGGGGCGACATTTGACTGACCTGTGGCCACAGGGAGAGCTTGGATGGCGGTTGCAGGGGGAGCTTGCTGTTCTGCCTATGCTCCCCCGCCTCGCACGCTACTTAATTAGACGTCATATTCCGGCCCCGGCCTCATTAAGCTGCGCGCTGGGGAGCAGAGATAAAACAGCTAGCTCCCCCTGTGGCTGAAATTTGAGCTCTCCCTGCGGCCGCCAGCACACCTATCTGTTTGCCCACCCACAGGTAGCAACAAGTGTGTGTGTCTGTCTGTGTCATGGTGTGTGTGTGTATCATGGTGGGTGTATGTGTGTATGTGTCTGTCATGGTGTATGTGTGTGTCTGTGTGTGTTTTTAAAAACAGTGTTTTTACTCATCATTTTTTTTTTTTTTACCAACATCGTGCTGGTCTCCCCTCGACTGGCCCTGCCTCTATGACTGAGATCATCAAGCTTGGTGATCTCAGCCAATCCGCACTGACACAGGAAGCGCCTATAGTGACCGTCTGAGTGTCTGTCACTAGAGGGGTCACTAGGAAGCAATGTAAACACTGCTTTTTCTCTGAAAAGACAGTGTTTACATTGAAAAGCCTGCAGGGACAGGCTATAGACACGAGAACCACTACATTAAGCTGTGTGTGTGTGTGTGTGTGTGTGTGTGTGTGTGTGTGTGTGGGCTTGCATGAATGTGTGTGTGTGTGTGTGTGTGTGCCTGCTAGTGAGTGAGCTTGTGTTTTTATGTCAATGAACTGATGTATATCAGTGAGATTGTTTGTTTGTCTGTGAGGCTGTATATCAATAAGCTTGTGTGTGTCAGTGAGATTGTCTGTGTCTGCATGTGAGTATGCTTACTGTATAATTAAATGTTTTACTCTGAAAGGACCAGTATTTTATATTAGAAAAAGCAATATATATATATATATATATATAATATATATATATATATATATATATATATATTACTCAATCATCTGGGGTGGCAAGACATAGCCTCCATATTACATGCAACAAAATATGGCGCTATGACTTATGGGGCTGGCATAGATTTTTTTTTTTTTTCAGGGCTGCTTTGTATCCCCAATCCGGCCCTGCCTTCCTCCCACCAGCATTCCGATTCCCAGGACCCAGCAGTTGGGAGGTATGATTTCACTAAAAACCAGATTTGGTTAAAATGACTGAAATCAGATCCCAATGGCAATTCTCCTATAGTCTAAAGCAAACTCCGGTCAGAATTCGAGTGCTCTTAAGCAGTTGCCGAATGCCTTCGGTATCCGTCTTAAAAGCTCTGCTTTTGCAGCCGAATCCTATACAAAGTATAAGATTTGGAATATTCACAAAGCACCAATTTTAAACTTAATCGGGACTGAATGCATCCAGCTGGAAGCACATTTGGAAAAATCTCATTTCCCAAGCAAATAATAATTTTATGTCTTATTTGCCCGCTAGCAGCCGTCAGGTAAATAGTTTGTGGGGAAAAAAAACTAAACCCTTGGTGGATAATTATGTGACAGCTGAACTATACACCGCACCTCTCCAACTTCTTCTCCATGCAATGGTCCTTTTATCTTTTTAGGTTTTTGACTACACATAAAAAACATTCTAATAAACATTTTTTATCATCTCGTAGTGTCCTATAATGCTCTGTGGGACCTTACTTTATATCACAATTTTTTTTAAGTAGATTATAGCTTTTTACATGCATCAGAAAAATAAATGTTATTTCTAAAAACTTAAAGAGCAGTTTAAATTTAAAAAGTCAGTACCACTATAAGAACCGTTGCAGGTGCATCATTTACATTTTATTTAAAAAATATATCTTCTAGTATGTATTTTATACATTCTAAATGCACTGATCATGTGCACCTACTGGGCATTTCACGATAATGTTTGTGAGCAATGTGCTTCAACTCTGTCCCATCAATAATAGTAATGTAACTAGTAATGGAATTCACACCGGTAGGTTTATTACTGTGTATCAGCCAAGACAAACCATCTGGATTTTTTTTTTCCTGCTTGCTGCATAACACCTATGGATTCTGTCCCTATCCAAGGCTGCTTGGGCTGTTAATGGCCCACATGTCATACTATTTAATCCCAACTGGCTATGTATCCGCACTGAGATCTGGTTTCCCGTGCAGCATTGGGAAGAAGTAGTAGAAAAAAAAATAATAATTATATATAATTTTTATTTGATTTCTTAAAGCTCGTAAAACTATTTAATTACACAATCCAGACAGAGTGATTATTCTTCCTGGTTGCATAAGGAGATAACGCGTTAAAAAGACGCACAAATACATGAAAGAACATCTATAAATACCGTTGCGTTTTCTCGGTGATGTCATTTTTACTAAGTAATGCAGCTAGGAAAAAAATAAATCTCTTCCCGTTGGTTTAAAATATGGAAAGCAGATAAGATCTTGGGAGTGTCCATTTAACAGAGATAAAAGTTTCGGAAACCATTTTTTTTCCTTTTTAAAGTTTATTGAAGCTGTTTAAAAAGGCACTGCATGCACCATAACCACAACAGTTCACTGCAGTGGTTATGGTGCAAATATTTGTTACAATTCTCTGAAGCCAGTTAAACAATAGAAGAAGAAAAAATGGACAATGTGTTACAAGCTGTATATGGTCATGCATGCAAACCAAATGGGGCCTTTAGTACCATGAAATCGATTTCACATTTTGCAAAAAGTTAATTTATGGTAAAATCAATGGCTTCTAAAATCTTTTTGGAATGCAACTGTTTGATGGCTGAGAGTAGAGGGAGTTGTAGTCTCATCACTCTCTTTGGAGATCAAACCACTGCAATCCTTTCCTTCTCTTCCCTTTTTGGTTCTTTTAGAAACTTAGAAACACTGCTGTTCATTACTGACCCATATCAGTGTAATGTCCACATTGTCTCCATAGTACTCTGAATAAAATGGACATTTATTTGTGGTTCCACTCAGAACCACAGGCTTCCCCAACTCTCCAGTTTACAACCCTGTTGTTCCTTTTAACAGCTGTGTAAATTTAAACCAAATGGGCAGATCATTTATACATTTAAACAGGAGGGCTTGTGAGGGACTAAGGCAGCATTATTCTATATTTAAAATGCAGCATTAACCATCTGAAATGAATGTCCATGTGAACAATAATGACTCCAAGCTACAATGTACCAGTATATGTTGCTGCCATGGAATGATGTGAATAATTGGCTCAAATCTGAAACCCAAGTCTCTGATTGGCTAGTTACAGTCCTGGCTCTTGGAGTTTACAAACTATGATGACCTTTCAGAGAAATCTCAAATAATATTATTAAATAAGTGGTTAACTTTCAGGTGATAGATATGTGTACAGTAATATACGTATTATTATGTTGACGGCTAAAAGAATTAATTTGTACAAGTTTTGACCTAAATTCTGCAAAATAATTAAGTTTTAATAAAGTGAATGACTCCCGTTGTGCTTTGATTTCTAACTATAAATAATTGGTTACATCGTATTTAAATATGAGAACCAAAAGAAATTGGAAAGAACTCCCCCTTTCCCAGCACTCGTAGGGTTAATGGGTGTCCAGCACACATCTGCTAGTATAAGGCAGCAGGCTGAGCTTCATATAGAAATGAGCTAAATACCTTTGAGCTATAGACATGCTTTCAAAGTCATATGTTAGAGCAGCTGTTTGATAAATAGGGTTGTTACTGTGACAGTGACATCTGCCTAGACACAGTTGCCCAATTCCTATAGAATACATTGTTACTTTTTGCTTGGTATCGTTTTTCCCTACATCATAATGTGTTCATTTAAAAAATGTTTGGTGTTGAGATTTTCACAGACACTGTTTAAAACTTTTTTAAAAAGAGAACCACAAATCATGTTCACAAGGAAAGGGATTTATGTATCTTTGGAAATGTGTTTTTAAAGGACCGATCCAAGCACCATAACCACTAAAGCAGCATTAATGGCGCTAGAAGTGCTTTTGCGCCCTCTCAGAGTAGTAGTCAGTTTGACAACTTACCTGTGTCCCAACGGTCAGTCAATTTTAGCAGCTGAGGACTACGCAGTGGGTGCCCAGGTGAGCAAGGTGAGTTCCCAAATAAGTCTCTAATTGTTTGACTACTTTGGGAAAGAGTATACAGAGACGCTACATTTAAAAGGACACTCTATTGAGGGGCTGCTTTGTTCCCATAGGTTAAACAAAGATAATGGGAGCTCCTAAGACATATACTGTATATGTTGCAGGTAATCGCTGACTTTGTAGAGGTCACTTGCACCTTTGGAATCTGCCCTTTCAAAAAACCCTTGGTGGCATGGGGGCAGAGATATCCATTGTCCTACTTATTCCAGAAAGAGTTGGGGTGACGATACTGTAGAAACATGTGGTTTTTCTTCACTTACATTTTGTTAAAAAAATAAAATAATAATAAAAATATATATATATTAAATGTCTTGCTTTCTACATAACAAAATATTTCAAATCTCACTTTATTTTATTTTGCTTTATATTATAGCCAGTGTGTATAATCGTGGTATTTTCAAGGTTGGGTGTGTCTTGATGGTTTGGTTCCATTGTTCTGAAAGATGCTGTCTAGATGCTTTCATTAACTGTGATTGTATTAAAGACGTTGTGGATGGAGTGCTGACGGAGGTTTTGTTAAGGCTGGATGGCGTAACGTCTGATCAACAATAAAACCCAAATCTCGACTCTGTGTATCCAATAGTTATCTGCTAAAATTTGAAATATTACAGACTTTAACATAGAAGGAAAAAAACTGATATCTGGTTATTTCTTCCATAATAGGTATATATCATCAAGGTAACCTGGTTGGACTCTACAACACAAGTCATCTACCGAAGATACAGCAAGTTCTTCGACCTTCAGGTAACAATATAACACAGACATCATTATTAAACCTCAGGTTCTCATTATCTGTAAGAGGGGCATTTTCATTTAAATGATTAAGAAATGGTAGGGGTTTCCCTTTTTTGTGTTATATCGAACAAAAACTTAGTTCTGAACATTCTAAATACAACCTAATCTTTTAACATTTGAGTGATAGCTACGTATCAATGATTTATCAATCGTTGCATGTCTGTGAGATGGGTAAAGGGAATAATTTTGGCACATTTTTACAGGTGAATCTGGGGTTGAAGGAATGTAACTTTTAGAGAAGTGTTGCATTGAGTACCCACTTCAACGGGGGCACTCAACGCAACATAATCACTACAACTCAGTAACATTTTAATACTGCCAAATTCTTTGGGTGCCTTACCCAAGTTTGTGGTCAAACTATTTGGGAGTCCCCTTCAACATCTAGTTAAAAATAAACTCTTTCTCCATCATTTTCCCATTTAGAGCCTGTTTTTGTATTAATATATTATTCATTTAGGTCTACATTTTAATGATTTTGTAGGAAACGTTCAAAATGATTTATTTTGAAAATATTTTGATATTGTCTGATACAGATAATTTTATATATTTGAATATTTTGAAAAACAAAAATCTTTTTTAAAATGTAAAAATATGAAATTGTTTGGAATGTTTATCCCAAAAATTAAAATCCAGACCTATATTAGTGGATGATTTTAGAATTACATTGTGCTTGAAAGGGTTAACTATTTTTGACTGGTAGCCCCATCGTGATTTCAAAGCCTCTCTGTGGAAGACGGAAGTTCTGTTCTTAAACTGATAACTGTTTTCTTTAGTATTATTGGCTTAAAGTTTAGCTTTATATCTGCGTAAATTGGGATTCTGAGGGCTTTTGTTAACTTGTTTAAAATCCTCGATCCATTTTCTTCGGCATGTTCTTTGGGTCTCCTAGCCTTTCCTGGTGGATTTAAAAAAAAAAAGTTCTCATCAGGCCAACCTATCAATAGGGTTAGTGTTATGGACAGGAAACGTTGTCTCAATCTTTAAGAAGGGGCCTTGAAAGCCCCCATTGATACGTAAATGGGTCCTTAAAAAAGCAGCAAAAAGGCACCCACTGCTCTAATGTTTTGCCCCAAAACAGCCCTAAGAAAAAAAAGTTCATTAAACTTTGATTTAACCCTGTTTTACCAAAGAACTTACAAAAGTGCTTACCGAGCACAAATGACATTTGTGTTTCACAAAGTCCATGTACGAAATCTCCTCTGAATATGTGTGTATTATATTCTCCTATGTTCTACAATTTGTGCCAAGGAGGAGAACCAGACAGAAATCTTATAGTTGAGTAGAACAGACCTCAGAAGCAAAGGAGGAGGAACATAAGGGGGTTAGGATAAGTTCATCGGAGGCCAGAAGGTGATTTCAGTAAGAAATTAATACAAAATATGGTGAATAAATTGGACTCCAGGGTTAGCATGACTTGGCTAAGGCAGGAAGCCAGATATCAAGACATTATTTTGATAAAACTACTTGCAACTAAACAAGTGCTTGTACATTCACCAGATTAGAGAGGACAGTGTTGTTGTGAATGCGCATGTTACAATACAGCAATAAAGAATTCTAGTCTATATTTCATTTTTACTTACAACTTTGGTTTCCATAACAACCAAATAAATGCTCCTTATGTAAAAAAGGTGTGACACAGAGGTATGAGTTTCAAGTAATTGGTGCAATGTTTTCCGGGCATGATCTGTACATGGGATTCAAATTCCCTTGATTCCCTGCATGTTCACGAGTAACACACAGTAAATTTAAAATGTTCACTTTATTGAGAATACTTTTCTTCCTTGTATTATCACTCCTTCTGCAATCTTTATGTATGTGGAAATACTATTTTATCATATATGAATACGTACTAATTGTGATTTAACTGCACTCACACTTCTCGGAGCAATTCTCTGGATCCCAGATATAAAGCGTTAGTCTTATATCTAAAAGCTTTGGGTTAGAGCAGATTAATAATGCTCCTACATAGCTTTTAGCATAAGATTTATTTTATGTTAAGGATTTACTGTTTTAGTGACAGAGGAAACCATTAATGTCATACAAAACACTTTTGTATAAACCTGAATGTAAAAAGAGGTATTTATTTAATTTTGAGTAATTCTGTTTAATATAAAGTTAATCGTATTCGTTTAACTGTATAATATGCTAATATTCTGCTGCCTATTATCCCATGAGCCCTTTGGGGGACTTTATACAGTTGCAAGAAAAAGTATGTGAACCCTTTGGAATGATATGGATTTCTGCACAAATTCATCATAAAATGTGATCTGATCATCATCTAAGTCACAACAATAGACAATCACAATCTGCTTAAACTAATAACACACAAAGAATGAAATGTTGCCATGTTTTTATTGAACACACCATGTAAACATTCACAGTGCAGGTGGAAAAAGTATGTGAACCCTTGGATTTAATAACTGGTTGAACCTCCTTTTGTAGCAATAACTTTAACCAAACGTTTCCTGTAGTTGCAGATCAGACGTGCACAAGGGTCAGGAGTAATTCTTGACCATTCCTCTTTACAGAACTGTTTCAGTTCAGCAATATTCTTGGGATGTCTGGTCTGAATCGCTTTCTTAAGGTCATGTCACAGCTTTCACATTTTATGACAAATTTGTGCAGAAATCCATATCATTCCAAAGGGTTTACATACTTTTTCTTGCAACTGTATCTTATTACATTTATTGAACTCAAGACGATAGATGACGGAAATTGTAATCCAAATTGGCCTAGATGCTTTACGAAGACTTTACATTCAACAAGTGCGTTTCCAATTGAATAAATTATATGGAAATATTGGCACTTTGAGGTACGCTGTTCTCCTCCTCTGATATTGCTGCCCATAATGGCATTTTCTTAAAAAAAAAAAAAAAAAAATGTGAGCGAACTTTCACAACCTGGACATCAGGCCTGGTTCATGGATTTTATTTTAACTTTTAATGAGCTTTTAATTGGCTATTCTGAGAAGTTTTTATTTCCCTTTTCATATTAAGCAGTATTTATGATCATGCTATTTTTAGGTAGACTTTTAAACATGAATCTGAATTGTTTCACTTAATAGGCATATTATTACATATTATTGAGATTTTCCAGGTATGTGCTCATTTAAGAGATAGATGTTGGATCAGCGCTTGGATGATCAACCTGAAGCTAGGTGTGCTCATTTAACGCTATTATGACAAGGGATTAGGCAAATCCATATTTATCAGTCTTCGCAAAGTCATCTGTCATTATTTTAAATGAACACTCCAAGTACCATAACCATATCACCCTGCTGTAGTGGTTATGGTGCCTTCCCAGAGTTATTTGTTAAACTGTTTGACAACTAACCTGCGTCTCACCGGGTGCTTGTGGCCACAGCCTTGTATCTGGATTCTCCTGGCATGAGAATCTGCCGAACCAAGCAGGTCCCTGCAGGGATGCGCTGAGTGGCTGAGTGCGCCCACTTTGTGCACCTAACCAGTGAGGGCCATCCAATATTGAGCTTGCCTAACTCCTGCAGGAGAAAGCAGAATATGGCATAGAAGCCTGGGTTCCTGGGTAAGTTGTCAAAGAATTCTAAAGCAGGATATAGTGGTTATGGTCCTTGGCCTTCCCAGTAGCAGAACTACAGGGATCGCGAGTGCGACTGAGCCCCTTTTTTTTTGCCTGTCATGGGGGGCCCAATAGAGGGGGCAACGAGATAGCTAAAATCTTCCTGCTCTTTTTGGTCTTCTATTGGAGCGCCCTGCGGTGATGCTGGGATTTGATGTCACTTTGCCTCAGAATATGCGAAGTAGCAGAACAAAAATGCAGGTAGATGACCATTGGACCCCAGGGAAAGGATCAACTGCTGCTCTCCCAAACTTGTGAGTGTGTCCGTATGTGTCTGCCAGTGAATGTGAGTGTGTGTCTGTAAGTGTATGTGTCAGGGAGTGTGTGCAAGTCAACGGTATGTGTATCTGAGAATGTCAGTGAGTGGGTGTGTGAGTGTGTGTGTCAAATCAGAGAGGGGGTGTGTCTGATTCTGCCAACTACACAAATTAATTTCACACTCCTCAAAGCAGCACAACTAGACTCCACACAGAATCAGGTAACCCCTCTTGCTTAGAGGGAGCAAGGTGGGACAGTAAGGGGCTCCCTCTTTGATTCTAGCACCGAAGCCCCTAGTTATGCCTTTATGACTTCCATTTACACATCCCCAGCATAGAGTGAAGCACTGTACATGAAACAATTCGTTTGTACACTGTTTTTTTAGAAACCATTGCAGGGTATTTAGTGGTGCATTCACAGCAGTAATAAAATTAGGCTAAATCACTGAAGTTTGTACGCTACGTTATTAGTTACTAATTAGTTATATAATATATATATTTATTTATTTAATGCATTATATAGCATATTGTTGCACATACCCAATATTTGGTGAACCTGTTTACTTCATGTAGGTATACATCTCCTTGGTCTATAAGTAGAGGTCTGTGAAAAGCTTTTAAAGGGATAATATGCACCATAATCCCTGCAGCATTTTGTGGTGGTTATGGATCCATGGCTATGGCTTTTTCAGTGCAGTCCCCCTAGATTCTGTTAAACTTGTTTTGATAAAAACTCGGGCTGTTTTAGTACCCAAACCTGGTCATTCTGCTTTTTCAAAGATAACAATGAATTTCACTCGCTTCTCATCTTCAAAATGCATAGAAGCACTGCATTAAGCTGCAGTGGTTATGGTGCTTAGAAAGTTCCATCAAGGAAATTGTGCTGGAAGTGAGCAACGTGCAGGAAAATTGCCTGCTCTGCCCTTCTAATCAATAGCACGTGCGATCTGACTATATAATGCATTATATGAATAAAAGGGACATTTCGGAATGTTTTTTGTTACAATGCACTTTTTAAAACAATGGTATATTTTTGATTTAGCATCCGTGTGCCTGGAAAGCTTTTTAAACTCTGCAGACAGTGTGATGTTATGAGCCGTGCTCAGCAGAGTAACCTACTCCTAAACGTCAACGGATGTTGTGACTCAAATGCAGAAACAGATCCCAGATGTGTCGGGTTTAGCAAATTTGATTCAGACGTACAGTAGTGGAAAATGTTATTCAATAACTTTTGGAAATGGATCAGTAGAAAACGGATGAAGGTAGAAAAAAAAATCTAATGTTACTAAGCTACTGTCCATTCTTTTTGAGTCAAACGACTTTGCAGAACATTGTTCAGATTTTGGTGGAAGCAAGGCTTATCGTTTCCTGTTCAGGATATAGAGATGAGCTATGGACTCAGGATAGTGAGCTGTTCTATGTTTATTCATTGCAACCCTGCCCTTTCAGGCTTTTGTAACCCTTCCTTTATTCGTTCTAATTAACTGTGAATAAGAGACACAGCTACCCACACCCAGTTACCCTCCCAGCCATTTCTTCCTAGGCAGTATATGCCAACTTTACAATAAGGTGCCCATTATTTAAGATCATGAGTCGATGCAACCCACTATTGATTGGTTTCTTCCACATCCACATTGCCCCTTTCTAGATATTAATGAACACTACTGGGGTTTTCTTACTTACACACTGCTTTTCTCACGTATCAACCTCTTTTTCCAGCCCATACATTGGCTTTCATATTCACTAAAGTGAGAATTCCAAATAAACTCAAAGTGAATTTAAAATCAAAATAGCGGAAATTGAGGGGATGGGGGAGGAAAGAGAAAACAGAAGTCAACTATGTGTTTCAGTGTGGCTACTGTTGCCTTAAATTTCAAATTTACTTTGGATCTACTTAGAATACCCATTTAATTCAATAACCTACCTATGCTGAAACCTTGTATCCACTGACAAACCTCCCTGATTTTTGTTTCAAAGCTTGATGCCCATTCATGCTCTCTTTAAGAAAAACGTTTATTAGAACGAAGTAGAAATATGGCAACTGCCGGTTTCTTATCTAAAGTATCCACTTGTCCCAATCTCTCTATTCCACGAGGCTCCCTGCATGGCACTCAGGACCGTCTTTAACGGGGAGGCTGCCCAGTGTCCTTTTACTTCTAGGGGGCCCAAGGCAGCTGCCCCGCGGGCCCCGATGCCCTCGACAACTTTCTCCCACCCATGGGCCCCCGGTGCATCCTGGGGAAGCACACTAAGGAGGCCCACCGGATGGAAGACTCAACTTGATGGACACAAGTCTCTTTTCAGCTATGTAACTATGTATGATGTAGTTAGATCCTAGTTTTGTATATTTACTCATCTGAATTAAATGTACATATTGCTTTCAAAGCACCACTCCTGACAGGTGAGTGATTGTGCATCTACAAATTACTAGTTGTAATTATTTAAATTATCTTTAAGTTTGCAAATATGTCAACAACTACCACTGGTGGACAGCACGTACCAATACAGAACCCAATAAATTAAATAGGGGTTCTATTCACAAGTCTTAATTGTAGCTAATTGAAAACAAGATTTGGACAATTTTTAGGTTAAAAGATTTCCACTTGGAGTTGGAGAATTTTTCTAAATTTGCTATCGTATTTTAAATTTGGAATTTTGATTATTAGTTCACTATAGTTCGATGTATAGGAATAAGTACAAGAGCACTGTGGTTAAATTGGAAAACAGATTTGCAAGGCTTTGGCCAAAATAGCTAAGTGGGTGATCCATTAGTGTGTCCAATTCAAAGTTTAGTATTAAATAGCCAAACTAAAACCTCAAGTATATTGGAGAATTTGACCAATTTGGTGATTTTTATTTCGTTTTTTTTCTTATTTCACTTCTCAGTACTTTACTGGTCTGTGGGGTGGGAGGGGGGTTCTGTCAGAAGGTGATTAATAAACTTACAAAAGACTGAATGAATGATCATGATATTAAAAATTGCTGAACGGTACAACATATATTCATCAGCAACCATCTGTTACTGATAATGGTAAAGAAAGATATAGGGCGGGTCTTTTCGATTTTCTGTTGGAGTTTTGAATTACATTTGGCTCCAGAATATTGGTGCTTTCAGCTGTGAACTTTGGCCATACATGATGTCATTGGGGATGTTACTTACTCTTGCAGATTATGCATTTTTGATAACGTGTCATCAGACTGTTCTGTGATAAGTATCTTTGATAAAAGTTAACCATTGCTGAACCAGATGGAGTACTCCTGGTGGATTAACTCTTTTTGTACATTTCTCTGAGCAAATCTGTTCATTTTCCAGATTGCATTGTATTGTCTTTAGAACAGCTATAGATGCTTTGTTAATAACGTTTTCACGTGTCAATGAAAGCTCTTCTAATGATGCACTGTGCACCTTGGTCGTGCCAGGAATGAAGTGGATTATAATACTGTTCGTGAAATCTTTAATACACATTTACAAGAAAACCGCATTACTCGAAAAAAGGTTAACATAACACAGGGCTTGACAAATCCTAGGTGCCAGGTCACCTGAGATTTGTGAGCCCGTTCATCCACCCGAGGTGACTGGCTGCCTGAGATTGGAGGTGGGCAGGTATCTCATGGAGAGCAAAGGAAAGGCGGGCGGCTGACTGAGTGCGGAGGCACTCCAGTGATGCCGGGAGCCAGAATATGACTAAACTCCCGACTTGGCATTGCTAATCAGCGTGAGAGGGAGCAGAGCAGGATGATGAGAGCCCCAGGGAAAGGATCCACTCCAGCTCTCCCAAAGGTAGGGAGGCTGGGTGGACAAATTTAAACAAAACACATGATGTGTGAGTGAATGTGAAAGTGTGTGTGTATCAAATCAGTGTGTCTGTCAGTGAATGTGTCTGTTAAGGTGACCTACCCCCTCCAATCACATGGGAAAGGTATTTTTACTCCCCTTTTTTCCTACGCCGTGCTGGTCTTGTCGCGGCTGGCCCCACCTTCATGGCTAAGATCATCAATCTTGATAAACTCACCCAATGCAATGCACCCCCGTAGGAAGGCAATGGGAGGCTCTTGCGCATGTGTGTTAAAACGCCACGCTGCACCAATCAACATCTCTTCATAGAGATACATTGAATCAGTGGGAGCTGTAACATGCAGCACTGACTGTGGAAGCACCTCTAGTGGCCGTCTGAATTACTGTCACTAGAGGTGTTACTAGACCGCAATGTAAACACTGACCTTTTGTCTGAAAAGGCAATGTTTACATTAAAAAGCCTACAGGGATGGGCTACAGACTTCAGAACAACTACATTAAGCTGTAGGGGTTCTGGTGACTATAGGGTCCATTTAAGAATCATGTTTTTGACTTTAAAAAAACCTGGCTCTTAAATTTCTTGGCTGGCTCCTAGATTCCAAGCAAATTTGTTAAGCCCTGACAAAACATAAGCTATAGATGACTTTAAATGTTTTAATCAGTGGTACATTTTTCAGAGAAGTGACAGTTCCACTTTAAGTGTTTTTCTTGTAACCCACCGTGCGCATGAATAGTGCATTTGTTTTGTCTTTTTCCAAGATGTGCTCCGTAGTAAAGATTTGTCTTTTACATAAATGACATACATATCGACCTACCTACATCATCATATTTTGCCCTTTCCCATCCCAATCCCTATTGTTTTTACACAGCCAGCAATCTCCAAAACGACGTTATTTAATGTACACAAGTATGTATGAAAGGGGAGTTAAAAATATAAATATACATTCCTTCTCCTCTCTCACTCTATATTTCAACATGATATCATTTAAAAATATTCACAGGTGTGTGGATTGGATACATAAACGAGTCTCACGACAATTTTGTGTTTACTGATCTTGGCGCATTGGCCAATACAATTGTCATTAAAAATTCACAATTTTATATGTTCTCATCTTGAAACCATATAAACTAAATAATACTGCAATTTTCACAACCCAACCCTCCACTTAGTAAACACAATCATAAGCGTGATTATAGACAAACTGTAACTAGTGAAGTGTTCACCTTGAAATGTCTAATTTGTGGAGCAATGTCTTCACTGTCATTTTTTTTTTTTAACACAATCAAAAAATTAAATAAATCCATGTTTCCATAGAGTGACTATTCCACTCGGCTGCAAACCTACTGGATATGTTTCAAGGATGAGTGTAACCGCACCTTAAAGACGAGGCCTAAAAATCTGCTTTTAGATTGAAAGCCTCAAAGCGAAACAACATCACGGTTTGTAATTACAGGGAGCGAATCATGTTACAGGCAGAGAGATGAGAAGGAGTCTTAAAACAAAGGGATGTATAATTTGTGTCAGGCATATAACCACAATTAAAAACATATTTCAGTTGCAATTTCTCCCAAGGCCAGTCCACAAATTGCCTTTGTTTTCTCTTCAAAATCCATTAGGGACGATTTACTCTTTATTTACCAAATGACAATTTGTGGTGAAATGAAAACTGAATTGGCAACATGTAAGACTAGCATAGTGAAGTTGGCAAAATTCCAAGATTGGGCATCGTACACTAAACTGTGCAAATGGGTTTGGTTTGTTTTTGTGATGAGGTCAGGCAGTGTATGAACAATGTAATATGTAGAATTCTTATACTAGTTTGGAATTAATCATGGAAACCATGCCACAATTAATTATTTGACATAATTTCATATTCCAAATGAATTCTGGTAAAAGCTCTCATGTGCTGCCGTACACCGTGAATAACGCGCATGTAAGTGCTGCCCAGCTGTTAGTAGCATTTGCCTGCTTTCAGAAAGAATTAATTCTTCCCCCATGGGATATCTAGAAACCACTTGCTTAGTACCTTTTGAGCTGTGATCTAGTCCATTTGAGGAGTATATGGGTTTCACAATGTGCATGGCAGCAGTTTCTACTCCTTTTGACAGAATGCAAAAATCTTGCAAACAATAAAACCATTTACCAACCCAACCGAGAGGTGATTTTGTACTACGCTACCCTTCCTGGAAATCCAAGTCAGATTAAGGTTGCCCAGAGCCCTAAATAGAGTACCAGACTGGGCCACCCTCCAAGAGCTTTTGGCTTTGTTTCTGTGACTGGTTTGTGCATAGTGGCTGAGTGGTGTGTGTGGGGGGGTGAGAGCTGTGTGTGTGTGGGGGGGGCTAAGTATTTCTAGCATTATGTATCTGTGTATGAGAGGGAGAGAGAGCATTTCTGACCGAGTGTGTCTCCGGCATTGTGTATCTGTGTATGAGAGGGAGAGAGAGCAATTTGTATAAGGGATGTAGTGTGTTTATAGGGGACGCAGTGTGTGTTTGCGTGTAAGGAATGCATTGTATGTTTCTGTGTGTGTAAGGGGTGCAAGGTGTGTTTCTGTGTATGTAATTGAATGCAGTATGTGTCTGTAAGGGGTGCATTGATTGTGTAAGAGATGCATTTTGTTTCTGTGTGAATGAGTGTTTGTGTGAACGTAAGGGATGCATTGTGTGTTTCGGGTGTGTCTGTGTGTGAGTAGGAATGCATTGTATGTTTCTGTGTGTGTGTGTGTGTAGGGGGGGGAATGCATTGTGTTTGTGTTTGTGTAAAAGAGAGGGTTTGTGGGGTAGGATAGGGACTGAGAGGGGAACAGCTCATTATTTTTTTTTAAAATTTTCATAGTGCTCTCCCCTCCTGTCAATTATTGATTTTCCCTTCCCTCCTGTCCCTCCATGTTCTACCCCTTCTGTCCCTTAGTGCTCTCCCTTGGCCCCCGGTCCCTCTGCAGTCCCCCCTTGGTGGTCTTCTCACTCCCCCCTCTCTCCCTTAGTGGTCCTCCATCCCTTCCCTTAGTGGTCCTCCCTCTCCCATTAGGGGAGGGGGGGAGTAAGGACCATTAGGGGATGGGGGGACTCAGTGAGCACTTCCTGTCATTCCGCTGGCGGCCGGGTACAGGAAACAGAGGTTCCTGTCCCGCGTTCCGCGCCACCCGGCCACGCTACATTGAGAGACCGGCAGGAGGGAGCGCTCTGCGCCTCCCTCCTGCCGGTCACAAACCTGGCCGCCCTCCACACAGCAATGCCGCGCCGCCTTGGGCTTGCTAAAGCGCTCAGGCGGTGCAGCATGAGGAGCCGCCGGGCGCAGGGATCCGGCGCCCCCTGCTAAGTTGCGCCCTAGGCGGCTGCCTAGGTCGCCTTACAGGTGGCGCCGGCCCTGTGTGTATGAGAGGGAGAGAGAGCATTTCTGACAGTGTGTCTCTGGCATTGTGTGTCTGTGTATGAGAGGGAGAGAGAGCATTTCTGACAGTGTGTCTCTGGCATTGTGTGTCTGTGTATGAGAGGGAGAGAGAGCATTTCTGACAGTGTGTGACTCTTGCATTGTGTGTCTGTGTATGAGAGGGAGAGAGAGCATTTCTGACAGTGTGTGACTCTTGCATTGTGTGTCTGTGTATGAGAGGGTGAGAGAGCATTTCTGACCAAGTGTGTCTTTGACATTGTGTAACTGTGTCTGAGGGAGAGAGAGGAAGAGTGAGAATCTCTGACAGTGTGTGTCTCTGGCATTGTGTTCCTGTGTATGTGCCTGAGCATCCTTGGATGTGAATGTGTGTCTGTATCTGGAAGTGTGTGTGTGTGTGTGTGTGTGTGTGTGTGTGCTTGTCAAGTAGTTCCTTACATTGTATTGTAGAGGAGCTGCTTGTGGTCTTTGTGTGTTGTGTTTATGGGGCGGTTGTGTTCATCTTTGTGAGACTACTGTCTATGATGGTGACTGTGGCAGGGTGAGGAAGGTGAGTGTGAAATAGTGAGGGGGTATGTGTGACAGAGTTTGAGGCAAGTATATTAGAATGAGGGGGTGAAAGTGAATGTATGTTGGGAGGCAGCCGCGGTGTTCCACGTAGTCTTCTCACATAGCAATGCCACATAGTTATCCTGCCAGTGTTTGTTAAACTGCTCAATAAGCAACCCTTTTCAACAGCTCTGCTAATTTCAAAACAAAAACAATAACCTGTGATTTGCCCTCCTTAGCAGAGATCTAAACACACCACACCCTGCAATGCTATTTGCACTACACTGCAATTTATTAATTGGCTTTTGGCAAATTCAAACAAGCCCAACCCTTCCCTTCTGTCTGCAACATTAATAGTGCCATTTAGAAGCTAAATAACACCCTCAGTATTTAAAACATCTACTACATGAATACTAAAAGCACACGTGCCGTTTATAAAAAAAAATCATAATTTCCTAAAATATAACCTTATCTTGCACACCCAATTTATTCGTATTGCTAAAATGTGCATATATGTAGCCTTAAGCTTCCGAATACATATAGGCTTACATAATATATATATAGACCTGTGTAGCTCTCAGGATTTAGTAGAGTTTAATACCACCCAAGTGTCCCGGATTTGGTCAGAAAGTCATCCATGTATCATAAACATTGTATGTGTTCCTGGCTCAATTCATTTCTCATTTCCAGATCTCTCCATGACCCTTCTCAGTATGGATTCTGTATACTGAATTAACCAAAGTGACCAATGATTTTATTAGTACTCATTACAAAGGTCACTGATCTCAACTAATTTATTGTTTTCTTTATTTTTTTTAAACTTTTTTTTTGCTGCTTACCTTTCCCCTTTGAAATATATATTTATGCAGTTTTTTTAATATTAATTTATATATAGTTCTACCTTTCTATACTCCTATCTCTTACCTCTTGAATTATCACGTATTGCCTCTTCTCTGTCTCTAACTGGATTTAGTTCCCTTTTCTGAAGCACAATTTAAAAACCAAAGAAAACCATTGATTCTTGCTGCTAACCCCAACCTTAAGGTAATTGGTGAAACCATCATCCTCACCCTTTGTTCTAGTTGCCATAATTTACAGTGCCCTTTCCTTAATCCATATCCAGTCCATATCCAAATCCTGCAACCTTCATCTTAAACATGTAGCTCCCATTCATCCATTTAAAATACGAGATGCATGGACAACTACTATTTTCCAACTCGATTTCTGCCACACACTGTAGAGCAGTCTTTCTACTGCCACACATCACTCGATTCACCATTAAAGTGTAAGCTCATTTTCAACATCAAGACGTTGAAGTGGCAGGTGACCTTTAATGGCCCTTGGAGTGAAACGTCTAAACCTCCAGTTATGTAAATGTGCATAGGGATTTGGGATAGTGCGCAGGTAAATCATTTTTTTTTCTTTTGCACAACGTTTCTTAATTGGCAATTTCCTCCGTCAAACAATCTGTGTCCTTTTGTCAATCCTTATTTTGGCATCTTGCATAATATAGGATTCAACCTTACTCTCGCCGAGAATTCATTCGGCAGCTATGCCAACACATTATTACATATCCGCCTTAATCAAAAAGTATTACAAATTCAGATGCGCCTTTACTTGTCTTCCTTTCAGACCTATAACACTTATACAGGATAACTCTCAGATTGCTATTTTTTTCACGGTTTCCTGTATTTTATAAAATGCCTTAAAACCCACTCATTTATAGGAGCATGTCAAGAAACCGATTATTTACATATTGCAATCTTACACTATCTTTCATCATGCGTCTGTTCTTCCCATTGTCTTCCCAAACACTATTAATCCTACCTATTCTATAGATACCGTGTATGTCTTGTCGAGTATGTAAATAATGCATATAGTTAGCTACAGACTGCACATGTAGCAATGTATCTTATTTTCTGGATACATTACATACTTACCTATTCTGTAATTATAACTCACTTCCTTTTGGGTGTGAGTTTGTTTGGATGGATACCTCATCATCTCTTGATCCTGTATTATAAAATCAAGAGTGCGCAAACATTTAGTAACCATATTCTCAATCAATGGTTAGAATTCTAGTCTTATACAACAGCAGCTGAGCACACAAAGAGTATCCCCAAATTCTTGTGGTTAAAATTTATACGAAAAAAGTGCCAGCGCTAGCTATTTTTTTTGTATCTCTTGATCCTGGTTGCCTAAGATTTTTATCATTTGGTATGATTTGTTTATCAATGAAACAGTGCCGCAGAATATTTTATATCTTTTATAAAAACCAGTAGTAATGATATAGTAAGCCGTATACGTGGATGCTGTTGGAATCAAATCCACTGCCCTTCCAAGTCAAGATGGAGGGGGCGACTCTTATTGGAAATCCTGTATCTGAGTAAGACTTTGGTTTCCATAGAGACCTCAAGTGGTACCCAGGTTGGTTCTACATCCAGAATTGCTGGGAACTCCTCTCTGCATCAGCCACTACCCCAGTTTCAACATTGCTCCTTTACCCGATTTCTAAACCCTCTTTCTGTGTTATGTTATTTTGCTGCAGCATTCACACAGTCAGAAGCTAAACCGTAAAACCACTGCATCATTCATGTCCTTGTATTGAATTATTGAAAGCAAAGAAGTTCCAGAGTAAATGCTAAGCCTGGTCTCATACAAGATAGAATATGTAGGGAACTGCACTCACTACCATCAGTCTGAGCCAGGGTGCTTTTGCTGTACCAGGAACCAGGCACCAAATTCCAAATATTGTAAAGAAAATAGAGGTCCTGGCACTCATTGGTTCAAAAAAATAGGCACTTTAATGGAACCACAGCAACGTTTCGACCAAAAAGTCTTTGTCACGCTTGATAAAGACCTTTTGGTCGAAACGTTGCTGTGGTTCCATTAAAGTGCCTATTTTTTTTTTAACCAAGGAGTGCATGGACCTCTATTTTTTTTTTTGGGTCTCATACAAGGGCATGCCACTGTCCATTAACTCATGTGTGCTTAACAAATAGATTGCTACTTATAATATGAAGTCTTAGTCGTGGCTCGTTTATAGGTCACAAGACGTCTCTCTCTTTATTGGTGTGTATTGTGAAGTGAATCAAGCTTTGACGTGCATGTAATCATGACATGCTAATCCTCGGAATAATGATATATTATTGTAATAATATGCAGCAGGCACACAGCATACCAGATATCTTAGGAATTAAATGTGCTGTCTATTTCTAAACCTGGCTGACGCCCCACTAAAGGCGTGCTTTTGTTTTTAATTTTTCATCCTGCAATGATTTCTAGAACATGTTAATTGCCCAGGGTGTTCCTAATCTTAATATTCAGTTGGTTCTGGGCAGCCCGACACACACGTACAAATAATTGAATCATCAATAAGAATAGAGTCTACAATCCTGGAAACTAAAAATCTGTTGGAAGACATTTTGGTATGGGAACGTTGAATCTAAATGGAAGATAAGTGGTTGAATGAGGAAGTTAAAGGTTAGTGAATGGCAGGATTGAGAATTTTGTGTCTGTAAGAAGCAATTGGAAGATATTTGAATAGTCTTGGCCATCAGTCTTGTGGTTACTGGAACTTCTGCATAGTACAAAGAAACGATTGTTTGTCAGTTACCATGGAAACCAATGAAATGTTCTTATTGATTGTTCCACATTTAGAACTTTGCATGTTGTTGTTGTTCTTTTGCAGTGATATCTCCAATTATGTTGATTAATGTTAATGTGCTCAGTTTGATACATTTATTGGATGTTAATAACGACATTTATTTTTAAATACGGCGTTTAGCAGAATCAGGGCATCCCTTTGTATCTTATTAAATATTTGTGTTTTCATAATTTACTGATACAGTGAAGTGAACTGGTTTAAATGCTGTTTGTTCTTATACATGTTTGTTTCAGTGTACTGTGACTCAATTATTCATTGTCTGAGCTACTGGAAAGATGTTGGTAAACAAAAGTTGTTGTAAAAGGAATCCCCTAAAAGTTGTTATTGGTTTTGTCAATAAAGTGTTCAAACTGTGAAACATTTCTTCTATTAATTTAAATAATATTTATTTACTTAAGACTCATTCTGTGTGTGAATGTAATAAAGCTGTTGGTATAAAAGACCTATAGAATGATTTCTAAAGGAAAATTTCACATATTAAACCCCTGTATTAGTAAGCCTGTATTGGCTAAAAATGACCTTGGTTTGTTTTAAGAACATATACAGGTGTGCAAGCTTTATCCCTATATTAATCACATGTATTTGTGAGGTGGGAAAAATAGATTTAAAGGCAGAAACCCAAACATCTTTATACTGCCAGTGGAATCCTCCATGTTGGTTCCCTGTCCTTTAACCCCGTAAGGACCAAACTTCTGGAATAAAAGGGAATCATGACAGTCGTATATAAAGTACATGTCGCAATGTTGTATTTTAATGCAAGAATAGAATGAAGCTTGGCCACTTGTAGGCAGATGTCAGCATAGAGTATATGGTAGTGGTTCCCAAACCCCTTCCAGTCCAGGAGTTAGAGATTACCCAGTTGTGTCTAAGATGTTTTTAGAAAAAGAAAAAAAGAACATAAAAAGAACATAAAATCCTGCATTACATCTGACATTGTAATAGCTCTTTCTCTGGAAAATCCCAAACAGATGAAGAACTAAATGATTGTCTTTGTTGAGCCTCTATCAAGGCCGCAATCAGACCTTTCCGGTCAGCGAGAGATTGCAGTTTATCCATTGTACTGCAGATATAAACATAGCTTCCTACTGTTTGAGTTGCCAGCATTTTATCAGTTGGAGAACAGAGAGAATGCTGTAACTTTGAAAAATTCTTTATTGAATGTATAGAGCAAGATGATTTGATGTCGAATGCTTGAGCTGTGATGTAATACCCTGGACTAATGAAGACAAAACTCAACCTCTCCTGCCCATGGTTACCAGTTCAGAAACTGGTTCTTTGGGGGCGGGGGGGGAAGAGGGACAGGGCGATGTATATAAAGTACATGTCGCAATGTTGTATTTTAATTAAAGCATACATGTAATAGGTACCCCTAAACCTAGCCAGATGCTGCAAAGAGGATTCCCCAGGATTCTGATCATCTGGCAGGCTGGGTATCACGTTGTCCACAGTAGCTGCAATGCGAAAGCTCGCCATCACTATTAAAAGTTGCTGTTCTGATAATAGTATAATGTTCAGTAATGGAAACTCTTTGTTTAGAGCGCGATTTAGCTCTTGTTTTATTACAGACAAATGTATGCACATTTTTAGACATCTGTACAAAGTTACCAGTATGACAGCACTGTACATGTCGGTTCATACATGAACTTACAAGTTCCGAAAGAGGAACAATCGCTATGGGAACCAGTACAATGTTTGTGATAATTCCATGTGTTTCCACTGAGTGACACTCTTGCAAATCTTCCATCATGACCACAGCACAGTAAAGCAGGGGCAGGCAGCATTTGGCACTCCAGATACTCTTTGGTACTTTGCTGCCAATATTGCTGTACAAGCATTATGTGAGATGTAGTCCACAACAGCTGGAGTGCTAAAGGTTAAAGTGTCATTCTAAGTACAATAACAATCTTTGCTCATTGCATCCTCCTTACACACATTGCAATCTGCAAATATCATGCTGTACCCTTAGTGATGTAAATCATGGGAAGAATTTTAGTTTTTTGGCATATTCTAGAGAAATGGATGCACGGCTGTGATCACAAACTTTTGAATGGGTCTCTGAATAAACTGACAGCAATCACAGAGTAAAGTCTATCAGCAGTTCCACTTTTCAGATCTAATGAGTGGAACAGCAGCTGGAGGCTGAACCACATATCCCATAAACCCTTGCTGGACAAGGATTTATCAGATAAGAAAACCTATAGATCAGAATAGGAGGCTCTTGATTGATGCCTTTTCCTGGTATTGGAGAGGTATATCTGCCACTGAATCTTACTGCTGCAGCATTATTAAAGGTATCCAATTCTTCTTTTCTACGCTACATATATTGATTGCGTTAAACAATGACATGTCCACGTTTCCTGACCTGACGAATTTACCAGCTCTGCTATTTTGACCTCCAATTTGAAATTCACTTTAAATTCTCCAGAATGCATGCTTTAGTGGATAACCCTGTTATATTATCATGACAGTAATTTGAATTATCCAGAATGTGCCAGATTGGCTCTTGCGATGAAGCTACGATCCAATATTGTACACTAGTTTGGGTGATGTCACTTGTGAACCAAACCCAGAATGCTTTATAAGGGAATCTCAAATTCTGAACGCTACACTACATGTCATTCTTTTTACTAATATTTATATTTGACTGGCACCACTTAAAGCCATGTCTGACAGCTAAAGCTTCAAAGATTTTGTCGTCGTCCCCCTTATTAAATCTATTGAACTGAATATTTAAAAAAAATAAAAAAATAACTAGAGTTGAAACAGACATGATTAAATCACTCCACTGGGTTAAAAAAATGGCAGGGTACTTACCCATAAATTCAACTTGCAAAATATATAGGTGTATTTTGCACATTTACAGGAAGGTACCGTTAACCCTTTGCTTGGCATTGCTTTTGATTGCATTTCACTTAACATTTTTATTCCACTCAGTTGGAAAGATTTTCAGCGGTTCTCACGTAATAGGGCTTGAGGAAGGAGGGTAAAACCTTCTAAATTCAGCCAAAGTAAAGACAGAATCTGCTTCATTGAGAAACAATCACAGCTGCAGGAAAAGTAATTTTTGTTTTAGGGTTACGAGGTTGGCACAAGTCATGCTGCTGGCAAAGATACCACTTTTTCTTTCTATATTCTAAATCATATGGTCATTTGTTTATTTTCCTGCTCTATGGAAAGAGTGCGTGTTGTGCTGTCACCTGTTAGATATCCAGAAATGTTACTGTGAATTATTCCAATGAGTAAGAAATAGAACTGTTTATTTTTTGTGTGCTATTTTCTATGGTGATCACTATTCACCTAGTTATAGAAAAGGCACAAATGATATATACATAGTTAAGCCACCTGGATTCAGTTACGTGACATATGAAAGTCATACGGTTTAATTTACATCCATACATGACCTGACTGAGGTTTTCTTAGGATAAGATTAGAAATCACCTACTTCACTGTTTTCCCAAAAATTGACAAAAAATCTAGGAAACATGCAAGCAATTATCATTTATCATTATTCCGTCTCTTTTATTCTTATCATCTACAACTCGCGGGACTGAGGTTTGGAATAGAATTGAGATTTGAAATAGAGCTTAGAGGTCAATGAATATTGTATTTTAAGAATTACAAAACAGTTGTAAGTAAACACCATTAGGTATAGACTCTCGTAAAAATGTTAATCATTTTACAATAATTGTACTGGCTTGAAAAACATTCTGCTATCGGTGTAGGGAGAGGTGATAGGGTGATCAATAATAGAAAGGGATGATTTTGAAAGATGGTGGAATAGACTCCAGTTAAATCTATTTGTCATTCATTTATTAAAGGATTCTTGTCATGCTTCTTTTCAGTAGAAATGGATTCCTCATGCGATTCCATCTATACATGGTGATTTCAAAATCGCTAGCACATGTATAGATTCCTTGGAGCCATTACTTAGGCTCCTGAGTGTGTGAGTACACATCTACATACTTACTTACTTTTGGAATTTTAAACTCTAGATACTACACCATATTATTTTATTCTGTTCTCCTTTTATATACTCACAAGACTCTACCACAACAAGAAATACTCAATTACAGAACAATTTGCCACAATATATCCCTAGGCGGAGGATCATAACACCCAGTCACTTAAGTCAGAGCTGGATTACAGCTCCCAGTGCACATCTTATTACTTTTATTCCTCACCAGTATATGTACACTTACTACACAATTAGTTCCCGTATAATCTCTTCTTGTCGGTGCATATACCTTTTAAGGACTACTCAGGCGGTACAGAAACCCTTCTGTTTTATAATAAAATGTGCTTTTCCTTGGCAGACGGACTATTGGCATAGACCAGTGTTTCCCAAACCAGTCCTCACGGCATCCCTACCAGTCCATGATTTATGGATTGCCCACTTGTCTGTTTTTGTTTTTTTCTAAAAACACCTTAGACACAACTGGGTAATCTCTAACTCCTGGACTGGAAGGGGTTTGGGAACCACTGCCATATACTCTATGCTGACACCTGCCTACAAGTGGCCAAGCTTCATTCTATTCTTGCATGCATAATTGTTTTGTGGCCCATGTAGATCATAAGGGTCCTCAGCTGGAGCAGTGCTTATTGTGGTGCTGGAACTGCGTGGGAAGGAATTGAGTATTCCTAAAAACCTGAAGCTTCATAGACGGTAAATAAAACAACCTAAACACTATTTTCTACCATTTAATTTACTTTAGTGAACAACTGGTTCACTTTAAATTCTAAGCCATATCTTTCAAGTGTTTTGGTATGCAAGCACAGTTAGAAAAATCTCAATCTTCTCACTTTAAGACTTCATGTATAAGCATTTTATAACTTGTTTTATCAGGAAAGATTGATGAAGAAATCTCTCATTTTAAGGATTTTAAGAAATCTCTCATTTTAAGGATATCCCAGAGATGTGTAAATGCTTGTGTCTTCCACCCATCACATCCTAATTGAATACATTCCTCATGGGGGTAGAAACATGTTGCCAAAGTTTGAAGATGTTGTGATTTTTGCAGTGATCTGCATCAAAAAGAAAAAGGAAGTTACCACCTGAAATTTCTCATGTATGTTCCAATGACCTTGGCTCCTAAAAAGAAAAAGCAGAAGACAACATGGTTGAAATAGGGATAGTAAGTTGATTATTCCAGCCAATCAGGAGTGTAGGACAGCTCCATCAACTCCCAGACCCTCTGCAAATTTAGGCTAATTCGCCTTCTTACAATATAATTTGGAAGACCACTTACACTAAATTTGCCCGTGTTGGTGAGAAGGCATTGCTGCTATAGCAGCCAGTTTATTGTTCTCTGGTGAATAAAATATGCCTTTGTCAACCATGGAAGACTCTAGGAAATGTTATGGAGACCCAAGCATAGTTGGAAACTTTCTGAGTTTCTTTCAAAACCCCAGGAGGTTTGTACAAGTATTGCTAGTGCAGAAAACCACAGTGGAAACCAATAGTCTACGCCATTAAAATGTTAATTGGTCCACTTCTAGAGTTTATTCCTCCGTTGCTGTAAGGGCCGTCCAATATACTTGTAGCACATTTTATGATGAACGCCTGTTTTTACGTATGTAAAATCCTAGAACTGCACAGTTTGTAAGGGTATTTAATGCCACGATACGGACTTGAATGATTAAAAGTTTCCATAGAATGCAGCAAATAGGAATGAAATATGGGCGATTATCCATTTAGCTTTTAAAAAAAATATATATATATATTATTAAATGGAGGAAATCACCACTGGATGTTTATTAATTAATGTGCTATTGCTAATGCAATTTGTGTTCTAAAATTCTGATACGGCTGGTACAATCTGCTGGTCTTTAATTATAGAGCCCAAAATATTTAGCTTTTTGCTGTGACACGTTTAAAGGGACACTATAGTCACCTGAACAACTTTAGCTTAATGAAGCAGTTTTGGTGTATAGAACATGCCCCTGCAGCCTCACTGCACAATCCTCTGCCATTTAGGAGTTAAATCCCTTTGTTTATGAACCCTAGTCACACCTCCCTGCATGTGACTTGCACAGCCTTCCATAAACACTTCCTGTAAAGAGAGCCCTATTTAGGCTTTCTTTATTGCAAGTTCTGTTTAATTAAGATTTTCTTATCCCCTGCTATGTTAATAGCTTGCTAGACCCTGCAAGAGCCTCCTGTATGTGATTAAAGTTCAATTTAGAGATTGAGATACAATTATTTAAGGTAAATTACATCTGTTTGAAAGTGAAACCAGTTTTTTTTTCATGCAGGCTCTGTCAATCATAGCCAGGGGAGGTGTGGCTAGGGCTGCATAAACAGAAACAAAGTGATTTAACTCCTAAATGACAGTGAATTGAGCAGTGAAATTGCAGGGGAATGATCTATACACTAAAACTGCTTTATTTAGCTAAAGTAATTTAGGTGACTATAGTGTTCCTTTAATATAAATAGATGACCTTGTTACCAATTACTTAAAATTACAAATCGGAATATTGGGAAGCCAGTTAAAGGTTTGCCGATGCTTCCTCTCCCAATTTGGTAATTTTAACACTGTTTGCGTAAATTTTCAGGACATCTCGCATTCCCCATTGCACACTCCTGTGGCCCTCGAAAGGTTAATCATATCTATGTCCTTTGTTCTTGTGCGAGACTGATCCTTGCAATGATACGGTCTGGCCATCTGTCAACGTGCTGAAATTCAGACTATCCCTCTGCGTTCTCCCTTATAACGCAAGTTTGGCTATATGAGAACAGCCACACATGCCAGGAACACGCCTTAGCTCTGGGATAAAGTCTTACAGCTGGAACCTATTCTATTTAAAATGTTCATCTTGCTGACTACAGTACGAAACTCTCAGGAGAATATAGCAGGATATTTATTACATGCCCAGCTGTATGCTTATTCTGTAGCTGATGAGGTTCCTTCCCTGATCTGTTTATAATCACCATTTAACTGAAAGGTTTTGACATGATCGTATTCCACTTAATTATCAAGATCTTTGTATTTTACATGAAAGTTCTTTCGGGCTCCTTTTTGTATAATGATACCCATGTCTTTTTTTTTTTAGACAAACCTTCTTAAAGGAACACTATAGAGTTAAGAATACAGAATATAGAGTGCATTGCTAACGCTATAGTTCCCTGGGGTCCATTTAGGGGATCAGCCCTAACCTGCAGAGAGTAAAAAATAAAAAGTACTTCTACTTACCTTTTCACCTTTGTGGCACCTCGTCTTTGCACCTCCTCCTTGGCTCAGATCATCAAGATTGATGATCTCAGTCAATCCAGTGTTTTCTCATAAAAAAGAATTGGGAACCTAGTGTGCATGCATAGCAAAATGTCACGCTGCACCACTCAGATAATCACTCTTTTTCCTCTACCTCTAGCGGCTGCCTGAGTAACAGCCAACAGAGACACTTAAACTCTGAAATGAAAACATTGCTGTTCTGCAAAACTGCAATGATTTCAGCTGCAGGTTTAAAACGGTGGGGTATTTGCGTAAAAGGATGCTCTAAGCACCATAACCACAATAGCTATTTGTAGTGGTTATGGTACCAGTCATTTTCGGTTTCTGTCTCACTAATTCGTGTTAAAACCCTTTTCAAGATGTTTGACAAAAAAGAAACTATGCATTCAGCCAAATCATTGGTAGCCCTCACTGTGCCACTCAATTGACGCATGCTAGGATGGTATCTGTAAAAACCATTGAGGATCTTTGTCACCAGTGCTTCTCGGGCCTTTGACACGATGGTCAAACAATCAGACCTTGGCTCTATCAGCTACCTGAAAATAAAATGTGGTGTTTGGAAGTTTTATTGAACAATAACTAGCCCTTCCAGCTTGCTACACTTCTAATGCAGGGCAGCCAACTGTCATTGCTTTGTCAGCAACTGGCCATTTAGAAGTCTACTGCGGGAAAAGTGGCTTATTAGTCTTCGTTATAATCTGGTATATTGTTGAGTATATTGTTTTAAAGGGATGCGCCAAGCACTATAACTACTGCAACCCACTCCAGTGTAATCAGTTAAACTCTTAGTGGGGTTTGGCATTTACCTTGGTCCTAATATCTGCCGTGCTGCTACTGGTCGTATTCAGGAGGAGAAGCTGGACACCAAAGCATCAACACCTCAAACAATGAACAAGTTCCTGTCTTGAGTAAACTGACATTTGCCTTCTACTGCTTAAAGGACCATTATAGTGCCAGGAAAACATACTCGTTTTCCTGGCACTATAGTGCCCTGAGGGTGCCCCCACCCTCAGGGACCCCCTCCCGCCCGGCTCTGGAAGGGGAAAGGGGTAAAAACTTACCTTTTTCCAGCGCTGGGCGGAGAGCTCTCCTCCTCCTCTCCCGCCTCCGTTAAGCCCCGCCGGCTGAATGCGCACGCGCGGCAAGAGCTGCGGCGCATTCAGCCGGTCTCATAGAAAGCATTTACAATGCTTTCCTATGGACGCTGAGTGCTCTCACTGTGATTTTCACAGTGAGAAGCACGCAAGCGCCTCTAGTAGCTGTCAATGAGACAGCCACTAGAGGATTAGGGGGAAGGCTTAACCCATTCATAATTATAGCAGTTTCTCTGAAACTGCTATAATTATGAAAAAATGGGTTAACCCTAGAAGGACCTGGCACCCAGACCACTTCATTAAGCTGAAGTGGTCTGGGTGCCTAGAGTGGTCCTTTAAGAAGAAGCAGTACAGGTGCCCTTCAGGACTTGGGTAAGTATAAAACTGGCACCATAACCACTATGGGTGTATGCAATGTTTACGGTGCCTAAAGTGGCATTTAAGGAGATTTCACTGAATATTTTTTTTTTTTTAAAGGTACTTAACATCTGCAACTATAAAACATCTGCAACTATGTTTGTCTATTTTGACAGTTTTTGACCGAAATTCCGGAACTGTCATACGGAATTACTGTAGTTCACTGCTTGGTTATTATACCCCTGTCTTTAAGCTGTGACTATTTCTGCTTTATTTTGGAAAACGTCCAGCTCTGTCGCTGTTTGAGTTCTCCAGACTGGTTGCATGAAGCAGCTGCCTCCTTGATTTTTTCTGAAGTTAGAATAAGTTATCAGTCAAACTTGACTCATGTGAACTCTGCAAAATGAATTGTGGTTTTTGAGCAAATGAGACAGAAATTTAAAGACTTTTAAGGTAACGAGAAAAAGAAAAAAGTGCAAGTAAGCAGACTCTTTGTGTTTGGAGCGCCAGTAAATTGTTCTGTGACTTTCTACATAAGGTAACTGGTTATATTTCTGCTTAACAAAACAAATCTTAATGTATAAGGATAAATAAAAAATGTGGGAAAAAATATACTTTAAGAGTACAAAGGACTCGCCAGGGTTTATTTACTGTACCTCTTTTAAATGCATTTAATGGTATGTATATATAATATCTAAATTAAAAACAAAAAAGAGAGTTTATTTCCTCTATTACAGGTTTTTAAAACACTGTCACCGAATTTGCAAAGTCCCCTGACTGTGACATCGCCGCTGGTGGTTCAGTGGCTGGGGGGGACAGTTAAGGGTGGGATTACTTACCTGAACCTGTCTCTTGCAGGCGCCGCTATCTTGCTCGCACTGCTGCACTTCAACTCCTGGAGCTTCAGCACCAGGAGCCGACATAACTGCTGCACTCTTACGCATGCGCGAGAGTACTACATAGAGGTCTATGGGGGATCCTGCAGCTGTCGGGACTGACTCCGTATCTTCGCCTTGAGTCTAAGAAAGTCAGGCGGTGGAGAAATACAGAGACAAAGTAGTCCCTATTTATTTTTTTTCTGTATATCTCTTGACTGGGTTGGGTTTTCAGTAAAATTCTAACACAGTCAAAATTGGTATTTTGTAAATTCTATCATTTTTCAACAATTGCTTCCTCAACGAATAAGAAGAATTTATTTTATTGGGAGTCCACCAACTCCCGAGAGGTGACCTTTTCTCTTTCATGGTGTGCTCATCCCTTGATTCTACCTCTTATGGCCTGCATTTATACCTCCAAATAGGTGTATAGTATGGTATTACACAATGCTGGTAGATACTGGCGTCAGTAGAGTTGCGAAAAGCAGAGTCTGTGTCTCCTAAGCATTCAGGGACCTCTGTGAATGGTCCCTCGCACTGCACAAGATAGAGGTTGCTGGGATGAACTACAGCAGTGTTGCATCTGTCAAACCCTATCTTGTATTGCATGTTTAATATGACTAGAAACATCCACAAACATCTGTAAATTTGTGTGCAAAAAACAAACACTTATTGCTGTGCTGTCACATGGTTTTATTACTTTTAAAGGTACACCACATTCACCATAACTACTGCAACTTATTGTAGAAGGTAAATTCTCCATTGTCAAGTGCTTTGACAAAAAAACAAACAAAGGAATTGCCCCATCTGTGTTTGAGTTCAGCCTCTCTGTTTTTATTAACCATTTAGCTGTAGGTGAATTTTAATAAAATTTTTCAACAGCTTTGACCTGACAGAGTGAGTTCAAGCTACCTGGGACAGGTTTACTGGGGACCAGAGGATATGATACCCATGGTACTATTGCAGGTCTGGGGTGTAATTCATTTTTCTTTTTAGGGGCACAGGGATTGCGCATGGTGTGCTGTTTTAGGGCTATGGAGCTGGGCATACCCTGATCCACTTATCACTGGGCTATAGCACTTGGGAATCTCCTAGCCCACTCATACTATTGCCTATCTACCTATAATAGCATAGCTTCTGGCAGATGCAATTTTTGATAATGTGCAAATACACCCTTATGCTACACTCAGTCGAAGCCTCATCAGTGCAGTTTTTTGTTTGTTTTTTGTGTGGCTCTTTTCTTTCTTGGACTAAATGTTGGAAGCTGAAATGCCTTTGTCAGAATTTTGGCAGCAATCAACTTGTGAGGAGGTTTCCTTCATATATTATACAGGAGAATGGGATTCACAGGCTTCTATTTTCCAGAGTAACACAGTCTGTTAGGCCAATATTAACTCTTACAAATGGAAAGGGTTTTTTCTTAGAATTAAAGTGCCCGTAATGCCTTAATATAAATGCTTTTCAACGTTTCAACTCAAGCTTGATAAAGACCTGGTTGTGTTGAAACTTTGCTGCATTTGCCTCAATAAAGCTGCTATTTTTGCTACTGGACTATTATTAACTCTGCATGGGAGTGGGGCCTGGCCAGCCCTGGACCCCGGAGCACCTTGGTTGTTTGGGGAGTGCGGTATCCATTATTTATTTACTATTGGATAGATCTATGACAAAACAAGTAGCCAGTCATCTCTTAAGTCGTGCACCTATGACCTTATAGGTACAGCTGTGTTAGTAAGGTTGCCTGAAACTTGTTAATTGTCTGGTGGCATTCCTCTTCACAGAGGCTACAGGAGAACCTTGGCACGTTACCAGTAAGCATCCTTGGACAAGACCCATAACGATATATCTCCCAACCTCAAATCCTCGTTTGAGCAGGACGTTCTTTGCCCCTTAATATCCATTTCTATAATTTTATTGTCCTACAGAATATGTTGGCACTATGTAAATATAGTTCTTGAGGTACCAGTAATAACGAGATTACACTTCACTGGGATCAAAGCCTTCCAAGCTCTCACAGGCATACCACTGTAAACATATTAACATTTATAAACAGACGTTAGTGTTTGGTTCTAATCATGCTCAAATTTATTTGAAGTCAGATTTTTTTTTCTTAACTTTAAGTCTTCATTAGTTTTCTTAACAGAATGCCAGTTGAGCTGGGATAATCTGGTAAATTGAGAGTATAAACAACACACAATAGCACGTGTATGCGTATTCTCACACACCCATTAATTGTTTATACAATTAAATAATTGAATTTCAGCCGTTTGGGTAGAAACCATTTATTTATTTATTTTCCTGGCAATCAAACTGTATATGTATTTTTAAATCTGCTTTCTAACGACAGTGCTGGAAAATGCGTAGTAACTTAATTTTACAGTTTATTTAATATTTTTCTTGTATGCAGATGTTCATTCAAGTGGCTAGAATATGTTTCCTGCGGTTCATCTTGCCATATGGTAAACACGCTACACCCAAATCCTGGGAGGTTGCAAGAGAGAAAATGTTTTCCTTGTTATATTTGCAGGGATTTATTTATTTTCTTAATATTTTCTGGTTGGAAAAAATTTTAATATCCTAAAATTATGTCAAATGTAACAGAAAATACAATGTCTCGGTCCATTTTTCAGAAGTACTAAACTTTTTCACCATATAGGCAACTCAAAATGTAAAATAAATTAAAAGCTAAAAGTTATGTTCAACTGAAAGTCATCTGGCATCCTGCCAGATTAGACTTGGTGGCTAACATATGTTGAAGAAGTGACACCTTAATAAAGCTGACCAAATTATCTCTAACCTGAGTTGCAATTTAAACATCAGAAAATAACATAACTTGAAAATAGCGTAGGAAAATAACAGTTCATGGGACAATACAAGCGCAGAAAATGTTATCTTAGGTGACGCGTTTCGCACCATCTGTTTTGTATATTCAGAATCTTTATTTTGCCTATTTAACTTTTCTGATTTTTTTTTTTTTTCTAATGAAGTATTCACAAATACATAAATACAGGTATTTAATATGCCTAATATCATCTGAGTTGTAGTTTAGTCTTTTTTTCCTTATGTTCCACCTCCTCATAGCCCCCTATAGCTAATCTTATTTAACTGAACCCATTCCCTATGCAATAGATTACACACAAGCAGCCTGAGCCTGCTTTGTCATATGGACTAGGAGTGCAGCTATGATACTGCGGAACCTATAAATTGGCACGTCTCCTTGATCCATGTGACACACTGGGGGAGATTTATCAAAGTGTGTAGACACTTGTCTTTTTGCAAGTAAAATGCATTGACACATGATGCAAATGCTCTATGTCCTTGTCTTGCTGTTTGAAATCTGTTTTTCATACATCATGTAGGACAGATCTTCTTCATACTTGCATCTTGTCCGTTAAGTTTTAATATTTATTTCCATCTGTTTTCACTCTGTTTTGGTTTCTCGGCTTGCTGTGTTATGTTGTTTGTCGTAAAAAAGTTGTTGCTGGTTTTTTTTTTTTTTTTGCTTTGCTTTTTTTTTTTCTTCTTCCAAAACATGCAAATGATTCTACCCAATGTTCATCCCAAGGATGCAAAAATAACGGTTACCTTGTAAGAAGTCTCGTGGAGGTCTGTGCAAAAAAAGTAACTTTTTTTTCTTCAATTGAAATAACATCTGTTCTTGTGAAGTGTAACCAAATCAGGTGGGTGGTCCATGCTATTCAGTATTCATTACAACACGCGGGAAACATCAAACTAAAAACACAGTAAAGGCTTTTTTTTTAAACTCTCTAAAGAACTTTGGCCTGGAAGGTGACACCAGCCTCCACCTTTCTCAATGCTTCCAGTTTACTTGGATCATTCGTTTCCAGAAATAGAAAATAATCCCGAATTAAATGTCATTATTATTGATTTGGTTAAAATCCAATTGGAAAAGTATGGGACCAAATGCATAGGCATTGAAAAATATATAAGGTAATACGGCGATATTTGTATTCGCACCGAGCAATGAATGAGAAAAAAAAAAAAAAAGTCCACTCCTTCTTTGGTAAACCAGCACCGGAAATATATAATGTTCCAAGTTAAGAAGACATTAATAGGTTTAATGTTTCATTAATTTTTTTAACGATAAAATCCAACAAATCTGATGGAATTGCAAATAAATGCAGAATATGCACAAATCGTGCTCACGCCCAGACTGTTGTACCGTGCCAATACAGAGTGTCCCTTAATAGGAGCATACTTTTCAGCATTTCATATGGACAAAGAGGGACACTTTAATTTCAGGGATAAAACTGGGGCCATGGGTGTGGCTGTTCTGAGACATTTTAAGTGACTTACTAATAACAATTTTTGTCACTAAAATGTAATTTAGTTCAAGATTAATGTATCTTATTTACACACTTTAATTTCTAAACACATTTATTGTAATTTAAAGTACCACTATAGTGCCAGGAAATCAAACTCGTTTTCCTGGCACAATGTAGTCCTTAGGTCCCCCCCCACCCTCATGGCCCCTCTCCCGCTGAACTGAAGAGGTTAAAACCCGCGCGCACCTTCAAACCGCCCATGGGAAAGCATTTCTCAATGCTTTCCTTTGGACGTCACGGAACCGGCCTCTAGTGGCTGTCAGTGAGACAGCCACTAGAGGCTGGATTAACCCTCAGTGTAAACATAGCAGTTTCTTTGAAACTGCTATGTTTTCAGCTGCGGGTTTAAAACTAGAGGGACCTGGCACCCAGACCACTTAATTGAGCTGAAGTGATCTGGGTGCCTATAGTGGTCCTTTAAAGACACCTTACTTGGAGGATCATTGCTGTGGAGCAGCATAGACACACCAATAATATCGAGCTCCTAGCAAAAAGGACATGAGGATAGAAAAGAGGGGCTGAGGGATTTGGGCCCAAAATACAGACTGTCCCTCCTTAATAGAGACACTTGGGAGGTAAGTAGGAGGGACATTCATTGTGAATCACACCTCTCTTTTTTCTATCTTTGTTTCTTTATTATTTTTTTTTCTCTAGAATCTTGCAATTACCTCTGTGAAATCCATCATTCTCACAGTAATGTGTCTTTGCACTGTAACTTCCCTTAAACTACATATAATCGTTTGTGCTAATTAAATACTGTGATATTGTTTCAAATATTTTTCAGTAATTTCATAAATGTCTCTTACAGTAAAATTATAAATAAAGGTGACGTTATGAAAGCCTACAATTCTAGCTAAAATGAAAGTGTTCTTCTTTGGCAATTTGAAATGTTCAGAGGTAATGTTGCAAAGAGTGAAACCGTGACGAACAAAAACAAAGATCTTGCATGTTTCTGTCTTTGTGGGCAACCTTTATAAAGGAAAACACTTGTTATCTGTAATACAAATGACGATATGAGCACCAACAGTTAACGATCCCATTTACCCATAGCAACTACATAGTACAACTTATAGTCCGAGTAACCCCCTCTGAAAATCCTTGCACCGGGATTTGTTCACCTGTAAGAATGTTTTTGTTTTTTTTTATTTCTTTTTTTATTTGCTTTTCCTTTTTTTTCCCTTTTTTTGTGTTGAACGTTTTGCTCACTGCATTCGCTTTGCAAATCTTCTGCTTTGCTCGTTAACACTTCCTTCCCTCCATTACTTCTTGAGACCTATTAAAATTGAATCCAAATGCAGCAGAAGCACGGCTGTCTATTTAAATGGATCCCCCCAGAGACCCATGGGATTTGTAGTTTTACAGGAGCTGGCTTTTTTTGCCTTGCTTGGAGATGTTTCTCAACTACGAAAATGGCTCCGAATTGTGTTTGGAAATCACCTTGTTTCTTTCCCACTAGCGATAGCTGATAAATACATTTTGCCCCATTTTGTATTTCTCTGATGGTTTTTCTTTATCTCTGTTTTAGATGCAAGTTTTGGACAAGTTTCCTATTGAAGCTGGACAGAAAGATCCCAAGCAAAGAATTATACCATTTCTTCCAGGTAACCCCATTACAGAAATACATTCTTGTTCTTTATACGGACTAAAGACACGCAAGAATTTTCAAGGTTTAATGTTTTTTCACTAAATCGTGAATATTGTTACTTACTTTCTGATTATTCCGTTGACACTAGGGTTATTGTCCTAAAATCTTTGCCGACATTTCTATCTATGCTAGATGCTGCTTTGGATGATCCTGAAGGAGGTCCTGCAGACAGCTGACAATGCCATTATCTTCTACAGAACTTCCCTCGAATGTGTAGAGAGATTCTATAAGAAGATAACTTGTTACCTTGGGCCTTTGTCCCAAACACCTCCACTTGTCAAGACTTTGAATGTGTTGGGGGGAGAAAGAGGGGATAGTAAAGGTACAGAGTACCTACACCCCCTGCCACCAAATTCTAAAACTATATATATATATAATGTGCTATTATACCATATACTTTCATTTCCTTACAGTTGGTAACACGCTTAGACTTGCATCTAACTTAGCTTAGACTTGAGTCGTACTTCTGATTCACAATGCTTGTGATACCATTGTGATACTGGGGCTCTGCATCTGTGACAATAACCACTGCAAAGTCAAACTCGAGATATGCTTCACTTCTTCAAACTCAAAATCATGATTTGCTTCGCTGATCACCAATACTAAATATTGATAAGAATCATGGGAATAATCTTTTGCCTCTGTGAATAAAATCCCCTCTACCAGTGCTTGTTAAACTTGACCCTGCATATATACGTAAACTACATTTCCCATAGTGCATAGCCAGCCTTTTTAAAAAAACATCTGCCAGATCAAGTTTAGCCTTTGCCGTCCTAAACTTTTGTAGTATTATCGGCCTCGTACATGAGCGTCGTTAAATAACATTGAGACGTCAAGCAAATGGCTTTCTCTCTCTAATGTCTCGTCCCTTGGTGACCTTGAAATATATGTCAGCAACCTTGTATTTCAGCGAACAAACAGTCCCACAGTTCAAGTGTCTGCAGATGTTGTCACTCTCCTGCACCGACTGTTTCTCCCGTGGGAACTCTATTTCAATCGGCTTTGATTTGATTTATTTATTTTGTAGTTGGTGGCTATATAAAGCAGCTAGAAAGTCAGACACGACCCCCCGCAGGAGCACATAAACTTCACAGCTCGCTAATAATTGTGGATACAATGACCCGGAAGCTGCACGTTTCAAGATCTTACATTTGGCAAACGATTAGTCCATCTAAAAGGGGGGGGGGGGTATGTTTTCTACCAATCAAAGCTACTGGATTCCCTGTCTTTATAAAATAAAATGTCTGTGAGCACCTGTTATTCTTGGTATAAAGGAAGTCGGTGGGCCATGGCTGGTACCAGCGTATGTTACATGTAATCTAGGTTGAAAATAAACTCTGGTTCATCAAGTTTAACCCTTCGCTTGTCTGTTAAACTTCAAACCCCATTGCTCTCTCCTGCAAAATGTCCAAGATATGTTGCTTTACCTTGAACACAGCTGCCTAGGAGTGATTTAATTAGAACAGGGGTGCCCAAAAGGTAGATTTCCCCATATGCTGTAGAACGACAAAATTATGTACAAGCAATCCTGGGCATTCTTGTGCCCACGTGTGATCTCTTTGTATGTTTTGTTTTGCTGCATGGCTGCATGTGTGACAGTTGGTGTACATGTGTGGTCTTTATGGTAAATCATATTTAGGCATGTGTTATCTCCGTCAGAGTTTGTCTTCCATGTGTGTGATCTGTGTGACAGTTTGTTTCTGCATGCCTTTAACCTGTGTTCAAATGCTTCAACTCAGACAGAGATCATGTATGTGGCCAGGGTCTTTGTGTATCTGCTTGTGTATTTCTGCATACATGTGAGCTTTGCTAAGCTCCATGCATGTGAAGAGGCAGAGATCACGCATGTGGCTTGCATGGCCAGTTCTGTGTCTGTCCTGTGAAACGTGCCGTGTAATTAAATGAGAATAATGAAATGGGCTAGAGGTTCCTTTCTCACTCTCAAACCAAACACTGCTATAATTTATTTTATTTATTTTTTGATCGATAAAATCAGTTAGAATAATTTGCTGAAATTTGAGTTTCCTCTGTTGGCAGATTTTACTTTGATTTGCACCAACTTGCTACACCCCCCTCTTTACACTTGCTGAACTAGAGAGGTCTTGTTAGGTTTTCAGTGCTGGAGGGACCAGGCCTATTGGGACAAGGGTGAAATATGAGCAAATCCAATTAGATGTTCTTTTGTTTTGGTTGGGTCCATGCAAGCCCTAGCATGCCCGACTGTATAGGTTATGTCCATGTGTTCACTGACTAATGGGCATAGAATGTCAGAGATAAATTTAATTATTTAGGCATTTGTTTGACTGGAAACTTAAATACCATTTTTTTTTCCTTTTGTTAGGGAAGGTTTGGGTAGGGTAGGGAGTCGATCTAACCCACAACATTTATCTGTGCAAATGAACTGTTTCATTAGAATTCATCAAGCTTCTACACAATTTATTTGCAATGAGCCAGTAGATGCAGAATATTTTGATGTGAATTTCAATACGCACAGCTTAGTGAAAAATACACTGAACAGCTCAGAGTTTAGATTCCTGGAACATGGTAAAAATGACATGACCCGGCCCAGGTTATACACTGCAGAGAGGGGGGCATGGGGGGCATGCCCCAATATCCCAATGCACCATCAATTGGGTTGGTTTTTTTTTTTTTTTGTAAGCACACGAAGTTCCAAATATTTTTGGGTATATCATTACTATTTTGTTTACTATACTGTTTTGTTTTTGAGAGATACAGTTGAGATGCATTTAATACTTTCATTTGAGTACTTGGAGCTTCCTAACACATGCCGCAGTAGTGCGTGTGTTGCTAATAAATGCTTTTATTTTTAATTCCTCTCAGACATTCAAGTCTATGCTGGTTTAGCAGCAATCTGTGCAAGTGTATCCAGTAAATGTTTATGTGCATTTTGACTCATGCTTATTTGGCATTGTCTCCTTTGTCTATCTGAACCCAACTTCTCCAGTTTGCTTCTTTGAATAGACTTAAAGCATTTCCTGGCATTCTACAGAGAATCTGACATCACTGGTCTAGGTCTACAAAATAGCATTGTGAAATTGTGGTCGGTGGTGATCATTAAAGAGATCACACAGAAAGGTAAATTAGGGAAACATGGAGGATAAAGGAATTGTGGGGTAGATTTAAGAAAGCCAAACACACATTGTCCGAGAGCAAAGTGCTAAATGTCTAGTAACATTCTATTGGTATGCAAAGTGGCGGCTAATTATTTGGTATGCAAAGTGGCGGCTAATTATTTAGCACATAAACGCAAAATAGCAGCAGCTTCAGCTTTGGTAAATATCCCTAAATTGAGATTAAAAAGCGGTTGTTTCAGGTGAAATGGACAAACCCTGAACCCATTTAAAAGAACAGTCCGAGCACCATAACAACAACAGTATATCATATACGCACACACAGGCTCTACCCATCTAAACATGCATGCATTATATGTGTGCTCCTGAGACCAATAGTTACAACGTATAAAATACAGCTCAATCAAATTCACGTTAAAGACCCTAAAAATTAATTAACCCCTTAAGGACACAACTTCTGGAATAAAAGGGAATCATGACGGAATATTTCCGTCATGTGTCCTTAAGGGGCTAAAACATCTTACTTGGGTTATGTAATAGAAAGCCAATGCCCAGAGATAAAGACATTCTGGAATATGGCTTTTGGATTTGTGAAAGATCTAGGTGCCCACTCTCCCCCACCCCCATCTCCCAGTGACACATAGACCAGAAGGTACACTATTGCACATGATAGAAACATACCAGATAAAAATGTAATTTTAATCATAAATGTGATGATCGCCTCAAAGGCTGTTATAGCCAGAAAATGGAAACAACAAATAGTACCTAGTATACAAGAACTTATACAACAGGTCAAAGATAAGGATGGAAAAAAGGATATGAATGGCTAAGTGAAAAAGCCAGACAGAATAACAGGATGTATAGAAACTGGTTAGAATATATAGATAGGTTTAAACTCAGACAGCAAATATTATAAATAAGGAGTCAAAATATAAGAAAATAACCAAGAAATACACTGGGGAAGAAGTCTAGAGAAATATAAACCATGTCAAAGTCTCGAGCAAGTTGTATGTATGATGTCTGTTTGTTAGTATGTTATGTCATTATAAAAATTGCAGCATGTACTATAATTGTATTTCATACTTTTCTAATAAAATGCGATTAAAAAGATAATAATAGTAGGCCTCTGAATCGTCCTGATTATTGCAGGACAGTCCCTATTTCAGGGACTTGTCCTGACGTCCCTTTGTTCCTTGGTGTCCATTTTTGGAGACACTTGGAAACAGTCAACAGAAAGTGTAGCATGAGCACATCATTCCGCTGTAAGACCATGCAAAGAGCACATTTGGGACTGTGACTGCAATTCGTGTCATTGGCCTGCTCTCTTTTACCCTATTGGATGGTATGTAATTAGGATTTATTGACATGACCAAACCTTGCATAAATCTGACACAAAAGTCAATGTATCCTATTTTTGTTAGGTTCTATTCTATACTAATCTAATGACTTTGAGCTGATCCCATTTACATGGGTCATCCATTCTATTTTTTTCCTTTTTATACACTGATTTGTACTAGCATATATGGTGTTTATTTACAATGCTTTTTGTTTTAAGCTTTCTCGTATTTTCTGTACTAGAGAGAGTTTAGTTGTGCTTTAGTACTCAGGGATATTCCAGATTTGTTTTTCATTAGTCTCCCAAAACGGCTTCATTTGCCAGATACTAACATCATGTCAAATGGGGAATAGTTTTTGCTGTCGTCAGTGTTGACATCTGGTAGACAGAATATGGCAGCAACCCTCAATAACACGTTGGATAAGATTGTAAATTTACATAGTTAACACATTTCTACCTTGCCATACTCTGCAAGATTTGTATCGTCAAACTCTTTTATTGCAATTTTAATGTGGAATTTTTAAATGGAAAACTACAGTTTGAATTACTTTTTTATAAAAGGATTAATGTTTGCGTTCTCTTCCTTTATAGTGAGATTTTCCTGAATAAGTTAAGGTTTTTCTGGGAAGCGTTGATACTCTTCTTCACAGACAGCATTATTTAGTCTTTATGAGTTTCTCTAACCATAAACCGTTTCAATAAAACTCTTTTTTTGGATGGGATAAGCCTTGCTGGTATGTTCCCCCTCTTAAGGTGGAAAAAACTTACCTTTGATCCTGCACCAAAGCCAGGCTCTCCTGCAGCCTCTGGTGACATCGTTCCCCCCCCATTAGTTGTCCATCGCCAGCATTCAACTACAATACATGTGTTTGGAAATCAGACTGTGTAAATAAGACTCAGTGTTCTTGTTATAAATTACATTGTAGTTCCATAAACTATTAGCAAATCACATAACATTTCTCAGAATAGCCCCAACCAACATCCATAAAACTAAAGTGTCCCTCTTTGTCCATTTCAAATGTTGGGAGGTATGGTATAGCCAATGTATCTCCTCCCTCTACCCTCTCTTTTATCATGCCTCCCTCCATCTTTATTTCTGTTATTCCTGCCTCTTCCCCTCCTCCCATTTATCCCTTTTTTTTTTAAATCACTCCTTACTCTGTTTAGTCTTTCCTTTCCTCTCTACCCGTTCTCACATTTTCCCTCCTTTTCTTTTCTGCTGTTCCCTCTCATTATGTTGTCCGTTGCCTGTGTCTTTTTTCCACCCTTCCTTCCTCTCTGTTTCCTGTCAGCCTTTTTCAGGATGGTACTCCTCCGACCCATCTCAGTTGAACATCCCCTTCTTGAGATCCTACTACCCATTCCCACCTCTTGAGAGGGTACTACCCACCCCCACCTCTTGAGATGGTAGTTTCTCCCATTCTTGCCTAATTCAGTTCTATTATTCGGTATTATTTAGCGTGCAGGATTCTGTTCATTTAAGGAATTGTCGTTCTCCTTTACACAAACTGCTGACTAGCTAGTGCTTATTTTTATTTTTTTCTCTTTCTCTTGAATCCAGACAATGGTTTTTCTTCATGGCTGTAATTATTTTTAAAAATAACTCTCAAACCATTCATCTAATGTGGATGGCGGGCTGGTGGTCTGGAGTACTGCACACATACACTCCTAGTCGAACAATCAATGCATACCATCATCGACTGCATTTGTCTTCCTCATGTAGACAAAAAAGTAACAGTGGGCTCCATCCTTGATCATTTCAGGGGTCTCCATTTCCTATATCCCACAGATTGCTAAACATTTGGTTAATTAAGAGCATGGCAGACGTACACTCTCAATGCTCTTATCTTCCCTGCAATGTTTCATTAAACAAATTATACCCTCTGTATAATATTTGAATTATTATTTAATTAGTATTTAAATGTAGTGTTTAGTAGTTACGCCTGTACATAGTGCAAGCCCAATCAGCTAATTTATAGTTAAAATAAATATTGAATTTGATTTGTTTGATCTACTTAGTCTTTCCTGCTGTGTATTGGCCACTCTGCCTTTGTGTGACACTGCTGTATCCCACAAGAACTATGAGGATTATAGGATTCAGTGTGCGACCCATGGGGATAGTGTGTCTGCCTTCTATTCTATAGGTCATTCTACAACACGATCTTTAGAGTAGAATATAATTCTTGAATGTTTGTTTTGCTAAATGATTATAAAATAAAAAATAATAATAAAAAATTTATTTTTTTATATTATATTTGTCAAATTTTTCCCAATTGATATGTACGTGAATGTGAAAGTTATCATTCACTCGATTAGTGGAAAGCAGGTTCATTACACAAATACCTAGAACTCAAAGCAACCAAAATAAGCAATAGGGGTTACTTATATGATCTACACTGCGGCCAATGGCATGATATTTTGGAGCCAGGTTAGTAACTGTACTCCTGTATTCAATTCTCTGCGTCTGGGCCCTCCAAACTGAGGAATACGCTGTAGTGTTGATTTGCAGACTCCGGGCCCAGCAGCTATTTTTAAGGATCTCCTGTTACCGTATCATGCTAGTCGTTAACTTCAACCTGCAACTTCGTAGCATTGACAGCATGACTCGCTAAACTGGGAATTATAGAGAACTGGCAAGGGAACGGAACATTTTAGGACGAGGTAGCGAAAAAGGTAAAATATCCAAATCTTTGTAACGTTTTCCAAATTGACTCGTCTGGTCTAAAATGTGCAGTCCTTTTCGTCTATTTGCCATAATTCTCACTTCAGTGGGTAGACCTTAGTGGAAAAAATTGAAAATATCATTAAAAAAATAAATAAATTATATTGGCGAAACTGTGAAATATTTTCTCTGCGTATTTACTTATTTTATGTTTTTTTCGAAAACTGCCATTCTTGTTAAGCGTAATAATTTCATCAATACGTGTGCACATTTCACTTTAAACGCCTAATCTATAGTACAACATATTACAGCTAATTAACAGCAAGGGACAAATCTTACTTTACTAATCTGTTAACAACCTCCTGGAACAAGCTACCTTTTCATTAATGGGCAGTGTTTTAAAGAATTCTGCCTTGGCAGAAATACGATGTTCTTACTTTTTTATTTATTTATTTGCGGAGGGCATGATTTGGTTTGTTTAGCAGGCGTTGAGAGCATTTAGTCTAGGTTTCTCTATGCCTGCATTTATACCTACCGTCTGCTGTGTTAATGCTTTGCCGTTGTGGTCAGGATCACAGTAAATAACGGTATAATAATAATATACTTTTTCTAACATGTCTGGTGCGTTGGGATTTGTCTTGCTAGATAGCGTGCCAGTTATCAAGTCACAGTCTAAGTGGCAGTTCCCCCTTCCACCTTCATTATACCTCTGAAAATCAGGGTTATATTTACTCAAATGTAGATTATGGAGAATTTCAAATGTTAGGGCCAAATAGCTGATCAGAAAATATATCTGAAAAAAAAAAAAAACAACAAAAAAATAAAATCTACATTTCTATTTTGACTTCATAATGACCTGACAATTCACACTGTAGTAAATATTCAATACATTTGGAATTTGGAATGTGTGATGAGATAATTCCACATTTCAAGCCAAAAAGGTGCGCTGGAAAAAGAGATGCATTTGGGAAGTTTTCCAAATGATCTCTTTTGGCCTACACTTTGCCTGGTGTATACTCCACGGTGATCCATCACTTTGCTTAATTAACCTACCTACTTTGCCTATTCTGATTTTTCTAAATATCTTGAAAACGATAATGTGGAGCGATATGAACTAGTGGTGTTTGGGCTAAAAATTTCTGTTTTGCAATGGAGCTCTGTGATATTCTCATGTGCACGGCATATTGCTGTGAGTTTTATTGTAGTGGAGCAATGTGATGCACGCATACATACAACACATTACTAGGAGTTTTATTTCTGTGGAGCTCTGTGATAAACAGATTATTTTCCAGGATATCAGGAGAGTAAATGAGATAAACCTCAGAAAAATAAACATGTAATTTAGTTAAATCATAAATGGTAGAATATACTACTGTTAATGCAAACAAAGTTCATAAGTTATACCTATACACTGATGAAAATACTACAATGTAGAACACTTAAGATGGCCAACTGCTGGTGGAAATGTAACCGTTTATGTCTTTTTGCTGATGATACTAAGATATGTAACAGGGTTGATGTTCCAGGAGGGATAAGCCAAATTATTTAGGTAAACTGGAAAAATGGTCAGAGTTGTGGCAACTGACATTTAATGTGGATAAGTGCAAGATAATGCATCTTGGACGTAAAAACCCAAGGGCAGAGTACAGAATATTTGATAGAGTCCTAACCTCAACATATGAGGAAATGGATTTAGGGGTGATTATTTCTGATGTCTTAAAGGTAGGCAGACAATGTAATAGAGCAGCAGGAAATGCTAGCAGAATGCTTGGTTGTATTAGCAGTAGAAAGAGGGAAGTGCTCATGCCATTGTACAGAACACTGGTGAGACCTCACTTGGAGTATTGTACACAGTACTGGAGACCGTATCTTCAGAAGGATATTGATACCTTAGAGAGGGTTCAGAGAAGGGCTACTAAACTGGTTCATGGATTGCGGGATAAAACTTACCAGGAAAGGTTAAAGGATCTTAACATGTATAGCTTGGAGGAAAGACGAGACAGGGGGGATATGATAGAAACATTTAAATATATAAAGGGAATCAACACAGTAAAGGAGGAGACTATATTTAAAAGAAGAAAAACTACCACAACAAGAGGACATAGTCTTAAATTAGAGGGACAAAGGTTTAAAAATAATATCAGGAAGTATTACTTTACTGAGAGGGTAGTGGATGCATGGAATAGCCTTCCAGCTGAAGTGGTAGAGGTTAACACAGTAAAGGAGTTTAAGCATGCGTGGGATAGGCATAAGGCTATCCTAACTATAAGATAAGGCTAGGGACTAATGAAAGTATTTAGAAAATTGGGCAGACTAGATGTGCCGAATAGTTCTTATCTGCCGTCACATTCTATGTTTAGGTGCTGTCACTATGGAGACCTGCACTGGTATGCTTCCAATGTAACATGGCAGTCTAGAATGATACCGATGGCAGTGTAATGGGCAATTTCCATATCTTGATGTACAATGCAAAATGCTGGTGTCAGGCAGCCCTTCATGTTCTCAATTAAGATACGCAGTAGATCAAGGGTGTTGTGCATCCGCTGGGCTTTGTGCATCCGTGTGCAACATTATACAAAAAGGCTCCCAAATAAGAAAACGATAAACGTATCTTCAGTTTGTGTGACTGGTGATAGAAACACTAGGTCTAGTTTTTGTATTGTTCTGTTCTACAGGATAGTGTTTGGCAAACTTTTTTTTCCCCCCATGAATATTTTATTGAGAGAGTAATCGATATAAACTGTTTCATTTAAAAAAAATTAAAAATAAATAAAAACACGTATATTGGCAACCATTCAGTGAAACTTCCAGAAAGAACTAAAGGTAACACATTACGTTATATATAAATAATTATGCACACACTCTACAAAAGAAGAAACAAATTAATAAAATCATGCAGAGTTGTGCCACCCTTCCTGCTCTGCTCTTCTATAAATTTGAAGGGTACAAACCATACACCAAATAACAAAACGGATTAAACAGAAACATGATTATTACACAGAGATAATTGCGTTGGGAGATGATTTGGAACAAGGAAATGTTCTGGTTTTTTTTTTAAGAAGGGGGTGAGGGGGAGAAATATAAGGATCAGTGACTGGCATAGATGGGTTGACCTTTAATTTGAAACAAGCCAGAACATGTCCACAGTCAACCATGAAGCATATCAATTGTCCATAGAAGAACTTCGTATTCCCTCCATGGAAACCAAACCCTGTAATGAGAAGAGAACACTTTGCTAATTTTTATAGAACACAGTATATAGTGGAGTCATTGATTTGCTTTTTAGTTATGGTTTTGCCTCTCCTGCCATAACTAATATTCATGTAGTGCCTACGTCCTGGACTGGACCCTGCACTTAAACAAGTTGTCTGAGAGGCTGTGTTGGTGTGAACAAATCTCTTATACACTGGTGAGGTCCCTACATATATAAAAACGTTATTTGTGCGAAGAGTCAGTTTCATCATAGAAAACAAAGTCCCAAAATGTTACAAGCTCTCATTTCTGCAAACACAGCGCCATTCGCAGCATCAAACTGGAGATTCTCATTATTATTGGAGAGAGTCCACTCTTCTTTTAATACAGTGGTTGGAAACATGTCTGCAGTTGACGCAGGCAAGTATAAACTACGATGCACACTGATCTGTGTCTCTATTTTATCATTGGTTGTTTATTTTGGAAATACAGGCCAAATCTTAGAATTCTGTATAACCTTTTTTCTTTTTTTTCTTGCCTGTGCCTCTGGGCTTTCTGAAGCCACAAACCTCAAGTATTCTATGTAACCAGCATGGAATTATTAATGAGACATATTCACAATGGCAATTCTAAACAAGATGATCTGATATACAGCTTTACACATATAATAAATCATGTTTATTACTCCGGGAGAGGTAACATCGCTGCATTTTCCCCCATATGTTTGCTTGCAGACTATGCGGTTTGTTCACTAAATTACAAATTGCAGCAAAATTATGACTAGAGTTGAAATGGAGAGGCTTTTTTCTCCATATTAGGTTTTTTAGTCTCAGATTTGTATTTCTCCAAGTCAGAGTAAATATCAGGGTGCTTTGTCAAACATAGTATCGGTTTCTTATCAGACATTCACTCTTTATTCAATTTAACTAAAGAATAAATAGTAGAACTGCTAGATTGCAATCCTTATTAAATATGAAATTAGAGACACTACAGTCACCAAAACAACTTTAGCTTAAAGGACCACTATAGTGCCAGGAAAACATACTCGTTTTCCTGGCACTATAGTGCTCTGAGGGTGCCCCCTCCCGCCCGGCTCTGGGGAGAGGAAAGGGGTTAAAACGTACCTTTCTCCAGCGCCGGGCGGGGAGCTCTCCGCCTCCGATCCTCCTCCTCTCCTCCCTTTCGGCTGAATGCGCACGCGCGGCAAGTGCTGCGCGCGCATTCAGTCGGTCTCATAGGAAAGCATTTACAATGCTTTCCTATGGATGCTTGCGTGTTCTCACTGTGATTTTCACAGTGAGAATCACGCAAGTGCCTCTAGCGGCTGTCAATGAGACAGCCACTAGAGGATTTGGAGGCTGGATTAACCCATTTATAAACATAGCAGTTTCTCTGAATCTCTCAATTTGATTCTAGAAAACAAGGCACACAAATTATCGCATAGAGCTAATATGCATGGTTTCACAATATTAAAATATAATTGGGATAAATGGGAGGAAAAAAATCAAAACGTTTATGGTATTTGATATGCTTATTGTTAAAGTGCATTGATGTACAAAATTTTTGCCATTTCCAAGTTCCCCTTCCTTTCCTACCCCTAATACAATGTTTGTATTATTATTACTTGTTCAAAAAAAAAAATTACTTTGTTTATACAGCCCTAGTTACACCTCCCTCCATGTGACTTACACAGCCGTCCTAAACACTTCCTGTACGAGTCATTTAATGTTTATACTTCCTCTATTGCTAATTATGTTTAGAATTTATTATCTCTTGTTCAGTTAATAGCTTGTTAGACCCTCCTGTATGTGATTAAAGTTCAACTTACAGAGCAGGAGATGAAAACTTTTAAAGCAAGTTAAATAATTTATTGAAAGTAAAACGATTTTGTTTTCATGCAGGCTGTGTCAGTCATAGTCAGAGGAGGTGTGTCTACGGCTGCAGAAACAAAAGTGATTTAACTTCTAAATTGTAGATAATTGAGCAGTGGAACTTCAGATGCTGATCTATACACAAAAACTGCTTCATTAAACTCGCAGTTGTTTTGGTGACTATAGTGTCCCTTTAGGCACAAAGTTAAACTATAAGCATGATGCATGTAATTTTCGATAAATACTTGACAAATTTGGCTAGTCAGGAGCATGGAAACAATAAGGAAATCTAAGTCGAAATAGCCAAATTTGAAATCGCAGACTTGACATTTTTTCCAATTCGGCAATTGTACTCTAAAATATTAGCTTTAATTTAGATTTCCAGCAAATCACACTGTAGTGAATAACTTTATTGGTGTCCTCAAATTATTACCTATATACTGAAGCATTACCATTGTTACCCAACAAATCATCACCTTTGACAAAAGATGACGATCTAGCTTTTGTCTGGCCTTCACCTAAAATATAACCTAGCCATCCACAAAATGCAGGAACTCCAGTCATTCAATTACATTTTGAAGAGAAAACAAGAGGACATGCCCTGAGGGAGGGTATAAAAGTGCATCTTACTTCCATGACGGAAGTATCCATCTTTTATACCTTTCTCCGGGGCATCTCCTCCCTTTTCTTTTCATACCATAGCTAATCACCTCATTTACCCAATGTTAGATTTTCCGAAAACACAATGGAAATGATGGGCTGTAGTGACTAATTAAAACACAGTTTAATTAGATGAGCATTTAACTGAAGCAAGTTATTGGCAGCTGCACAAGAACTAAACTATTTTAGCTGTAATCCACGTAACATTGTTTGGAGGGATTTACTGTAATCTTGCACATAAAGCACAAAGTAGAATATTTGCGTCATCGAGAGCAGTTCCATGTGCCTAGCCATGCAGTAGTTTAAAGTGTAAAAGATTACAACTTGTTACAAAATGTTATAAAAAAAAAAAAAGTTATATGGTTTATTCTGGTGTTAGATCCAAAGTATTGTGTTTTTTTTCTAGCAGTTATGTTTCGGTTTACGGGATATGAGTGAAAGATCTTTGTGATGGATAAGTGTGGGAGTCAAGCCGCTATGGGCTATATGACTCTCAGCCGTTTACCAGGCAGAGCGTTTTGAGAGTTGTAGTCCACAAAAGCTGAACTGGCAGACTGATCCTTCCTGGTATCTCTTAAAGGGAACCAATACTCCAAAAGCGAAAAATCATCCCTTCTGTCCAGCCCACTTTGCTGCTAAAAATTAAAGTTTGAAAGGGATTACTTACCTGCTTTCCAGCCCTGTGACTCCTTTGCTGCAGCCACCCAATCCACCTTTGAAGACATCAGCATGCCTGTTGACATCTTCACTAGGTCCTCCAATCAGATTGGAGGTATGCATGCGCGGTCAAATGTCGCGCTCTTCCAATCAAATGCTGCTATCAGCAGCATTTGATTCCCATAGTTTTGCTTAGTCTGGAGGAGGAGCAAGTCTAGTGGCAGTCCAGAAATCTAGAAACCTGCATGTTAAAATGACAGGACCACTGCACCCACACCAATTCATCTTGTCTGGATGACTATAGTGTTCCTTTTAAAAGGTGTACGCACCTTCAGTATCTGGGATATATTTAAGATAGGATAAAACGACAACACAAAACCTTAACTTTTAGAACAAATCCAGAGAATATCTGAGGATTTTGGATGATCAAATTAGATTACCATTTGTCCGGCACGATACGTGCCTCGAAAACATATTCACAGGGTGGGCTGTAGATATTTTACACTAGAGATATGAACTTTATAAAACAATGATGTCATATAATTAATCAGATGTTCTTGGGTAAACTGGGTTCAGCAGAATGTCCCCTGTGTATCACATTTTCAACACTACTGTGAACTATCCAGAAAACACCCTTTACAAATGTGATAATCATCCAAAATGAAGTTTAAAGTGTAAAAGCAAAATGAATGTTTATTACCGTGCAATTTATGGGAAAATCTCTGCATTTGATATTTATTTGCAAGAAATCTCGACCTTATTATCTCTTGGAAATGTGATTAGAACTCTTAGACTTCAGTTTGTCCCTCAGAGGTTTTACTGACCAGTTTTTCTGTTTTCTCTTTTTCATTTTGGGATTTATTCACTAACCCAAGAATTGTGGACACAACGAGTTAAAATGTACCGTTGTTTTATGCTGTTGTCTTCCTAGAAGAGATAAAATTTCCCACAGATGGGGAGGAATAATTTGTGGGAAATCGTTCGTTTATTTTTGTTAGGTTATTCTGAATATCAGCCTGATGTATCTCTGGGGACCACCACTTGTCCGTCACTCCCGCCTGTAGTGTTGCAGATGTTTCTGCTGGTGCACGTGAACAAATCCATTATGTTAAATGCATAAGAACCCAGAATGCATTTAAGGGCCGTGCTTGGCTAAATAAACTCAGCTTCCTGTTACCCTAGAAGTTGTAGATCCTGGTGATGTCCTGATTTATATTTTTAATTCAGCACTTTCATGTCCAAGATTAAATCATTATCAGCTGGTTAGAGCAGTGGTTAAATCACTGCATTAGAACTGGGAAACCCCCCTTACCAGTAAGTGTCCGTGGGCAAGACACCTAACAATATATATCCGCCTACCTTAAGTCCTCATAGATTGTAAGCTTGTTTGGAGAAGGACGTTTCGTTACCTTTAAATATCCCCTTTCTATGATTGTAAAGAATATGTTTGCGCTAAATATATGCTAATAATAATAGCTGTATTAAATTAAAAATTTATTAAAATGTTACGGTTTCCAAGCTTAAAGGAACACTACAGGCACCAAAACAACTTTAGCTTAATGAAGCAGTTTTAATAACTCTCTGCAACCAGACATATTGGGTGCAATATTTAGGGTAGAATACAGTTAGTCCTGCTTGATGTCTTTATTTTTTGTTTGTTTTTTTGTTTAAATCCATCCCTCCAGTCCTTCCAACTCCCACCTTTAGAGTTTCCCATTTTACTGTAATACAGCCGTTCGCAATATCATCACATAGCAGTGGTTAATGGAATTTGGGTGTAGACTTTCTATAAATTTATTTTAACTTTTTTGTACTCTCACTGTGACTGCTATATGTTGGATGTTGAAGAAATTTATTCCTGAAATCCTCCCACTGTGCTTCACCTCTCGAGGATACTCCAGGTTGGCCGATTATACTTCTAATTCTCATTGCACGGTGAGAAGAACAGTGAGTAGCTTCTTTCGTAACTTGGTGACCAGGACATGTCTTCTACTTGCCAGTTGGATGGAGATTTTTGTTTTGGAACCGCACAAAGAACATCAGTGTTTGCTCTACAGGGTGTCTGGATAATGTGTTGCAACTTGGGTTGCTTTCCTTTGGACCTGAACAAGACTGAACAGAGTCTACAGAAAATACATTTTTGTTTTCTGGTCATTTTGTACCGTCAGCATGGGTCACCAAACTGAAAAAAAGGCAGCTTTATAATGTGTGTTTACCACCCAGCAGGTAGAAATGAGAATGAAACCTTTCCTTTGAGATCAAATCAAAAAAGGACATGTACATAAAACATCGGGTTGGCAGGCTCTGCGATTCATATGTTTTGGCTACAACTACTGGTAACATTTAAGGTTTTACTGAATATTGGTCATGAAGACAAAGCAACAACTGTATAGAAATTAATGTATGCTTGCTTCACAGCGAATTATCTCTGTGGCTCCATTGCATTGAGGTTGTGTGGGTGGATTTTGTTTTGTTTTCAAATTTAATAAAGAATATTCCTGTGAATTTTGTTTCAAATAACCTTGTGACCTGGAGGAATGTCTGTTTTTGTGAAAAAGATGTCCATCTCACTAGTTTCAAATGTGCAAATCACAGCACTATAGAACGTAACCCCTTAATGTTCTTCTTCTCAATACAAGAGGTCATTAAAGTCTGGCACTTGAAGACCCATTCATATCAGCATTAAATGTTCTACTTGTTTGCCATCAACAGTTCTACAAGGTATTACAATTATATAGTGAGTTAGTAATTCCCGAATATTATGACGACATAGACCGTCATTGATCGATAGCTGATTTAATGGATAATAACCGAAAGCATTCTAAGTAATAAAACTCTTGTATCCCATCATGAAGATTCTATGTACTGTGACATGTTAATGGGATATTCTAGCAGTGAGACTAACATTATTAATGTGTTTAAAAACTAAAGAAAAAAGATACTGACTTTTGATGTTCCCATTTTTGCTGCATATCCCCAGCATTTGCAGCTTCTACATTGAGCTCTCATCGCACAAAGACATGCCTCTGTTAATCCGGATCCTTCTACTATTTTCAATTGGAGTTGAATAAAACTCAGAAGTTCAGCCCTTGGCAACAATTCCATCCATTCATTTAAACACTATAGTGTCAAAAATACAAGAATGTATTCCTGACACTATACTGGTAAAAACACAATGTAGGTTCCTGGCACCACCTTGCCTGCCTTCAAAAAATGCATTTTTCTTACCATTATTCAAGTTCCGCACATGTCTTGCTGCAGCTGACTCCGCCTTATCCCATCTCTGTGGCTAAGTTCATCAAATTTGATGCATCAGTGCATCTCTATGGAGAACGTTTAGCGTCTAGTCTAGTAAATGTCACTAGAGGGTTACTAGGCAGTAATGTAAACCGTATACAGTTAAATATTGATGTAAATACACTACCAGGTACTTTAAAGAAACAAAGAATGTGATGGCAGATCAGAACCATTTGGCCCATCTAGTCTGCCCAATTTTCGAAATACTTTCATTAGTCCCTGGCCTTATCTTATAGTTAGGATAGCCTTATGCCTATCCAACACATGCTTAAACTTCCTCACTGTGTTAACCTCTACCACTCCAGCTGCAAGGCTATTCCATGCATCCACTACCCTCTCAGTAAAGTAATACCAGGGGCGTACCTAGAGCATATGGCACCCGGGGCGGATCCTGTGCTTGCCCCCCCCCACCCAAAAAACCTGTAAAAAATGTTAAAGGTTTTCTTTCTTTTTTTTTACAATTTGTAAACTTTGCAAAACCGCTGTCAGCCCCTCCTACAAAACCCTTGTCCTGCCCCGCCCCTCCTACAAAACCTCTGTCCTGCCCCTTCTACAAATCCTGTACTGCCCCGTCTACAAAACCCCCGCAACCCCCTTCCACAAATCCCCTGCTTATCCCCCCTTATAAAGACGCCTGTCCCAATACAAAACCCCCGCCCCCTTCTACAAAATCCCTGCAGCCCCACACACACATTTACAGGCAGACAGTCACACAGTCAGTTACAGACAGACAGTCACACAGTCAGTTACAGACAGTCAGTCACACACTCAGTTACAGGCAGACAGTCACACACAGTCACAGGCAGACAGTCACACATACACATTTCCTCTGTGCGGCCAGTTTATCAGCTGTTTGCTTGTGTGAGCTGTATGGCACCCTAACTACCATGGGACACTGTGCGGCCACAGCTCACACAGCCCCCTCCAGCCAGGGCCGGTGCAAGGATTTTTGCCGCCCTAGGCAAAAGTAAAGTTTGCCGCCCCCCCATGTGACATCACAATGCCCCACCCATATGATTTGCCATGTTAACTAACGCCAGTGCTGCAGTGCCGCCGTGTTTACATTAAAAGGCCTGCAGGGACAGGCTATAGACACCAGAACCACTACATTAAGCTGAAGTGGTTCTTGGGGACTATAGTGTTTCTTTAATGTGAGGTAAATTAGAGCTTAGTGCCACGAATAATATACTAGATTGCCTACTTACAACCAGATGAGGATGATGATGGGCTCTAGCTGCAGTCTGGCTCCACTGGTCTGTTGCAGAACAGGCTCTCTGGAGGCGGTTTGTAACTGTGTTCACAAAAATCAATGTTCTGGGAGAACGGGAAGCAGCTCCATTTTCCTTTACACAGCTCAAGGTCTGGGTCCCAGGGTCCACCTTCATGTTCCACCAATGAGTTTGTTCATAGGGGGTGGAGTGTGTAAGGGATGTCCTGATATGTGTGTAAGGAATGCATTGTGTGAAATTGTGTTTGTATGTGTAAGGGCTGCAAGGTGTGTTTCTGTGTATGTATGGGATGCATTGAATGTGTGTAAGGGGTGCATTGAGTGTGTGTAATGCATTGTGTGTTTCTGTGTGTGTAAGGGATGCATTGTGTGTATGTGATGAATGTCAATCTCTCCTCCCGCTCCAATTTCCTTCTCCTCCTCCCAATTTCTCTTTCTCACCACCCCTCCTAATTTATCTCCCCCCCTAATTTCTCTTTCCCCCTCCTAATATCTCTTACCCCCCTCCTAATTTCAATTTATCTCCCCCCTCCTAATTTCTCCCCCTCCTAATATCTCCTCCCCCTCCTAATATCTCCTCCCCCCTCCTAATATCTCTTCCCCCCCCCCTCCTAATTTCGTTTCTCCCCCCTCCCTAATTTCTTTCTCACCCCCCCTCCTAATTTCTCTCCCCTAATTTCTCTACTTCCCCCCCTCCTAATATCTCTTCCCCTCCTAATTTCAGTTTCTCTCCCCTTCCTAATTTCAATTTCTCTCCCCCCTCTAATTTCAATTTCTCTCCCCCCTCCTAATTTCTCTTTCTCACCCCCCCTCCTAATTTCTCTCCCCCCTCTAATTTCATTTTCTCTCCCTAATTTCTCTCTCACCCCCTCTTTCTCTCTCACCCTCTTTCTCACCCCTCCTTTCTCTTTCTCACCCCCCTCCTTTCTCTCTCCCCCTTTCTCCTCTTGCTCACCCCCTTCTCTTCTTTCTCACCCCCCTTCTCTTCTTTCTCACCCCCCTTCTCTTCTTTCTCACCCCTTCTCTTCTTTCTCACCCCCCTTTCTCTTCTTTCTCACCCCCTTTCTCTTTCTCACCCCTTCTCTTCTTTCTCACCCCTTTTCTCTTCTTTCTCACCCCTTCTCTTTTTTCTCACCCTTTCTCTTTCTCCTCTCCCTCCTTTCTCACCCCCTTTCTCCTCTTTCTCACCCCTCCTTTCTCTCACCCCCTTTCTCCTCTTTCTCACCCCCTCCTTTCTCTCAACCCCGTTCTCCTCTTTCTCACCCCTCCTTTCTCTTCTTTCTCCTGCCGCCTCCTTTCTCTGTCCTTTCTCCTCTTTCTCTTGTTTTTTTTTTTTACCCCCTCCTTTCTCTACCCCCTTTCTCATCTTTCTCACCCCTTTCTTTTGTTTATCAACCACGTTTCTCTTCTTTTACGCTTTTGTTCTTTCTCACCCCCTCTTTCTCTCGCCCCTTTCTCCCCTCCTTTCTCTCACCCCTTCTTCTCTTTCTCCCCTTCTCTCCCTCTGCATTTGCTGTGAGTGGCGTGGCCTGTATGGTCGCGGGTGCAGAGGCATCTGTTTCTGTTAGCCGGCGGGACTAAGCAGGGAGTGTACACTCGGTGTGCACTTCCTGTTAGTCGGCGGTGCTGAACAGCTGCTCTCTGTACCCGTCGGTTCATCAATGCTGCGGGGCTGGGCCGCGCTACAGCAAGGCTTATTTGGAGGGGAGGCTGGGCGTTCCCTCCTGTCAGCCCCTCTCCTCAGGCTGTGGGTTTGTTGGGGGTTTTGTGGCGTTCCCTCCTGTCAGCCTCTCCTCAGGCTGCGCCCGGGCGGTGCGGTCCGCCCTCATGGACGCACCGCCCGGGCAAAGCTGCAGCCGCCTGAGGCTCTTCACAGAGCGCTCGGGCGGCTGCAGCATGGGGGGGACCGGCGGGGCTGGTCATGAAACCCCCCACCCTGGTGGCACCCGGGGCGGACCGCCCCCCCCGCCCCACCCTTAGTACGCCACTGAGTAATACTTCCTGAAAAGTATTCTATTCTTAATAAATTGTGTGTTGTATTCATGTTCTAATAATAAAGTTTATTAAATTAAATTTTTCATTTGAATGAAGACTTATCAACTATTGCTCTCCTTTGAATTGTTTCCTTTTTCAGTAATGTAAACGGCAGTGTTCACGTAAAGAGGTCTAAAGGGACATGCTGTAGACACCAGAACAACTACACTAAGCTATAGTTGTTCTGGTGACTATAGTGTCCATTTAAGTTTATTTTTATTTTTTATTAGGCCTACCAGAATTACTGGTGTGGTCAAATAAAAATACTCATGAAATATAGGTAGGGAAGTAAAAAAAATGAAACTAAATAATTAGGTAAACTAAATTGAACATAATTAGGGGTTCAGGAAATAAAAAGAGGAAAAAAGATAATAAACAAACAAAATAAGATTTGCCAAAAGAGTCAGGGCCAGATGGGCTACTAAGAGCAGGGCTGAGAAGATCTGCAACCTGTGCCAGATTTTAGTATGCAACTCTAGGGTACCCTGAAACCCGAAAATAATTCCCTCCACTTAGAAAATAAATCTTATCTTATTCAAAACAACCGAAAACTGCAGTTTCCTTACTCAGTCTTGCAGCAGTGCAGATCTTGCAGCAAAGACGTAGTGAGGAACCTGTAAGTTGGACCATATGGTAACAATTTAGTAATGTCAAGATGCGTTCTTCTATAAAGCGGGCGACAACTATATTTTTGAATGGAACTATGACAAATGATCACAAGGCCATGTCTCAGTCTCCTCACTGTAAGCTTAGCTCCATAAAAGCCACCCCATCCCAGACACCAAGCATGGATTATGGTTGCATCAGTAATTCTTGCCTGCATCTTCAAAAGAACGATGAAGACCATTTTGATTAATATAGGTCAATGGCATTCTGAACAGATGATCAGATTTTTTATTTACTTGTTTTTTTTATTTCATTAGGAACAAAGAGCTGTTTTTAGTTATTGAATTGAGCTTTATTATTTGATATTGCGGTGGTGTAACAATCATCCATTGTCCATACTGCAATATTTGTTATTGTCCAGGCAAAGTCCTGACATTCCATAATAAATGTAAAGTGGTTTTACATTCTCAACCAATTGTAAGTGACCAGAATAACACACAGTCTGTTTCACTTTCATAATAGTGAGAAAAATTAAATCCGTTGATTTGAATTGTGCGGTACTTGGGAATAGTGTTACTGAAGAGTCTGTACATAGTTTGATTGGGTTTAGACAATGGGTTCCATAAAACAGTAGAATGGATTTAAAATGGAAATGTCTGGAATATGTCTTTGCAGCTTGCACAGTAATGTTAAAACTACCTGTAACACCAGCACCACTTCCTGTAGGTACACAACATCTCAGGATAAGAAGAAATCTGAATGCAGTCATCGTGTAGAGGGCTGGGTGGGATCACTCCAAATTAGGGAGGAAATATTCAAACTTCACTTTGCAAAGATGTCTGTGTTTGGGGCAATTGTGTGTGTGTGTGTATGTGCATTGCATGTCCATCTCTGTGTGTTTGCTACATTACATGCAGGTATAATAACACCCGGAAACACATGTAATGTGGTGACCCCTTTCTAAAGCCCCATCCCAAATCTCACCCCTGCACCTCTTCTATTTAACCGCTTGACATGCCTCTTTGCACACACAAATACGATATCGCAGGAGGAGGGTGAAGCGGCGGATCAGTGATGCAATCACAAAACTTGCTCTGCCCAGAGGAAATGGGGGTATCTGCCCAAATTACTGGTAGGAGGGCTTGGCTTTGACGCACTCCTGGCTGCCTGCCGATCAAGCAGGCCAGCCCACTGAGGGCACCACTTTCAGGCAGCACGGTTTCAGTGCTCTCTGCATGGTCCTAGTGCCGTGACTATTGCGCAAGCTCATCTAATGATGCGCTCGCACTGCACTTCTACAGTTCTATGGAGTCCCCAAAAGTGGGACACCAGGGAATATTCAGGATGGCGGTACATGATGTGAATATCAGGACTGGCCCTCCAAAACCAAGATGGTTGGGATGTATGCAGATACCCATACACACCTAGAAATGCATGGGCATACACACACAACATGCACAAGTACCCAAAGACACAGGCATACACTGAGGCATAGACCGACAGATGCAAAAAAGCACAAAATCTTACATTAATGTGAATAGTAGTATATCACAGGGCCCCACAGCTATAAAATGCAGAATAATGTGAATTGTGCACGTCCGTATCCTATTGAATCGTATGTCAGTATGCTGACTTGTGTCTGGTGTCTCCATAAGTGGGATACCAGAGCACAAAGTGGAACAGGGGCAGTAAATGACATTATGAATGTGTTTGAAAGCTGCTTGTGGGATTGCATGTGTTTTTAGAGGGATGTTTTGTGGTGTAGTGTGTGTAAATATACGTGGTTGTTTTGTGTTTGTGGTGTAGTATGTGTGTTTGGGTGTTGTAGAGAGAGAGTGTGTTTTTGCTGGTGGTGGTGGTGTGTGTGTGTGTGTGTGTGTGTGTGTGTGTGTGTGTGTGTGTGTGTGTACGTGCTTTTTTTGAGTATGGAGTATTTGAGAATTCCTTTTGAGAGCAGAACTGCATATCCTTAAACTCTGTGGGAAGAGTTATATCCCTAGCATTGTGATAGAAAATAATAGAAGCACTGGGATTGATTGAAGTGTATCAGCAGCATTCTGGTGTACGGAGGGCTCTGGGGAAAAACACAAATGCTATTCTGCATGTTTTCGATTTTGTTTATGAAGCTTTAAAAATTAGTATTTCATTTCAGCTTGGAGATTCCCATTATTTTAAATTGTTAATAATCATTTTTCTTTTTTTTGTTTTGTTTTCTAAAGGTAAAATTTTATTTCGGAGGAGCCATATTCGAGATGTAGCTGTGAAGAGACTTAAGCCCATTGATGAATATTGCAGGGTGAGAATGCATCTTCTTAGAAATGCTAGTCTTAGGATATTCTGTATAACCCTAAAACAGGAGAGAGTGTTTGTGTGTATGTATATACTATATATATACATAATACCTATCAAGCCATGAGACTTGCTTTTCCCAGAGAAATCCCATAACTGCAGCGATGTTACAACCGCAAAGGATTCTGGGTGGGCATATGCAAATTAGTTTAACAAAGAATCACATTTTTGCCTCATTCCATTTTTTTTTTTTTTTTTTATATTCTTTATTTTTGGAGTGCAGCGGAAACAAACATTGTTTGACAATGACATATAGTTAAGTTGCATTATAAATGATTACAGGCTTAAAGTATAAACATAGTATGTCAGGAGAAACTGCACACATTTTTTGGTTGAAAATGTAAAACAAGAGTGAATTGCTGCGCCAGCGTTTACATACATGCTTATTATAACTTGTTGAAATGGCCAAGCGTTGTACATCACATTGGTAAGATCTGAGACATAGCTTGCTAAGGACTTGCATTATTACAGGCTATAATAATAGGCTAATGAAGATGTAGTTTAGTACAAGCTGTTATTACCACTGGGAGACCAGGCCCTGCTGCAGAAATGATTGGGGCACTGTAAAGTGGTGTGGCTGACTGAGGCTTAGCAGAGGCTCACTGGTTGAGCTGAGTTAAACTAAGGGCACAACATTTAGTAGGTGTCTAATTTTTTAGCTGCATCATTTTATAATAATAGAGACATCAGGCCACAGTTCTATCCTGTCAGGTGGCTGGTAAGAGTAAAAGAGTTAAGGAGTTAAGGACAGAACTGCAGCTTTACAGTGGGAGATAAAATGGTCACCTCGAGGGCCCTTGTGGCCGAGTTCTAGGTCGGTCGGTTGGTGAGGTAAGTTTATCATTGGTGCTGGATCTCGCCTGTGTAGTCCCCATATAGTGCAGGTTTAATTCAGCAGGGCACATAGGCAAAACGTCCAGGTGATTCTCTGCTCCGCCAGTGTCCTCTGTGTGCTTCTCAAGCTGCATGCCGGCTGTCAGGTGTGCTTGCTGCCCGTTCATGTCAGGTTGGGGAAGGTTGTCTGGCATTTCGGTAGGGGTGTGCGGCTCTTTACGTTGGAGACCAGTTCTCCGTCTCGGCTGGAAGGTAGGGTTTTGTCCGTGGAGTGTCTCGTGTCTTTTCCGCGGGGGATATGCTGGCTCGTTGTGCCCCCTTCGCTTCGCCGGCCTCTGGTCTGCTGAGGTGCTACAATGCGTGCAGGTGGCTGTTTGTTGTTGATTTCTGGCCAGTTGGTGCTTAAATCTGTGCTGTCAGGCTTGAGCGTGGGGAAGAGTATTCCTTTCCTCTGCCGTTAGCGCACATGGCGTCCACCATTTTGGGCGAGGTGCCGAGGTCGCCGCTCTGGGTGGTCTCATTGCTGGGCCTTGATTGTGTTGCAGCGGTCGGTGTCCCAGGGCAAGGACCGGGATCACCCCCCCGGTCCAGAGGGGGGGGGAGACAGGGCCAGTTCCACTCTGCTCTGGGCCTTCAGGTCAGGCATTGTTAGGCGGGATAGTGGGGCAGCGGCCGTCCGCCCCGCTCACCGCCGGAGTAGGCCCCATCTGGGACTTCAAAGATTCCTCCTCCAAGGGACTGAAGCTCGAGGAGCCAGCCTCTCCCTGGATCCAGTGCCTCCCTTGGGCCGATGGTCTTTGCTGTTGGTCAGCTTTTAAGTTGAAATTTATAGTTTTAGAGGCTTAAAGTTTAGAAAATTGCAAGAGCTGTGCATTCTTGTGACCGTCCAGCTCGGCGGTCCGGCCCCGCCCCCCTGCCTCATTCCATTTTAAACATGGATTCCTTTTAATCTGTGTTTGCAGTATACAACTGCTTGAAACACAATTTAGGAAAAGATGCAAAACCAGTGAACCAGTCATGGACAGCTGTTTCGTTGTTAATGCAACTCGTCAGCATGAGGTTGGTTACTGGTTTGCTTATTGATGCTTGGTAGTGCTTGGGAAGCAAAATCCAAATAGGATTCTTTGTTAAACTAATTTGCATATGCCCACCCAGAATCCTTTGCGGTTGTAACATCGCTGCAGTTATGGGATTTCTGTGGGAAAAGCAAGTCTTATGGCTTGACTGGTGTGCAGATTTTTGTTTAACATTGTACGATTATCCACAGACTTCAGGTGGAAGGGGTTTTCAATCACAATTGTTCCCCACCATAACCTATTTGGATTTTGCTTCCCAAGCACTACCAAGCCTCAATAAGCAAACCAGTAACCAACCTCATGCTGACGAGTTGCATTAACAACGAAACAGCTGTCCATGAGTGGTTCACTGGTTTTGCATCTTTTCCTATATTGTGTTTCAAGCAGTTGTATACTGCAAACACAGATTAAAAGGAATCCATGTTTAAAATGGAATGAGGCCTCATAAAACTGTACCAACTCCTGAGGGTTGACGGATCCTAAAACCAGACTTACCGCCCAAGCAGTGACCTTCTCTGTGAGGGTGTAAACTCAATTGTATATACTCTGTGTGCTGCAGCATCCAAAATGTTGGGTCCCCTTCAAGCGGCTCCACTATTTAACAATCTCTATTGCACGTTGGATCATTATAGTGGTTATGGTCAATTACAATTAATGAGCTACTACAAATCTAGCTGCATGGCGGACATGCATGTTTAGCCTGAATAGGCACTTTACTATACTGTTATTACCATACAATTGTGCCATTACTCTATGTGCCATACTACAGTCTTACCATGTGAATGATGAACCAGCTTGTTATTGCTGTTGTGGCATTGCAAGCATGTTTGATATACTATGTACAACAAAAATAAAGAATTATTAAAATGGAATGAGGCAAAAATGTGAGTCTTTGTTAAACTAATTTGCATATGCCCACCCAGAATCCTTTGCGGTTGTAACATCACTGCAGTTATGGGATTTCTGTAGGAAAAGCAAGTCTTATGGCTTGACTGGTGTGCAGATTTTTGTTTAACATTTTATTAATTATCCACATACTTCAGGTGGAAGGGGCTTTCAATCACAATTTTTCCCCGCCATAACCTTTTTGGATTTTGATATATATACTCTGGTATTTTGGAGATATATATCTCCAAAATACCAGAGTATTGCATTATGCAATGATACGTTTTTTACTGGACTAACATAATAATTTAAAGACAAGCTTTTGAGAGTTTCCTCTCTTCCTCAGATCTGAAGCTTCATACCAAAGGAGGAGAGGTAACTCTTGAAACTTGTCTTTGAAATATTATGTTAGTCCAGTAAAAAAGGTATCATTGCATACTGCAATACTCTGGTATTTTGGCCTCTTGTCTACTGGACTAATACGGCTAATCCAATCTACACTATATATAATAGACACACACACACACACACACACACACACACGTACATTCTACCACATTTGGAAGTCCTACAGCTGGCAACCACTTACATACTGATGAAAGAGCTGGGGTTTTCTGTTTTTTAATGATTAGCTACAAGAAAAATCTGCAGTCAGAAGTACTTTCAGACTAAGATTACAAAGCCGTTAAATGAAATTGCACTATGACATCGATATACCTACAGATCTAGGAATGTTTAAGGTCTTGCAAGCTCACAATTGGTCTGTAATCCAATATTCCTGGTAAATATTCCCGTTCAGGTGTTAGACTGTGTTATGAGGCTGCCTTATAATAAAAGTTTGGTCTTTGTCCTCATATTACCTTCCTTTTAGTCTGTTTTCATTTTAGAACTGCATGTGAGATGTTTAAAGCTGTGACACAGCTGTGGGACCTTTTTTGTCCCTTCGAAAGAATGTCCTATTGCAAGTATTCTGTTTCAATTGTGGTTTTCAAGCATTAATTATGCTGGAGGAATGTGCATAGTAATTCACATATAGCTAATATTTTCATATTTTTTATTAAGGAATAATAGTCTGTAGAGATTATTAAAGGGGGGACTCCAAGTGCCTCAAAGCATTTGGTTGGCAATGGTAGACTGTGCTGGGAGCTCTGTGCTCTAAAAAATGTTTCATATGCTGCCTGCTGTCTAGAAATTAGACATCTCAAACTATGCCCCCCCTCCCACCCCCCCAAATGTTGCTGAACTAAGACTTGCCGATTCTATAGTCCTCTATTGCATTGAAAGAATTCCGTGAGTTGTAGACCATTACCATCAATATCCATTAGACCATCCCTAATGTTATGGCTTTATAAAACTAGAAGTAAATAGAATCTTTGATATTCTTGTAATTGTCCTATTTATTGTTACATCCCCCCTCTCAAAATATTGTAAAGCGCTACGGAATCTGTTGGCGCTATATAAATGATAATAATAATAATATTGTGTTTTAAATGTGGACTAGTAGTGCTTTAACCCGTCCAGGACATGGAATGTATCAAATCCTATGTCATGACAGTTCATGTATGTCATCTGTTATGAAGGGGTTGAATAAAATTATTAAGAATGTTTCTAGCTGTTAAGTAGTAATTTCTTTTTTTTTTTTTTTTTTTTAACCAGTCTCTGGTGAAGCTTCCAGCCCACATATCACAGTGTGAAGAAGTCCTGAGATTTTTTGAGGCTCGTCCTGAAGATCTGGACCCTCCTAAAGAGTAAGGCTCATTGTCTTGATTTATTTTTTTTTTTCTATTTGCGTTCTTGTTTTCTCCTTTGGCTGAGAGTTAATATACTGTATGGAGTTAACTATATAAATATATAATTATAACCATTTCTGATACTTTCACCTGTTTTTCCAAAATGTTGAAAAATGAAAAAATGTTAAATAGACATTTACACATAATTACCATACTTTGTTCTTGAGTCTAACCAGGAAGAGTCTATGATACCGCAGCAAATTCTTCTTTCATTTACATAGGAGAATTACTGAGCAATTATGCCGTTACTCATCTGCACATGCTGGCAAATTGACATAAGTAGATTCCTAAAAATATAGGGTGCATGAGACCTGTTCTGGTAAAATTTTTTGCTATATATATTCATGATACCGAAGTACACTTTATTGCTAGTATAATTGTACTTAAAAAAAATTCTGAATTGCACTGATACTTTCTCCAGTGTATCAGATCTGTTAATGTTCAAAAAGCAATATCAGATCACATTTCAACAGTTACTTATTATCTGAGGGTCAGATGGAAACAGACCCAGACTGTTGGGTAGAGATAAGCACATGATGTGCGCCAGCGATGGGTTAACAGGTTTTTTTTTTTAAAGCATGATTTAAAGACACAGTATATCTAGACATAATACCAGTTTCAGATGTTGTCTACTGTCACTATTTGTATCTGGTTCACATCAAGCACTGCCTTCCTGTACGTCTGAATGAAGACAGGAAGAGTCCAAAGTTTATCAAACAGCAGCCTGGAAATGCAAAGTGTGTTTTTTCCTTCTTACTATCAATGGAAGTCAATTGTTTTAAAAAGATACTTTGTGTGAATACGTGTCTAAATGGACACTACAAGCACCAGAACAACTGGCCTGTCTGCATGGGTTTTGGTGCAAGGAGCCTCCTGCCTCAGGCTCACTTCGTCTTGTACGTTATGACTGGGCATATTCGCTTTTAAATCACTGCACATATATGCTTTTCACTTTTGTGACATTGTAGGAAAAGCCTAGACTCTCCTTGATCTGTATAAGATCTTTCATAGAAAAGTCACGTGCTAAAACAATTGTATTGATTTTTTCATAATTGATAAATTAGAACAATATATTTTAATGTTTAAAAATTTTTTTTTTTACCACAGTATAAATCTTGGCAAAATAGCTGTAAAATAGCTAAATTAGAAACATTTTAAAATTTAAAGGGTCCCTCCAGAACCCTAGAGCACCTTAGCTTGCTGAAAAGTTTTGTGTGAAGTATATATATTTTTTTCATTTATTAAAAAGTGCAGATTTCCATAAATATTGGCAGTTTTATAAATTAACCTGGTTACACCCCTCCCTCCGTCAAGCAGGCAACCAGTCCTGTTAGTTCTGTTTTTTGTTAGCTCAGTGGAACTAAACTCAAGAGGCAGCAATTGAAAGCACCTGCTTTGCAAAGACTAATCATTGAGCTGCATTGGAAAGTCTGCGATTGGACAGCCACAGAAAGTCTAGGCGGGTTTAGAAGGGGAAGGTTTGCAAAGGCTGCAGACAAGAAAAATGCAGGTTTAGCAAGAGGTTTTTAGATATATACCAAACAAAAAATGCATAATTAAATGCATGCATGTTGTCATTTGGGGTATATCTACTAAGCAGTGATTTGTATTTATTGTGTATTTGGGCAGTGGAGTGTCCCTTTAACCATAGTTTCCTAGTTTTCTGTTTTGGCTTAACATTTGCAATTTGCTTGTACATTTCCCCACCATTCTCAATTTACTGGCTAAACCCTGTTTTCATTGCACTTTGATCGATTTCTCCACTCCATTGTCATATAAAGGCACAATGCATGGAACAATGGTAGGTGCCTTCGTAAATAAAACTCTGTTTACATTCCAGAAGAACAGTAGGTGACACACAACTCAAACCTTCGAGGCAATCTTCGCTTGTTCCATGGTTTCAACGTTCTATATCAATTAACTAAAGATAGAACGAGATCCATCTGGACACTATACACAGATAAAAAGATGAATCAGTCTATAGATAATCCGCCTCTTGACATGTAGATATATTGTTGGCTTTAGAACTTCAAGGTTTTAGTTTGTTTATCTCCTCGCTGACGTGTGTAGAAGAATCTCTCACATTTGACTTAGAGTCTCCTGGTCGATGACTTGCCCATCTATCAGTAGGGCTTAATGGAACTTTCACAGATATGACTGAAACTGCACTTAAAGGACCACTATATGCACCCAGACAACTTCAGCTTAGGTGGTCTGGGTGCCAGGTCCAGGTAGGGTTAACCCTTTTTTTTTAGGGTTAATCCAGCCTCTAGTGGCTGTCTCATTGACAGCCGCTAGAGGGCTTCCGCACTTCTCACTGTGATTTTCACAGTGAGAAGACGCCAGCGTCCATAGGAAAGCATTGTGAATGCTTTCCTTTGGACTGGCTGAATGCGCGCTCAGCTCTTGCTGCGCATGCGCAATCAGCCGAAGAGGAGGAGAGGAGGAGGAGAGCTCCCCGCCCGGCGCTGGAGAGAGAGGTAAGTTTAACCCCCTTCCTCTCCATCCAGCCCGGTGGGAGGGGGACCCTGAGGGTGGGGGCACCCTCAGGGCACTATAGTGCCAGGAAAACATACTATAGTGGTCCTTTAAGTCAAAGCAGAAATAAAAAAATAATTTTTTTAAAAAAAAATCATTTTGAATGTAGAGTTACCAAGTAATCGCACACCAGATTGGTTTTGATTGGTTTCTCTCAGTTTCACTGGTTTTGGTTTTTTTTTTTGTAGATATGATACAGGCTAATGTGCACAATTTGAGGAACAGACAGTTGGATTACTTAAAAAGGTTAATTTTAAGGCCCTTTTAATACTGTTGCACATGTTGAAGCATTTGTAATATGTATCCAAAGTTCAACCTTTAAACAATGTATTTCAAGCTGCTTGCTCCAAACAGACCAATTGCTATGTAACAGTTTTGTATTGTTCTGTTATATACAAACTTAAAAAAGTAAAAGTAATAAAGTAATCATCAGACCTCACAGGCATTCTGTAAATGTATAACTGATTTTCATTTATTTATTTTTTCCTTTTGAGCAAATGAAAAATCATTACATTCCCCATATATAATGGGTCAGTATGTGTGCGTATATTAAACCGTTTCAAATGGTTAATGGATCTGTTGTTGGGAGTCGATTGGAAACAAGGCATATCCTTTAGTATGAACATGAGATGCAGAGTGGGTTAGCAGAATGGCGTTTCACAGACTCCATATTCCAGGGGTCAGCAGTGGGTGTTTTACAGAATACAGAAAACAAATAGAAGCTTTGAGTCGTCTTCTTGCATTTTCCAGATGTGGCATTTGAATTTGGAGGCGGGTTGCTGGCAACCCTGTATTGCTGAAGAAGGATGCTTTGTGATGTTTCTAAAGTTTAGAATATGATACTATTAAAATAGGTGCCTTTAGGGTATTGGGGCAGGGTAAGTAAACAGTCTGCAAATGTGTTTTTTTCTATTATAATTTTGCAGGGTAGAATGCTCCCTCTCCGGTACCTCTTCAAGCAAATGTATGATTTAGAAAAAATTGTCAGTGCATTAGTTTACGTGAGTTTAGATCAAAGTAGGTAGATGATTTTATCTTTTAAATACTTTAAATACACTTAATACTTAAATACACACATCATTGATGTCCGTGTCATATGTTGATTGATGTGTCATACCGTGTCATGCACTAATGAAGGAATTGTCAGGAATTCGAAAGGGCTTATTTGTGAATTCTGTCAAATCACTAAAGTGAATATTTTCGGGAATTCAATGTGAATTTTGACTGTAAGGCCAAAATATCTGAATTAGAAAAGAAATCTCCAAGTCAGCTATTCTTTAATTTTGTCTAGTTGGTCTAAATTATACATTTTAATTCACTTTAAATTCAAATTGAAATTCTGGCAATTTTACCATTGAATTGTCTGAAATTTATAGTGAATTCAAAGGGAAATTCAAATTTTAGTCCAAAGTAGCCAAGTTGGAATATTTCTCCAAAGTTTTTGTTTAATGTTCAGTTCTAGGATTATTTTATTAAAATATGAATTGTTGGGAATTAAAATGTCATGCTAAAACAGCCAAACTAAAAACATAACTTATGGGTCTAAAATTTGATATTTGGTATGAATTTTAAAATGCTGACGTTGCACACTTGAATAGCCCTGTAAAATATAGCATGATCACGGATGACTTGATGTTACCTTCATATGTGGGAACTCCGTTTTGGAAAACAAAATGTTACTGAACAAAACTGATGTAATGTTTAATTTTTTTTAAATTATGTCAGTATTTTTAATCCTTGTATTAGGATTCGGTTTAGTGCAGTAAAAATGCTAAATTTAGAAATTCGTGCTAGTGAATGTATTAAGGTTAGGTTCACCTACCTAAATTGGAACTTATCCCTAAATACACTGGCCATAACCCGAAACCTGCTGGGTCACCCATAACATTTTGTTGTTGTTTTTTTCGGTTTTCCTGTTGGTTATTATTATTTTAGTGATGTTTATTTAGGTGAGAATAGAACAAAGGGTCAGTGGAGTGTGCCAGATTTTGCCAACGACTTGTGAGGGAATGTTGGTTAAAAAAGTTGAATCAAGTTGGTCTATTCAAAAAGACAAAATTATGGGATAAAACAAGTGGACTTGAAAAATAGGCATCTTGGACTTTGCTGAATATACTGTTATCTGGCTGTTAGGCAGCATTTGACATGTCATTAAACTAGATAAACTTACTGGCGGGTAAACGCTGGCAGTGGGAAAACTGGTAAAATAAAATGAATAAGACCCAAGTATATGTCTGCCCTTTGCTTGCACTACACACTACATGGGGAAGGCCAAAACATAGGGTGTCTGAATTCTCTGCTTATTTGGGGGACCCTGTTTATTGGTTTCCCCCTTTCACGCGTGCTAGTTTTGGGGGGGGGGGGCTCATGCCTCATATTTATATAATATAATTTTGCCATTTTGCAATGATGCTGTCATTGTGG